TTGACAAGACTGTTGGTCCAGTGGTTGGCAGTCCTAACAGCCAAGCGAGAGGTATCACCCGAGAGGTTCGATTAACACCCAGGTCAAATAATGTGTTCATTTGTTCTATGTCTGGGTGAAATTTATCTATAACTAGCTGACCCGGCAAACGTTGCTTAGCCTAAAAAAAAAATTAGGGATGGGTCACCCTTACCATTTAGGGGTATGAAAAATAGATGTTGGCCGATTCTCAGACCTACCCGATGTGCACACAAAATTTCATGAGAATCGGTCAAGCCGTTTCAAGCCGGTCAAGGAGTACGGGAACGAACATTGTGACACGAGAATTTTATATATAAGATATGTATCTATTATAAGTATGTATATTTATTTAGAAATATATGCTCCGTTAACGGCAATGAGCTTAAACCCTGTTGCGTGAGGACTTATAGTATGCAAAAGTGGGCGTTTGATAAGCCTTTGTCTACTTTTACGGGCATAAAATACGTAAAATCATATTGAGAACAGTTAATACAAAGACCTTTAACCTTGAAAAAGGTAGCAATTATTTATTTCTTCCATAGAAAGCTATCCAATTTTTATTACACGCTTTATATTAGCTTCACTTGTATGTTTGTTTGTATGTTTGTAACCGACTCCTTTGGGCGTGATTTTGACCGACTTTAAACGGTCAGAATACGTTCAAACTTTGTAGATAATAATAATAATATTCTACCACATTCACACAACGCCATCTAGTCCCAAACTAAGCAGAGCTTGTACTATGGGTACTAGATAACTGATATAAATACATATATACTTTTTTTTTTTGTAAATACATACTTATTATACATAGAAACGCCCAAACCAAATCAAACATTAAATGTTCATGCACACAAATGTTTGACTTGAGCGGGAATCGAACCCGCGACCTTTGGAATAGCAGTCCGTTACACAAACCACTACGCCATTCGGTCGTCGTAGATATATCGAGGACCGATGACAATACACTAATTAAAAAAATAAATTCATATGTAATAAAAAAATAGTTTAAAAAAACTAAAATACACGCTTTTTATAGAAAACTAAACTAAAAATTGAAAATAAATTTTAATAAATTTGAATAAAAGCGTTGGGTGCCTGTTGTCAATAGTAAAAAGCACCCCACCCCTGTATTAATCTATCGTTCATATACACTCAAAGTTGTAGAAGCATTATTGGAAATATTCGTCAGTAAATATTTGTTAATCCCACGAGTCGCCATCCGCAATAATTTCACATAAGTATTTATTGATTTCATATAAGAATATTCCAAATTCTACACCGTTGCGAATAAAACCTATTAACATTGAGAGTTGAGACATGTTGTTTGGTAACTCACACTTGACCGGCGCGGATATCCTCGGCACAGTTTGAGATGAATTGTCGTAATGACGGAGGGGCGAGAAGAGGGGGACGGGGAGGGGATTGAGGAAAGAATGTTTCTCAAGTTCGATTCTCGTTCGTTGTAATTGTTTTTTTTATGCTTTTGTTTGTGTATGGGTTGTATTTTGAAAAGTTTTGTAATAATTTGGTTCATTAGGTCAGTAGTTATTCATATGTATATTATTGCATGGTGATACTTACATGTAATAATCATATTAACCTCATTTAAAAATAGCGCTAATTAAAAAGCGAAAACTACATTCAAGAAATTGTGCTTTTTTGTTTTTTTTTTAAAGACAACTCCCGCATTAGGAATATATCCTGTGTCGCGGGGGACAACAATTTGTGGATCACACAAAGTGTCGTCCCATGTGCGGATTGAACCCACAACACTCGGCACAGTAGGAAGCGGGGTGGCGACCGCTTAAGCCACTGCGCCATCCGTGCAGTCAGAGATTAAAAGATCCGTTAAGGTTTGGTTATAGTTTTTTTTGACTATATCTGAAGAAAAATAAAGAAAAATAAAGATAAAAATTGCCCAAAGAAAAATAAATAAAATCGATATTTTATACCTACTAAAGAAGTAAGAAAGGCTTTTAACTTACCTGATAATAGGCGGTTGCCAGTGCACCAGGGACTTCCTTTCTAGGGTATACCTGGTTCCCCGGCTATTAGTACCCGAGGGGATATCCGCAAGGCAAAAAAAAAGGCGGTTGCCAGTACATACAAAGACCTCCAAAATAAGTTTTGTCGTATCGTGGACAGTCTAAGTATTGGAATAAATTTGTTGTCTGTCTGTGTATACAAATCCATGCTTATGTCATTAATGTCAAAGTGAGTTTATTTGTTTGTTACGCTTTTACTCCTAAACCACTAAAGGCACTTTGAAAAATGCCGGAAAACTATGTTATCAGCGAGTAACATAGGCTACTTTTTACAAGACATACACGCAGGCAGAGCCGAGGGAAAAACCTAGTTCTTTATATTAATACCTTGACACAACTCAGACACGGCAGGCTGATCCTTAATTAGTCAGAACCTCTACTATGGTAACCAGACTACTGTTAAACATTTTTTATATACTAGCTGGTACCCGCGACTAAGTTCGCGTGGAATTAAAAAGCGCTGTCTTGGTGATGTAGTACGGTACGCGACTGCAGTCCATGAGGCCTTGGGTTCGAAGCCGAAAATTTTTTAGGGGTTTTTTGAGAGGAAAAATAGCCTAAGTTACTCCCTATATAGACAGCTACCTAGTAATAAAATATCAAAATCGGTGCAGCCGTTTTGAAGATTACCCGGCACAAACAAACAGACAGACAATTTTTTTTAAACTGGTTTGTAGGCTTAAGTATCGTGCAAATAACCGCGTGAGAATGAAAAAAAGCTATTATTTTGACTTTACAAACAGACACTTCAATTATATTTATTTGTGTAAATACCCAAATTCATGTATTTTATTCATATGCTACGAGTATATATAAATTACACATATAAACACAATAAATGATCGTACTCATCACATAAACACTTAATTTGGGTGGGACTTGAACTCCCAACCCCTAGCTTTGCAGTCAGAATCGATAACCATTGTTCTAGTACGCCAGTCGCAAAAGGAAAGAAGTTTCTTAGAACATTTGAAAGAATTTGGCTAAAATTCGTTTTAGAATGTTTTGTGTGTTACCAATTGATGATAAATGCACGGATGGCGTAATGGTTTAAACTGTCGCCACGCCGCTTACTACTACGCTAATTGCTGTGGGTCCGATCCCCACATGGGACGACACTTTGTGTGATCCACAAATTGTTGTTCTGAGTCTGGGTGTTCTTTGTGTCCGTTTCATGTACGTTTGTAAAGTCCCCCGCTAGACAGGATATATTCCTAATGCGGGAGTTGTCTTTTTAAAAAGAATTTTGAAAATCGGTCCACAATTGACGGATAAATCGCGTAACAAACATACATAAAAAAAAATACAGACGAATTAAGAACCTCCTCTTTTGTGTTTTGGAAGTCGGTTAAAAACAGTTTGGCAAATCAATCTAGTACTTTTGTCGATATCGACGCAGTCTCGCTTAAAAAAAAAGAAATTACTTAATTGTTTAAGTAGTTTTGCACACTTAGTGAAGAGTACAAAGAGGCAACGGATAGGGATTAACTGCTTAACACTTTTTTCCGGATAAAAAAGAGCCCTCTTTCTTCAGGAAAGAGAGTGTTCAGATGTGAAAACGAAGAAATGAAAGATGTGAAGACACAACAAACAAGGAAACACAATGTCGCATTTCTAACAGTAACAATATCCGTATTTATTTAATACATTATATGTTAAATGTTAAAACACATTGAAAATAGAAAGCTGTAAAGTCTAGATATATGCAAGGAAACTTCAAAATATTGTGTTCCATGAAATTCAATTATTGCTGGAATGAACGGGAATGAACGGGAATTAACGGTCACAAGCGGACCTACCTTACGGGCAATAATACGATTCGGTCGTTTCCTTTCCCGTTTTCCCGTTGATTAGTAATAACTCCATACTATTATTTATACGTGTAAATATAAAAATTCTTGCCCCGGCTAGAGAGCTATTAAAATTGTAGGCAATCACTAAAGCAGAAATTTTAATTAATTAACATAGACGTAATTAGAATTAAATTCTTAAGTAAATCATTTACATATTTATATAAATATTACCTAACTTATTTCGTAACAAGTAACTATATCTAAATTCTAATATTCAACCTCCTTCCACTGCCCCGTTGCTCTAGTGGTTAATGACACTATTTTTTATTTACGTTGCGGAGTTGCGGCGGAGTGGTGTCCGAATCGGACCGACTAAAACCACACGGTGTGCCACTCTGCGCCTGAAATAGAAGGGATCCGGGAACTGCTGTTATTAAGATATTGGGTTCGATAAGTTCGATTCCGATCCAGGATAAATGACTGTGATGCTGATTTATCTATAATATTTATGTTTTTAAAAGTATACACGTATTTAGAGCAGTTGTCTAGTACCCATAGTACAAGCTCTGTTCAGTTTGAGACTAGATGGCGTTGTGTGAATGTGGTACAATGTTATTTTTCTCTTTATTTCATTGAATATACATATAAATTACATTTTTAAATATATTTGTGTACAAAAAAATACATTTAAAAATATTACTTATTATTATTAGACATATATATATGTATTTAGACTCCTGGGTCTTGAGCGGCAGGCGTTCATGGGCGGTGGTAGTCGCTTTCTATCAGGTAACCCGTCTACTCGTTTGCCCCCTCTTCCATAAAATATAAATAAAAAAATATAAATAAATATAAATATACATATATATTTGAAGGCCAAAATCGATCTAAGTGGCGTGCAATGGGAGAGGCCTATGTCCAGCCGTGTACTGCGATAGGCTGATGATGATAATAATATATATATATATATATATATATATATAACTGGAATAAGTTAAACGAAATATCGGCGAAGTAAAAAACTATTGCTTAACTTTGCTTCTCAAGGAGGGGCGTACAAGGGCGAGTGTTGCCCAAGCTCGCGTCTGTCGTGCGTTGGAGCGAGGTGCGCGTGCGCAGGCGTATGGTAGCGTACAAGATGTGGCGGCAAGTGGTGATCGTTGTGTCGTGTTGTGTTGTGATACCGGTGCTTAGCAGTGTGGTGGAAATTAATGGTAAGTGTTAAGATAATATTATATTTATTATTTTTGCATTAGTTAAATAATTGTTTTTTTTTTACATTTGTATGTTTAGCCCGTCTGAGGTTTGCGTAAGGCTCGTACCTGAAATATAGCTAGCGTCATGTTCATTCAGCATCACGGCTACGGGTACTTTTAATTAGGTCTTTCTTTAGTACACTGCTGATCTGGTCAGTATCCATGTTCTGGGGATTCCCCTCACCAAATTGCGTTCTCTCGATTATTTGTGTATTTTCTATATGTTCATTTACTACGTTATAAACGAGCAAACGATGTCTAAGAGACCCTTAGTGAATATAATTACTGGATTTTCTGTCTAGTTGTAAGTAATTCATAGTTGATAACTGGCCTGTTGATCCAGTGGTTACTGATCGTTAGAGATCGCGGGTTCGATTCTCACCCAGGAAAAATATAGTGCAATGAGCACTATCATTTCTAAAAGTATCATCTATCACGTTCACTGAAAAGGACTAAGGGTAACTCTAAATTTCGGGACTTTCTACCTAAACTATGAATTTACAAACATACATGGTACATCATTTTGTAAAATTTCATGAAAAAAATATTTGTTTACAATTAGTTATTAGCATTAAATTACGTTTCATCAACTTCCCGATTAGCCATTTTAATTTCATGTTCATTGGGGTTTATTTTTTACTAAAGTGATGTATTTTTATGAAACGTTCGTTTCATTTAGTTGTACTAACATTATTGAGCGCAAAATTAGTCTGTCTTGCGGGAGTTTTGCCCTAATAATAATAATATATTCTACCACATACACACAACGCCATCTAGTCCTAAACTAAGCAGAGCTTGTACTATGGGTAGTAGATAACTGATATAAATACATATATACTTTTTTTTTGTAAATACATACATAATTTACATAGAAAGACCCAGACCAAATCAAACATCAAATGTTCATGCACACAAATTTTTGACTTGAGCGGGAATCGAACCCGAGACCTTTGGAATAGCAGTCCGTTACACAAACCACTACGCCATCCAGTCGCTAATCCTCTGTATTTTCCATTTTTGTTATTATTATCTTCTTTATGTTGACGGGCTAGCTGGTCTAGTGATCCTGACTCCTCATCCAGAGCTCGTAAGTCTAATTTCCACCCAGGACATAATTGTGTGAAGATTACTAGCACTTGGCCACTGCGTCTGTGTGTAATTTATCTATAACTATAACCCGGCAATCTCGTTCGCGACCGTCCCGCGGGGTGACAGACAGTGGCGGGGGCGAGGTAGCGCGTCATTCTAGCACACGGCTACACACGAAGTGTTTCCCTTCCCCGCTACACCACCCGCTACCCGCTGACATCTTGAGTACCTCGTCCCCGCCACCGTCTGTCACCCCGCAGGACGGTCGCGCACGACGTCGATGGACTATAGCGATCCGCCTTGGCCTTGCACGGGTGCAATGTAGATACTACTAATACTACTAATGTAGTAAAAGTGTGGAATATTTAATTATACTATTATTATGTTGTCTTAAGTCACTATGCAGGACATCTTTATATACAATATTATGGGCCCTTTCCGTTCGTGCGCGCCACTGCCATCCGAGTACGGTCCGACGCGATGGCATTTTAAACCTCTGATATCTTCTAAGATATTCATTGAAATGATATGCTGTAAAGGGCAATTTAGATCTATATTAAATGCCAGCGTACCTAACGTATTTAATTGAAAAAGGAATAATACTATATTATTCAAAATAGCTTTGTAAATAACCTATTGCGTTGCGGAATTTTTTGTACATCTTTTTAAGGTTTTTAAGTTTACTTTCCTTATTTTTATCTGTCTCGTAAGGTTTAGCGTCTAGCGTTTGCAATGTAAGCGCACAAAAACATATTTTTAACGTCTTAACATTACAAATCTTTAAAATTCTCGTATTTCGTCTACAATAATATGCATGTATTATACATATAATCTCGCCTCCTGAATCACTCACTCTATTGGTAAAAACTGTATTAAAATCCGTTGCGTATCGTGAAAAATCTAAGCGTACAAGAACAAAAAGCCACTTTACTTCATACTATGCAAAGAAATTATTTACATATTTAGTAATACGTAAGTATGTTTATTAGCAGTCTGGTTATAATAGTTTGAGCTCTGCTTAGATTTGTGACAAGACAGCCGTTTGTGATATGTGTCAAGTTATTATTATTGTATTAATATTATTATTTATCATAATAATTATTAGAACCTTGATTTTATAATTATCCCCAAGTCATTAAGTCATCATTAATCTTAACTATGACAATAACGGGTAAATATTTGCAACCCCAGACTCCATTTTGTTTAATCAATGCTGTGTAATTTAATGGTAATAACTTTCTGATATTATCATTTATACTACTTTTTTAATGCCTTTATGATCACTGTCCTACTTTTAATATCCATAGCGAGATGTTAAAAAGCCTTTCTTAAAAATTCAGCAATCAAATGCCAAAAGATCATCATCATCATCATCAGCCTATCGCAGTCCACTGCTGGACATAGGCCTCTCCCATTGCACGCCACTTAGGTCGATTTTGGGCTTCTCGCATCCAGCTCCTGCCAGCCATCTTGCGCAAATCGTCACTCCACCTGGCCAATAAATAAAATTGAAGTCTGTTTGTAATGTCAAAATAATAGTTTTTTTTTTTATGATCACACGGTTATTTGAACGGTTTAAAATTATTTTGTCTGTCTGTTTTTTCGGGTAATCTCCTAAATGGATGGATAATATTTTACTACCAGGTAGCTGTCTATATAAGGAGTAACTTAGGCTATTTTTAATCTCAGAAAAATCCTTTAAAATTTTGTTCTTTTTAAATTCCACGCAGTCGCGATTTTGTGCGCGCAGCTAGTTTAAAATAAGACTGCCTTTTCTTCACTTTAGCGCATTAAACCAACAAAATTTCAAGCTTAATTAAATTAGTTTAAATATTATACATGTATGTATTATATTAGCCAACAATTATTGTTGCAATATGAAAGAAAATATTCCACAACACCAAGCCTGTTTTTCCGGTTATCTTGAACGAGGTGTTGAGACACGAACCGGTGAACGTGTGCGTTGCCCCAGTGAAAAAAGTTCGAATTTCATTGTTTGAATATAACAGATATTTAGTGCATGACTTTGTGTAATTGTGTACTCGTATGGTAAGTGAAAATTTGTGCATCCAACCATTGAGGGGTTATGAACGAAAAACTGTTTCAGTTATGACAACATTGTCCCAGTGGCACCTTTTTTATTCTTTGGAAGTAGAAGAAAAAACATGGTATCAAAAATTAGTGTATGACGTGGGGTAATTGTGTATGTTTAAATTAAATTTGTGCGTCAATAAACTGCGAAGATATTCAAGTTTCCGATGCGACAACGTTTGGTCATTTGCTAGATTTCATATCAAAACGCTTTTCAAGCTGTAGCTGTAGATTTTTTCATAATATGTTGTTTTGAATTTGCTTATACTATTTGTAAAAACGGCTTTAAAAAGAAAACCATTCAGAAGATAAGTATAAATCCATGTTAAGGTTGTCTGGAAGAGATCGCTGTGAGCGATAAGACCGCCGATTGTTACGTTTACTTATTTGTAACTCATCTTTTGTTTTGTTTTTTTTCTATTAAAGTGTATACAATAAAGATATAATAAAATAAATAATAAAATAAAGATATAAATATAAACGTAAAATAAGATTATTAGGTCCTAGTGCTTATGAGTTTTAAGTTATAACGTTTATACCCTGTGAGCATCTACAACGTCTTACCAAGTAGCATTGATGTACTCTTAGTAATAAATGAGCTATGGGATAATTTACCATTACTGGACCACTGTTTCATATGCCACTGTCTTATAGCACGAAATTAGAAAGGAAATGCGTTTTAAAACCTATTCCAATAATTAGTGCATTAATTCAACTATTCACATGTAAATTTTTATTTCTTTAACAGTTTTTCGTAACTTTACTTGATGTATAATATTTCCAGACACCATCGCAACGACTCTGCCCCCGCTGTACCATCTGGACGACTGGTCACGATGCCAGCGTACAGGGGATGTCTACTGCATTGTGGATGCTGTTCTGTACACGACGCAACCTTCGCGGACGATGGCGCTGTTGCAGGTAAATAATCTACTTATATAATAATAATAACAATAATACATCTCACACACGGCCGTCTGATCCCAAACTAGGCAGAGCATGTACTACGGTAACAAGACTGCTGATACTTGTATATTTTTAAATAGATATATATTATAGATAAATAACACCCAGACGCAGAACAAATGACCGTGCTCATCACACAATATTTGTCCTGGGTGGGAATCGAACCTACGACCTCCGGTTTAGCAGTCACGATCACTAACCACTAGACCAACCGGTCCGTAGAACCACTAAAACTCGAGGATAGTTAGATTGATTTGGCTAATTTTGGAATCGAAATATTTGTTGAAGTCCCGTAAAAGTTCAAATGGTCAATACGGAAAAATGCGAAGAAAATAGAAAAAAAAAATCATTTGATGATCGTCGTGATATTAAAGAATATATTCATATTATCTCATCACCAGCCTATAATAGTCTACTGCTGGTACTGATGGTATAGTAGGCCACTCCTTAGAAGAGGTTTTGGCCAACTATACCACGCTGACCGGACGGGTTGGTAAAGGGTTTGTGTCAAGTCTTCCTTCTCTTTGAAATGCTATTGTCCTGCGTAGTTTACTCCTTTAGTCAGCTCTTACGACACCCACGGTAACAAAAGGTGTGGTGACACTCTGTATTATTAATTCGTCACCACGCGGATCTTAACATACACTCATAGATAGATCTCTCACTGTATTGTAACTAGTCCATTCGACTCAAATGTCGGTGATGGTACTTTGTTCACATCTGTATCGGACGAGGCCGATGGTGCAACCACAAAGATCGCTGCACCTTACAAGGCTAACCGCATTGAGATTACAACTTAAAATGTTTGTTCAGCTCTAAAATAATTATCGTTGCAAAGTGCTATAAAGATACACAGAAGTAATTGAAACATATAATGGTAAAATGTTAATATTCATATATGTATAGAATTGCAAACATATTCATTTGGTTTTTGTTTTGTCGTAACTGGTATTATTCTTAGAAAATGTGGTGAAGAAAGTGTTGGGTATGGGAGTTTTTTTTGGTCTACTAGCAACCGAAATTGCTTGTTTTAGGAGTGGGTTCACGTAGGTAGGATTTGAACCTACGATCTCTTGATCGTAAGTCCAACGCCTTAACCACTAGGTTACCGCCGTTTGCAGTTGAAGGGTACAAAAGAAGTGGAAGACTAAAGAAAAGGTGGATGGACTGCGTGAGTGAGGATATGGCTAGGAAGGGAGTAAATAGTGAGATGAAGAATGAGAGAGTATAATGGAGGAGTTATATTTACTGCGTCGACCCCAAGTAAAATTCGGATAAGGGTAGGCAAATGATGATGATGATGTAACTTTGTGGACTGTGTAGACTGCTGGGCGTAGTGGTTTAAGCAATGGGGCATGCGCGATGGGACAAAACTTTGTGTGATTCACAAATTGTTGTTCTGACTCTGGGTGTTATTTTTGTCCATTTAATTTATGTTTGTAAAGTCTGGCTAACACAGTTCAGGCTTAGCCTAATTTTGGATCAGTTTGTGGTGGTGATTCTGTGGTGTGTGAAATGTGTGAATCGAATTTTGGTCACCACCAAGTGAATAATTTATCGAACTGTCAAAAGCAATAACTTATGTTCAGTTTTTTTTTAATTTCAAAAAATGCGTTGTTGTAGATTTTGAATTTCATAATTGACATACCAGTCCTAGAACTGTTAGCTCACTTAATGTGAGCTTTTATGATATTTAATAATAGTAATAATAATATTGTACCACATTCACACAACGCCATCTAGTCCCAAACTAAGCAAACCTTGTATTATGGTTACTAGACAACTGATCTAAATACATATATAGTTTTTTTTGTAAATACATACATATTATACATAGAACCTCCTTCCTAAGGAGAGGCCTATGTCCAGCAGTGGACTAGTAAAGGCTGTTGATGATGATGATGATACATAGAAACACCCAGACCAAATCAAACATTAAATGTTTGACTTGAGCGGGAATCGAACCCGCGACCTTTGGAATAGCAGTCCGTTACACAAACCACTGAGCCATTCGGTCGTCATTTGCGGTAGCACAACCATTTGTAAAGTACTTAGAGAATATATATTGAAGTATGAATCTAAAATCATGTGCATTTATGTAAGACTAACAGATACGCGCAACTTTGTTTGCAATTTTCTAAGGAAAAAGGGTTTCGCTGTTTTTGCATTTTTCATTGATGCTTGGCTCCTTTTGGTCGTAGCGCAATATTATTTAGCTTACTAGCTGAGTCCCGCGGTATTACCCGCGTTTGTTGTTATAACCGCGGGCAACGCCGCGGGGCGAAGCTAGTCTAAAAAAAAGTAGCCTAAGTTACTCCTTATGTCAACAGCTATCTGCCAGTGAAAGTCCTGTCGAAATCGGTCCAGCCGTTCCAGAGATTACCCGGAACAAACAGACAGACAGACAAAAATTGAAAAAAATGTTATTTCGGCATATGTACCGTGTAAACATACATATGAATTTAGTAAAAAGCGGTTATTTTAATATTACAAACAGACACTCCAATTTTATTTATTTGAATAGAAGATAGCATGCCTCGATAAATGGGCTATCTTACACTAAAATATTTTTCACTTCAATCCAGTAGTTCCCGAGATTAGCGCGCTCAACCAAACATACAAACTTCACCTTTGTAATATTAGTAAGGATTTTGAGTCCCGTCTAATATTTCTGACACATAAACTACAAAATACTTAGGGATTTGAAATACATTTTGAGACAAAAGGCGTCACAAGAGTTTAACATTTAGTTAAAAATTTACATAGTTACAATATTGCTTTTCAATTTGCTTTTGTCAAAAATATTTATGGAAATTAACCAAAACCGGCAAAGTGCGAGTCGGACTCATGCACGAAGGGTTCCGTACTAGTATCTATAAAAACGGCAAAAAAATCATGTCTGTTGTATGGGAGTCCCACTTAAATATTTATTTAATTCTGTTTTTAATATTTGTTGTTATAGCGGCAACAGAAAAACATCACATCATAACACATCAACTGCCTTTAATAGTCCACTGCTGGACATAGGCCTCTCCTTAGAAAGGAGGTTTTGGGCTACTATACTCGTACCACGCTGGCCAGACGGGTTGGTATAGGGTTTGTGTCAAGTTTTCCTTCTCTGTGCAGTGTTGTTGTTCTGGGTAGTTTTTTCCCTTAGTCGGCTCTTACGACACCCACGGGATGAATAGGGGTGGTGACACTCTCTATTCTTAATCCGTCACCACACGGAGATACATCATTTGTGTAAATTTCAACTGTCTAACTATCACGGTTCATGAGATACAGTTTGGTGACAGACGGACAGACAGACAGACAGACAGACAGACAGACGGATGGACGGACAGCGGAGTCTTAGTAATAGGGTCCCGTTTTACCCTTTGGGTACTGAACCCTAAAAAGGCTAGTATGGGAGTAGTAAGATTTTCAAATTGAATAAAATAATGTAATGATATACTAATCTCAAAGGAGTTATTAATATATTTAACGACTATGACGTGGCGGGTTAATGGTCACAGGTTCAATTACCGTTGGATGCAAATATTTGTAAATATGGTATTTATATTTCTATGTATTATATGACGTATATTTGTATATAATATAAGAAATATCCAAACTCAAACTCAAACTTTCTTTATTTCATAAAATTTCCAAAATTGTTTGAAATCGTCCTCCATGTAGACTCTAAAGTCATAGATCAACACACACAAAAGCAACAATCTCTGTTTTGTCAAATAGTAACCAAATAAATTTAACAAAAATCAAACCCATACAAAATCTATGATATGCCTGTGCCGATCTACAACCGCCCGTTTCCAAGGGGTTGAGCCTTATGAGAAGAAATGGCAAACAAACTCATGGCCACTCTTTTGCAATTCACAAGTAGATACAATGGCACTATTAAATATATCACAACATTGTTTTGATGTGTGCTAGTATGTCCGTTATTAAGGACTTAAAGGTGAAAAAACAACGAAGAGAAAACAAGATTAAGAAGAAAAAACGAATACAAGAGAAAATGAAGTGAAACATAAAAAATAGAAAAAATAATAATAATAAAAAACATACTAGCCACACCACATTTTTACTTAAGAAAGAAATAGCCTGCGCTAATTAATCCCAAGCATTCTTGTCCTCCATATAATCCACAATCGAGTAGTAGGCCCCTCTGTCTCATTATGTCTTTGACTACATCAATGGCACAATAGTTAAGGTGGTCGCTAAGTGTCGTAGGTTCGATACCTGCGTTAGACAAAACGTTATTTTATTTACAAATGGCTAATATTTAAAGCTTATTTAATAATGATTGTTAGTGTCGAAAATATCTTAAATAATTAACCTTTAAGAAGTAATATGAATTCAACGCCCTTAAATCATGGTGAAATAAAATAAACTGTATTGTTCATAACTTAACTTAATTTTTTCTTCAAATTTGAATAACCCAGTGTAGGATAACCTAACAACTAAAAAAACTAATTTTTCAACAAAGTTCATGAATGACAGTTCCTTTTTTTCTTTTCTTTTCTTTTTCTTTTTTAAAAGACAAATCCTGCATTAGAAATACATTCCTGTCTCGCGGGGACTTTATAAACACACATGAAATGACCACAAAGAACACCAGAACAACAATTTGTGGATCACACAAAGTGACGTCCCATGTGGGGTTTGAACCCACAACACTAGGCATAGTAGAAAGCGGCGTGGAAACCGCTTAAACCACTACGCCATCAGTGCAGTCAATTCAAGTTCTATGATAATAAATTAACAAATTAAAGTAAAACTTAACAAGTACGTACGTAACGTACTATTTTTCGTAAAAGTGATTATAACGTTGAAAAGACCCAATATGTTAACCAGCCAGTTATGTCATTGTTCCTCTAGAGCATGAACTACCAAGTACACATTACATAAACTGGTTAAGTCTCGTACCGTCGTCGAACTCGGAATACACAATGTTTCAATGTTGCAATTGTCTAGAAATGACGCTTACTGTTTTGGCGCCAAACAGCGTTACATGTACATCCGTATTTAAAGAAACAAAGTTATATAATTCTAGAAGTTAAGAGCACTAACATATGTGTTTATATATACTGCTCTGCTCCTAAGGAACATAGTCTGATGATTGTTAGCATAAATCATTCTTCAGTAAATTATCATTAACAAGAATCATTAAAATATAACTGACTAATTTTACCCGCGGTTAAGCCCGCGTGTATTTCGGTTATCGCGGTAAAAAGTAGCCTATGTCCTTAATCAAGAATCAAACTATCTCCAGACCAAATTTTCTACCCCCTCCCCCGCCCCTAAAAGGATGATTTTTTTATACTTTTTCTATACCGAATTTCATTTAAATCGGTTCAGTGGTTTAAAAATGAAGAGGTAACAGACAGACAGATAGACAGACAGACCGACAGACAGACACACTCACTTTCACATATAAACAAACCAACAAAAAAATCTTCAGCAATGTTATTTATTAAACTGTTTCCGTAACTTTTTTCCTATGTTCATTAATGAAAGACTTTCTAGAGAATGTCCCAAATTATCTATCCCTAAATAACCCTAACTATCTAATATCCTCTTCGTAACCCCTACGGTGAGATGGAAGAATGCCTTTCGTTGAATGAGATCCTGGATTCCTGCTCCTAATGTCATAGGCCAGCAGAGGAACAATGGGGTGGTGTTAAAACGGTAAAAGTCCGACAGACCCGTTTTAGACATTTATGAGAGTTTCTCACCACGTCACACAAAGAAATAAGAATTGAGTTTATTCAGCAACCCCTTTTTTAAAGTCTAATGCCTTACGCTGTCGTTGCAAAGCAGAACAAGAACGAACGATCGAGAGGTGTAATCATTACTGTCCTTGAACTTGGGTGGCATAAACGGCTTTTGGAGTGTGTTGCAAAACGCGCTATTACACATCTTCGAACCATAACAGAAAGGTCATTTATTGCTACACGCTGTGTGACCTTCGAATGCTGCAGGTACCACTTCACGCTGCGCTGGTGTGAAACACTCGGGTCAGGATTTACTTAGCTTTGTCTGTTGATATTTCAAATCAAGAAGCTCTTTTACTTGTTGAGAAGTATGTGTTGTAAGATTGATGGATAGAGTGATGAATCATGAGGTAAAAAAATGTAGGTTTGAAGATTGTCATCAAAACCCTTTACTAGTCCACTGCTGGACATAGGCCTCTCCTTAGAAAGGAGGCTTTGGCCTACTATACCATGCTGGCCAGACGGGTTGGTGTAGGGTTTGTGTCAAGTTTTCCTTCTCTTAGCAGTGTTGTTGTCCTGCGTAGTTTACTCCCTTAGTCGGCTCTTACGACACCCACGGGATGAATAGGGTTGGTGACACTCCGTATTCTTAATCCGTCACCACACAAGATTATAGTGACTAGAAATCCCTACTAATTATAAATGCCAAAGTAGCTCTGTCGGCCTGTCTGTTTTACGCTTTTAAGGCTAAACTGCTGTACTAATTACAATTAAAATTGGCAATGAGGTACTTTAATCCTCGAAGAAGGACATAGGCTATTTTTTACCGCGAAGACCGACATACACGCAGGCAGAAAAACTGGGCAATAATGGGACGTTTATTCCTTGAAAGCTTGAAGAGTGAATGATTAAAAGAGTTTTTAAACCCCTGTGAGTAGGTGAACGTTTGCGGAAAGGCAACGGAAGACATAATTATACTCACCAGATCGGCAGTGTACTTAAGATTTGCCTACTTAAAAGCCCCCGTAACCGGCGAGCATGAATGAAATACCTGATACATGTAGAGCGTGAGTTGTAAATGTCATTTTGTCTCTGCCTACCCCTGATCGGAATGAAGCGTGAGTGTATGTTGCTCGCACAACAACTGTTCTAGTCGTCGATATCAATATTATGAACATATTATGAAATATTCTCTACTTAACGAACCAAACAACATGAAGCATTGGTATTTCATAGATCGCATCACACCCACTTCTTTGGACTATGTTGTTACAACATACCATCTAAATGTAGCTATAATATAAATATAAGTTTTTACGTTCTAAAGATATTAAATATATATTTATAGTAACAGACAACAGCACTGTAAATAGAAGGCAAACTTAACATAAACCTTTTTTTTTTTTACGTGTGGAAACCCCCTCGGGCCGTCACCCCACCGGGGCTTGCGGCGGAGTAGTGTGTCCAAATCGGACCGACTAAAACCACACGGTGTGCCACTCTGCGCCTGTGATAGGAGGGATCCAGGAACCGCTGTTATTAAGACATCCGGACCCCTCCTTGCGCCTGCCCGCAATAGCGCGGCACTCGTCTGTCCACCGTGGTAAAGTAGGCCAAAACTTCCTTTCTAAGTAGAAACCTATGTCCAGCAGTGGACTTATAAAGGCTGTTAATAAAAATAATAATTGAAAGGGTATACCTCCCGTTTCGTCCCATTCAAATTTCAAGAACAAATTCCATCCCCAAAGGGGAAAATAAAGAATGAACAATTCAGTTTATTGCAATGTGTCATGATCTAGTGACGAATATATCTTTAAAGGTTTTTTTTGGCAATTGAATCATTTGAAAACAACTGAACTGAAAAGGAACGTATACGGTAAAGGCTTCCGAGAAATTCTGGATACAAGGAAATCGTTTATTTATTCTATGAGATTGAAGATGTTTGTTATTTACTGAACTCCCAAGAACATAAATTTGGATTAAACTTCAAACATAGCTTTCTTAAATAACTTTCAGTATACGGGAGTCTACATGAAAGTTTGAACAACTGTAGGCTAAATCTAACAAGATGATGTTCTATGTTTTGTAAACTTATCATTTCAAACCGGTGCCGATCTCAATCTAGAACACGCGAGTTCAAAAGCCAATCATTTCGTAATCCAAGGACACCTCTACACACTACTATAATACTTATACTGTGTGTTTGTATAAATAGACATAACTTTATAACTATCTGTCATGTTAATACTGATGTAGGTATTTATTATATATTGAGGTTGTTGACACTCGTATAAATAAACAAGAATGTGTCGATGATAAAAATTAAATACGCTAAGAATTTATTATTGAAACGCTAATAGAATTCTACATAATATACTAATGCATTTTTACTTAACGCTCACTAAACTAACTAAAGTAATCACTTTTACCAGTACTCACGCATACACATTAACACACACACACACACACACATACAAACGAACACACAATGCGCGAGTATAGTCCCGTTAAAAAAATCCTCGCATCTCAATGACTTTACACACATCTAATACATAGTATTAAAATGTTACTTATCTGAACCCAAATGTATAAGGTCTGGAGAGACTGGTAATCTATCATATAGATCTCCTAGCACAGACAATAGTCTCTCACATAGATAATCAGTAATTATACTAAGTATTACTACAACTACTGCAAAAGAATTATTTGTATGCGATTCTGGAATCATCATCATCAACAGCCTTTAATAGTCCACTGCTGGACATAAGCCTCTCCTGAGAAAGGAGGTTGTGGCCTACTATACCACGCTGGCCAGACGGGTTGGTATAGGGTTTGTGGCATAATCACAAGAAATCAGGTTTATTTATTAGATATGCATAAAGCTACAGTATTTTAGTTACATTTTGTTTACATACTTGTATGTTTTTGTTATTCTTCTAGAGATACTCGCAGCAAAAATTCAAGCATTACAACAGGACCCAAATTCATAGAGGTGTCTGCGTGTCACGATGTGGCAAGGTCAACCACACCACGGGGAGCTGGCATGATGCTGCTCAGAGCTGCGTCAGTATCGGAGTTGCGAAGTATGAACTACAGGTAAGCAAAATAACAATAGTTTAATCATTGTTTTCAGAATTTCGAAAACTGTTTGCATATTAGAAGTGTAAATTGGGCTTAATGACTTTGTTACCGAAGAAGAAAGACTTCGGAAACATCATCATCACATCACATCAACAGCCTTTAATAGTCCACTGCTGGACATTGGCCTCTCCTTAGACAGGAGGTTTGGCCTACTATACCACGCTGGCCAGACGGGTTGGTATAGGGTTTGTGTCAAGTTTTCCTTCTTGTTGCAATGCTGGTGTAATGCGTTGTTTTGCGCCCTTAGTCGGCTCTTACGACACCCACGGGATTAATAGGGGTGGTGACACTCTGTATTCTTAATTCGTCACCCACATCCATTAGAATCAAATACCAGTTTCTTCGGAATTTACGCAATGTGTTTCCTGTCGTGTTTTATCCCAACATAAATATTGATTAAATTTTGTTTATGTTTTCCCAGGCTGAGGTTACGTCAGTAGACTGGTGCATGTCAGTGGACTCTCCCCCAACGAGCTCGGGACCTGCACGCGCTCTAGCCGTGCTGTGCACCATGCTGGTTGCATTGGCGTGTTTAGCGACTGGCGTACATGTGCTTGGTGATCGCTGCGCTAAAGCAGAGTGTAAGTATTTATTTTTTTACCAATGTTATGACTAGAGATAGAATGAGGGATACAGAAAGAAAGACAGAGAGAGAAACATACCAAGGCGAGGTAAGGATCCAATGGCCCTTGCCTTTGATTTAATTTAAAAGCCATTGAGACGCCAAATGCAGAATTTCAAAAGAAGACCTAAGCCCGTATATAACTACACCTGTAACCGGTCAACCATTCTGTATGTTATTTGACAAATTTTAAGACCGAATGTAGGTTTTGCCAGCTAAATCCAAGTTCAGAACTCCCTACACAGACACGTCGTGGAGAACATAATCATCACGTCATCCTACATGATTATTTAAATATGAAGAACTAACATTCAATCAGAGAGTGTTCAAACTACTGCAAAATTATTATATTTAACAGAATCAACTTCGTATCTACAGTATCTCAATAATAAATAATTTTATCAGGCAACCGGTATCTCCTAGCGTTTTCATTGAAGAAGAATTGGGACATCCTGACGTACGACAGAAGAAAACCAAGGACTGACGATCGTATGAAAGCTGTAGCGTGTTTAGAAGGTATTAGGTAAGAATTGTTTATTTATTTGTTAAAGACAGTGAAACAATAAAGCAATAATAATAAAAAAGGAGAAAAAAAATAAGGACGCAAATTGCACACTTCTGACAGCCAATCCATCTACAGGCAAATTGCATCTTCTTTTTGTTTTCTTGTTCTGGTTTGGGATTCTAGAGTGTTGATACGGATAACAGGTGACTGATGCCGTCTAACAGTACGACCTGCAGGCACCACAAATTACTTCTCCTACGCTCATATTTAACATCTACCCCTTTTTTTTTTTTTTTTTTTCCGTGCGGAAATCCCCTCGGATACCACCTGTCGGTGGCATGTCGGACTCGAACCGACTAAAACCGCACGCCGTCTCGGGTACTAATAGCCGGGGAACCAGGTATACCCTAGAAAGTAACATCTACGCCTAAGAGTTGAGCTGATGAATTAGCAGATGTCCTTTTTGAGTGTTTTTTTTTCGGACAATTCAAATTATGGTCTCTAGACAACTGATATAAATAAATATATATATACGAGTATATAAGAGATTTATTTATATCAGTGGCCTATATCCAGCAGTGGATTATTCAAGGCTGTTGATGTGATGATGATGATGATGATAAGAGATTTCCACGTATATAGTCACTCATCACGATATCTCTGGAACCACTAGAGCTAAAGTCTTGAAATTTGGTTGGAATATTCTTTTCACCGAGTAGAGGTCAGCTAAGAACGGATTTTAAGAAATTCAAAAAAAAAAAAAAAAAAATAATGTAAATAGCAAAACAACGTTTGCAGGGTTAGCTAGCAATACATATATAATTGTGTTTTGATAAATAATAATAATAATAATAATGATATTCTACCACATTCACACAACGCCATCTAGTCCCAAACTAAGCAGAGCTTGTACTATGGGTACTAGACAACTGATATAAATACATATATATACTTTTTTTTTTGTAAATACATACATATCATACATAGATACACCCAGACCAAATCAAACATTAAATGTTCATGCACACAAATGTTTGACTTGAGCGTTGAACCACTTCGTCGGTTCGCCTAAACCGCTAAAGCTAAGCGCTAGTACGCCGACTGTTGTGGGTCCGATCCCCACATGGGACTACACTTTGTGTGATCCACAAATTGTTGTTCTGAGTCTGCGTGTTATTTGTGTCCGTTTCATGTATGTTTGTAAAGTCTCGACACAGGATATAATCCTAATGCGGGAGTTGTCTTTAAAAAAATCTAAAGTTTAAGCAACTAGTTTGAGTAACCGGTATTCAACCCTGACCCACTCGAGTTATTACTTAGACTCCTTGATTCATCCGCATAAGCAACAATCCTTTCCAACCATTGGCTTCCCATCTGACTGCCTCGGTGGGGCAGTGGTTGCGTATGCGATTGCTGTTCTGGAGTCTCGGGTTTGATTCAAGGGTCGGACCAAACGTTTGTATGATCTGCTAATATTTGTTTCGGAGTTTCGGTGTCTTCTATGTATAATATGTATGTATTTACAACAAAAAAAAGTATATAAGTATTCTATCAGTCAATGTAGCTTTCATAGTACAGCATTGCTCAGTTTGAAACTAGATGGCGTTGTGTGTCTGATGTCCGAAATATTATTATTTTCTTATCAATTTTTCGTTTTATATTGAACTCAAGACTTTTGCATTTAATACCAAAAGTGCTTTATTAATAGCAAAAGACATGTCTCTTATTAAGTAAGTGGGCTTGAAATTATGATCTAGAAAAATGTGGAAGTTTGATTCACCTGTGTATACCCAGGTTTACAAGCGTGAGTGTATATAGAACATGAATCAAATGCAGATACAATGATGCCATTCTTCTGTCTCATCATCTGCCTACCCTTTTCCCAATTTTATTTGGGGTCGGCGCAGTATGTATGATTTTTCCATTCTACTCTGTCATGCGTCATCTCACTGTTTACTCCCTTCCTAGCCATATCCTCCCTCACGTTGTCCATCCACCTTTTCTTCGGTCTGCCTCTTCTCTTGTACCCTTCAACTCCCATACCTAAAACTTTCTTCGCCACATTTTCCTCATCCCTCCGCATGACATTCTTCTATCTATTTACATAAAAATTAGTTTGTTTACGCTTAAAATACTCAAAGAGTTCTGCATCGATTGAGCCCAAATTTTGACACTATTTAACCCGTTCTAAATATTGTTTTTATCTTCTTTTCGCGTCAGTTTTTTTTCTCATTTCCTGTTAATACAATCACAACGTGCCACAGTGAAGCGTGTACAGCTAGTTAATACTAGCTGTACACTAATTATGATACGACATAATTTTAACCAGTATATACCGAACATGTTCACAGGTTTTCTGAATTACAGTAAAATTATATTTCCAGGTTCATGGGAACGCAAGGCGTTATATTCTCTCACGTCCTGCTCATCTACGTTTATTTGTACATCGACAATCCTCTATACGTTGAACAGGTACCCTTTTTATTATTTTATTTCTTTATTCACATCAGTAGCCTAGTGGTTAAGGACTTGCAACTAAGAGGGTTCGAATCCTGACCAGTACACTACCGACGTGAACCAACTCCTAACACAAGCAATTTAGCTTCATCATCATCATCATCAACAGCCTATACTAGTCCACTGCTGGACATAGGCCTCTCCTTAGAAAGGAGGTTTAGCTTAGCTGGCGGGAATACTAGTAATTTCAGTTACTAGTAAGCCTATAAAAAAAAGTAAGGTTAAGTCCATTATAATGTTAAATTGTTAAAGTTATAGGTTGTGTCTTGTATTTACCACGTCTTAGATATAATTGGATCCAATTCCCTTATTGCGCGTTACACGCTCTGAGCGAATGGGAGCTAGACCAAAAAATGTGTAACTAGACTTTTTGTCGACACTTCTTGCAATAGTTGCAGCACACAGCTCTCCCGCGAACTTCGTTCCGACCGGGGTCCATAGACCCTTCACTTTGGTTTTTGTAATGGTAGCGGGGCAAACGATCATACGGGTCACCTAATGGTAAGTGACTACCGCCACCCACGGACACCTGCATCTCAAGACCTACAGAGTGCCTTGTCGGTCTTGAGCTTGAGCCCAAACTCAGTTCTCTCCTCGGTGAAAAGCAAGGAGAGAACTGCTTAGCACTGGTTTTCTGTGAAGCCGTGGTGTCACTCCCGTCGAGATGGCCCATATGTGTCGAACTATTGTTATCCAACGGTTAAGCCTACTATACGCTCACTACCGTGATATAAGTATTTGAGAAAACAAATGAGGAAAATAAAAACCGGCGAGAGGGGTCTATGGGACCCGGTCGGAACGAAGTTCCGTAAGAAGTGTCGCAAAAGTCTTGTTACACATTTTTCTGTCTCACTCCCATCCGCTCAGAGCGTTTAACGCAATAAGAAACTTCGTTCCAAAACCGAGGAGTCTATGGACCCACGGTCGGAACGGAGTTTCTTTCGCTATTTGGTAGACATTTACATCACACATCATCATCAACCTCCTTTAATAGTCCACTGCTGGACATAAGCCTCTCCTTAGAAAGGAGGTTTGCTATACAGTCATTTTTAATGTGCATTATAAAATATCAAGTTAATAGAGTTAAATTGAAAAAAAAAAAAATGTATAAAATAAATAATGACAAATTAAAGACAGACAGACCAGAGACAAAGCATAGACCGCGCGATAAGGATCTTCGTTCCAACAAAACAAAGCACGCAGTAAAAAAAGACACATCCGCAGCGAAGGAAATGACATGTTTTATACAAATTTATTTGTACATGTTTGAATATTTTATTCTAGATGTATGACATGTTCGCATGGAAAGCGGTGTTCAACTCGCCATTGTGGCTTCAAGCTTTCTTCGCGATGTCTGGTTTTCTGACAGCCTACTCCGTACTGATCTCATCACCATTTAAACCCATCACGCCGTTTAAATGTCTTCTGTCTATTGTTAACAGATGGGTCAGGTACGTACTTCAATGTGTTTTTATAATAATCACATTAACAGCCTATACTAGTCCACTGCTGGACATAGGCCTCTCCTTAGAAAGGAGGTTTTGGCCTACTATACCACGCTGGCGAGACGGGTTGGTATAGGGTTTGTTTCAAGTTTTCCTTCTCTTTTCAGTGCTGTTGTCCTGCTTAGTTTGCTCCCTTAGTCGGCTCTTACGACACCCACGGGATGAATTGGGGTGGTGACAATTTGTATTCTTAATCCGTCACCACACGGTTTATAATAATACTGATACTAAATACATCTTAGACCCGGCAGTCTCATCCCAAACTAATCAGGACCTGTTTTATGGGAACCAAACTTCTAATAAACATATTTATACATTTCCAAAACCTTACATTTATAAATAAATTACACACAAAACAAATGCTCGTGTTTATTACACAACTATTTGTCATGGGTGGGAGTCGAACCCATGACCTCTTGCTTAGCAGTCAGATTCATTAACAAACCAGACCAAAAGTTTAATCAAAAAACTATAAGTGAAAATCTAAAAATGGTGGTTGAGAAGGGAAATCCCAAAAATACAGTCTCGATTTTTACAGCAAACGTGACGTCACACGTCACGTGTCTTGTAAAATAGAGACATCAGATTGTCCATAATGTAAAAAAGATCAACCTTCATAGAACCAAATTGTTTCTTTCTTCTCAATAATCATAGTGTGTAAAGAGTTGATTAATTTCAGATTAACCCCGGTAGCAGTATTCGCATTATGGTTCACAATGGCGTGGTTCCCACTGCTGGGCTCAGGACCCCAGTGGTCTTGGCTGGTGGAGAGAGAAGCTGCTGAGTGTCTCGACCGGTGGTGGTACCACGTACTCTACGTACACAACTATCTGCCTCCAGGAAAGTTCTGTATGGGACACACTTGGTAAGACTTAAGGAACTTTTCTTTATATTGTAATAAGGTGACCCGGCGTTGATATGCCATTATAATAAATAGGAGGGTTAAAAATACTTAACGACCTGTTTTCATACCCATCAAATATAAAAAAAAAAACATTAATATCGGTCGAGCCGTGACATATAAGACTAGCTGACCCGGCAAACGTTGTTTTGCCATATATGTACATTATTTATAGGAAATATTGTAAAAAAAATTTAGTGGTGGGTCACCCTTGTCTTTAGGGGTATGAAAAATTTATGTTGGCCGATTCTCAGACCTACCCGATGTGCACACAAAATTTCATAAAAATCGGTCCAGCCGTTTCGGAGGAGTATGGTAACTAACATTGTGACACGAGAATTTTATATATAAGATTAAACAGCATATTGATAAAATGACTATCATATTTGACTGTGTAAGTTGGGAGAAAGAGACATATGAGAAACTAAACTGCTTAGCTTGTCAACATACTTCTTTGTGAAGTTTTCTTGATTATGTTGATCATTATAATTTCTAAATCTCCATTACGCAAACAAAATGTACATAATAGCGCTATTTTAGAGTTAATACTGTCAGAGTATCATTTATTCCATTAAAATAAAAGCATTTCTGTAGGAGGATTAAATTGGACAGTACATCTTTTGTTATGGGTGGTTGATGAAATCCGATAAATTGTTTAGAAGATCTTTTAGATATTATTTGGCGAATCAGATTTTCTCTCTCAGCGGTTCCCTGACTAATTCCTGATCTCAATTCGTGCGTAGAATTACTAACTTTTTGGTAGGAGAAGACAGCATTAAGTTTAAAGCTACGGTGCTGAACTTCAGGTACCTAGCAGCAGACATGCAGCTTCACATCGTCGGCGTGCTTCTAATGCTGTTCCTGATGCGTTACCGAAACGGGACAATACCGATGTTAATGCTGACCGCTGTCGGGTCCGGAGTGGCAGCTGGTCTCGTCGTTTATTTCTACGAACTCACGCCTATTGTTACTGCTCAATCACCAGAGTAAGTAGAATCACAATGATTATCAGTTTGTCCGTATGGTGACGGATTTAAAATACGGAGTATCAACACCCCTATTTATCCCATGGATGTCGCAAGAGCCGACTAATCGAGTAAACTACGCATGACAACAGTCTGGACACCGTGGTATGTAGGCCCAACCTGCTTTTTAAGGAGAGGGCTATGTCCAGCAGTGGACTATTAAAGACTGTTGATGATGATCGATTTTCAGCAACAGGTGAAGTAACTTTTGGATCGCATTAATTTGAGGAAAGTGGTAATTTGTTCTTCTAATTGTAAATCAGAGACGTATGCGTCCATATTTTGCTGACCATAATTCTGGACTCACACGGACATGGCAAGTCTATTGCCGTCAGCTACGCAATCTAGGAATCGGATGGCAAAATTAGGACTGGGGCAATATTGTAAGGAATTAGGATAGAAGGAAATGCAATGGTAGGAGAAGGGATATTGCTTATACAGATGCTTTGAGAAGTTTAAGCAGTAGTTCGAACAGGTCAGGATCTGTGCTGAGGGCTGTGAAAAAAAGTCTGAAAAAGTTCTCTTAAAAAAAACTAGTGGAGAGATAAGCAATATTAACTTCAGTTCTTGTCACGAATAATATTACAAAAAAGTATCGATTAGTTCTGGTTAAAAAAGTCGTTAAAACTAAGTTCATTTAAAAGGTCAAGGTCATTAAAATATATTTTCCATTGTCAGAGATCGTCGCAATATGTTCGCCGGGTCCAAGATCTTGAGCCTCGTCTACTTACCGTTCTGGATGAACCTGCCTGGATACATTGGAGGAATGGCAACAGCGTTTTTCTTTCATCATAACTTAACGGAGGGAACCATAAAACTCAACAATAGTGGAGTAAGTATTTATTTTACTGTACTGTTGTTATGTTTCATAGCTATGTTTTTCTTCAATGTTTGTAACTGAGTGGATTCTGTTTATATACGAGTATATTCAGAAGTTGTTTTTGGCATTTTTCATAACGAATCATTCATGTTTATAGTGCTATGGTCCTTTATCTATTTTCTATAGCTTATACGCTCAAAGCTTATTAGCAGATGATTGTACGGCTTATGTTTTCCATTTGAGTTGTATTGAAATCATAAATTAAACAAATATATTTACTTTATGTTCGACCGTAGTTATATCATTCGTAGTTATACCGATTTGATATTTAAACTGGTTGAAAAAGTCTTGACATAGTATTTTTCTTTTTTTAAAGAAAATTATTATGCTTTATTATGTCCGTGTGTTGTAAACGATAACCCAGTGGTGTGGTTCAGTAGTGTCGTTTACAATGCATGTACTTTTCAGTTTACCATTAATTTACTATTTCTATTGCCATTTGTGTGTTATTACATAAGATGTCTTAAAATTCTCTTGACTGTTCTTCTCCATAATCCTGGGAATTGTGCAAATACCTATAATTTGATATCCAGTAAAGAAGATGTGTTGTTTTCAGATTTTCAACTTGCTGTACCACTCGGCTTTGTTACTCGGTGGCGTGGTAGTATTCTCCGGTACAGTGTTTCTGTCAGACATGCCTTTGCCTCAGTGGGCTTCTGCCCTCTACGCCTCCCTGGATCGAACTCTTGTCTCAATATTCTTCTGCATATTTATGTTGGGTTGCTTTTCCAGATGTATGTGTAAGTATGCTTTCAAAATCAACAAATTATCAAACTATTTCATCCAAACCCATTTAAAAGACTCAAGGGGAGCCGATATGCTGACTTCCTAGGGGAGGGGGGGGGGGGGAAGGCGAAGGAAGCAGCAGTGGCAGTGTCTCTTCCAATAACCAATTAAAAATTGAATTCTAATTATTAAATAAATAGGTAATCTACCCATATAATAATAAACTGTCGTAATAGAATCGTAGTTTGCTTCACTAGGCGTAGTAAACAATAACTTTTGTATCTGCTACTCGATTGCTGATTTACTTACAGAAATATGTTGTGATATAGCTTGATGGCGTATTGGTTTAAGCGATCCCCACGCCGCTTCCTACTGCGCCGAGTGTTGTGGGTTCAAACTCCACATGGGACGACACTGTGTGACCCACAAATTGTTGTTCTGAGTCTGTTTATTCTTTGTGTCTGTTTCATGTATGTTTGTAAAGTAGCGACACAGGATATATTCCTAAAGCGGGAGTAGTCTTAAAAAAAAAACTAAAAACAAAATACATATTCCCACGAATTATTCCCATCCGGAGCAGACACCTTATACACGCTCCTCGGTAACGGGTTCTTTTAACTTACATCTATGTATGTCGATCTGGGTCATATAGGAACGAAAATGTCTATGATCCGAATATACCTTGTGTTTTCAGCGATGGTGCGCAATTTCTTGGAATGGCGCTGTTTTCACATCCTCGGGCGGTTGTCCTACTGTGTCTTCCTCATACACTTCATCGTACTGCGACTTACGCTGGCTAGCAACACTCAACTTGGACATGCCTCAATATTATCTATGGTAATGTATTTAATTATTTAATTAATGCTTCCGTGTGGTGACGGATTATGAATACGGAATGTCACCACCCCTATTTATCCCGTGGGTGTCGTAAGAGCCGACTAAGGGAGAAAACTAGACAGAACAACAGCACTGCAGAGAGAAGGAAAACTTGACACTAACTCTATACCAACCCGTCTAGCCAGCGTGGTATAGTAGGCCAAAACCTCATTTCTAAGGAGAGGCCTATGTGCAGCAGTGGACTATTAAAGGCTGTTGATGATGATTGATGATGAATGTATTTAATGGTAACCAGGATAAAGGGTATATAGCAAATTTCAAAGAGTTATTTTATATCATAGCTACAAATTGACACCTCAAAAAAATGTTTAGGTGCATTCTTTTGAACTGCCTAACTAAACTAACTGGATTTAAAAAATAAAAAAAACATTTGAGGACTCGTTTCTGTAAATACTGGTGATACAGTCTCAAATCCCCAAAACAAGTGCTTTGATTTCATTTCAGATCTCCCTTCTAATCACTTCATCAGCACTGAGCTACGTGGCAGCAATTCCTCTCTGTCTATTAGTGGAGCTGCCACTCATTCAGCTGTGGAAGGCTTGCACTGAAGGTGAACCTTACCGACCAGCAACACCTGACCAGCCCGCCAGGAAGGATTTCGACCTTGTCTCCTCAATCAAGAAAGGAACTGACGCGTAAAGATTCACTATTATTCTATAAGAAGATTTTAGCTAATTAGAAAGAGATCAAAGATATTATTATGTTCTAAAAGAGAGAGAGAGAAAAGAGTTTATAGTCATTCGTGTTGAATTTGTGTGTGTGTAGTCAATTTACTTATATATTTATTAGGTTATATAGGTTTTAAATTTGAATTATCTGCACTAAAAAGGCTTTATTTGGCAACATTTGTCATTGATACTCGGCACCTACTGTTTTTTTGTCGTAGTTTGATGTTTTATAGCCTATATTATTCCTCGATTAAAGGACCATCCAATTTAAAAAAAATCCTATTCAAACCGGTCGTTCCTGAGATTACCCCAAACATATACACTTTACCTCTTTATAATATTTGTATAGATAAAGGACTTTATTAACGTGTGTGTTTTGTAGACGTCTGACTTGTTTTGGGGGTCCTGTTAGGGGCAGAAGGTCGCTTTAACCCTAGATAAATCCACACTTGAGTAACATCGTTTATTCTTCACAAAGAATACGTAAAGATAATTCTTTGTACCCTAATATGGCGATTGGGATCATATTTAAAATTCTTAATGTTATGTGGGAGTAGTGCAGAGAGCAAACAATTTTAAATAAAACATGCAATAAGTTAAAAATTACGTACAAATAGCTTTATAACCGTGAAGTTTGCCAGTACATAGTTTACCGTAATGGTACAGAAGTCTATACAGTGACAGCTCAAGTTATACTGGTCAATGAAATAAAACAAGACTTACAAAACGCTTCTTTCTAAATATGAATATCATTCATAAAAGTATTTATTCCAAACTTAGTCTCTACCGTAAGTCGCACATACTTATTTTAAATGTACAGATATTGAATATTATTAATTTAAGATAAGATTTATTAATATTAGATAAGATTTAATAAAAGTCTTTGATGAATGATGAGCGAAAATTTGTGACCGAGGAATATCGGTCTTAGTAATTAATGTTTATAGTATGTTTTTTGTTGAAACATTAAATAGTCAATGGTAAAGGAAGATTATGTCAATCCTCTTGATGTATGAAAAAAGTAAATAAAACATAAAAGTTACGAAGCATTTTTATTTATAATAAATTTTTCTTTAATAAAAAGTATCTCTTTGTCACATTTAACTCAGAAGGCCTATTCTTGTTTGTAAAAGTTCGGTTAAAATTCAGTTCTGATGAACTCTTGATCTCATAACTATCATAAAAGGTATTTTCGTGGTATCTTTTTTGAATTTGTAGAATAATACTTTCCCTGAGGGTTCAAAATTGCAAATTTATTATAATTTAAAATGATGTCGCATTTGAAGTGACTGTCGTTGATTGGTTACACGGATGGCGTAGTGGTTTAAGCAGTCGCCACGTCGCTTATTACCACCGCCGCCGCTGCTGAGTGTTGTGGGTTCGATCCCCACATAGGACGACACTTTGTGTGATCCACAAATTGTTGTTCTGAGTGTTGGTGTTCTTTGTGTCCGTTTCATGTATGTTTGTAGTCCCCTGCGACACAGGATATATTCCTATATATTGTCATTTAAAACAAAAAAAAAAAGGTCGGTAATACAGTTTAAACGTAAAATATATCAATTTAAATTCTTTATTTAATCTTATTTTTCTTCTTGTCTTTTCTTTTTGTAGTGCTGAGGTATTCCTTCATGATGTTACTGAATGGTGCTTCCACCAGGAGCCAGAACACAAGTGCTGTTATAAAGGTCATTGTTAACAGGGTGAGGGTCGTCTTCACCTGGCAAATGAGAATGAAATCTACTGGATTATTTATCCGACTGCGCTAGAGGGAGGATTTTGTTTTTCGAGTGTATGTATTTGGCAAGTTCTGTAGTCTAAACGACTTGATGTATTTTAGCTTGGAAAATGTCGTTGGTGGTGACGCGTGGTGGCGTGGTGACGGATTAAGAATACAGAGTATCACCACCCCTATTCATCCCGTGGGTGTCGTAAGAAGCGACTAAGGGAAAAAAACTAGGCAGGACAACAGCACTGCAGAGAGAAGGAAAACTTGACACAAACCCTATACCAACCCGTCTGGCCAGCGTGATATAGTATAGGCCCAAACCTCCTTTCTGAGGAGAGGCCTATGTCCAGCAGTGGACTATTAAAGGCTGTTGATGATGAATGTCGTTGGATTGGTCTCAATTGTGATGGTGACACTGGGTTTAAGAAAATTATAAAAAATTAAATGGCCGGCTTGTTAATTTTAAGTACCTTTATATGTTCACTGTCCGTGTGGTAACCGTTTAAGAATACGGAGTGTCACCACCCCTATTCATCCCGTGGGTGTCGTAAGAGCCGACTAAGAGAGCAAAACTACGCAGTAATATAGCACTGCAAAGAGAAGGAGAACTTGACACAAACCCTATACTAATCCGACGTGTGTGTTTCGAGGTTTCCTTCTCTCTGCAGTGCCGTTGTCCTGCGCAGTTTGCTCTCTTAGTATTAGTACTGGTCACACTCCGTATTCTTAATCCGTCACCACACGGACACTTTTCAAACTTATAATCATCATCATCATCAACAGCCTTTAATAGTCCACTGCTGGACATAGGCCTCCCCTTAGAAAGGAAGTTTTGGCCTACTATACCACGCTAGCCAGACGGGTTGGTTCAAGTTTTCCTTCTCTTTGCAGTGTTGTTGTCCTGCAGAATTTGTTCCCTTAGTCGGCTCTTACGACACCCACGGGATGAATAAAGGTTACACGCCACGCTAGCCAGACGGGTTGGTATAAATAAATAATAAATAAATCATAATCATTAATAAATTAAAATAAATAAATATATAATAATACTAATGTAAAGATGTCTTACAGTATGTGTGGTGTCAACTTGAATTGTGCTCGTCCTCATGGTTATAATGATCCTGATCAATGAGAAATGTAGCAGGTAGGCGCTGTACGTCAAACGGCTGGTTCTTCTCCAGACGTTCCACTCCAGGAAACCGCGGTAACGGTCTGTTGATAGAAGAATAAATATTTGTTTTTATGGCATATGAGGCACCTCATGGTAAGTGAGCATCAGACTCAAGTGCATTGCTGAGTCGAGTCCCTTTCCACCAGAATCATAGGGTTGAAGATTGGGGCTCTGGTAACTGAAATCACTCGGTGAAAAGCAAAGAGATATTTATCTTGATAAGTACCTGTGAGAATAACAAGTGAAACATACGCTGGTTGATTATACACTGCTGTTTATTTATGTTAACGTGCTATTTATAGGTGGGTAGACATACGCACACAGTCTTGAGTCAGCACATCATCAACAGCCTTTAATAGTCCACTGCTGGACATAGGCCTCTCCTTAGAAAGGAGGTTTTGGCCTTCTATACCACGCTGGCCAGACGGGTTGGTATAGGGTTTGTTTCAAGTTTTCCTTCTCTTTGCAGTTTTGTTGTCCTGTATAGTTTGCTCCCTTAGTCGGCTTTTACGACACCCACAGGATGAATGGGGGTGGTGACAATCCATATTCTTATGCGTCACCACTCACATTATAGTAATAATAATAATTTTAAATAAAATATTTACCTTCAAACTTAAAGATAAGACCAATGAGCAATATGGCGATAAAAAATCCAAATATTGGTTTTATAAAGGCGGCACAGAGTACTCTGACGTAGAGAGGTTGTCGTGGAGCATCCTGATAGAATATACTGCCGATATAGCCACACCATAACCCCAGGAGTACCGAACTGTAGTAAAGAATGCGGTAGATAGGTTTCTGGAATATATCATAGATTTATAAATTTCGCGAATCAAAATGATTCTATAAGTAAGACTAAGTGGTAACCAAGTAGGTAACGTTGCAAAGTTAAGCAATCCTAGCTAGGTCAGTCTATGGATGGATGACCATTCTTAACAAATTGACGCCCTTCCGTGTCTCGGAAAGCACGTCATGCTGTCGTCCCCGGTTGTGTTACGTCAGTGGCAATCGTCACCTGTAGAGCGTTAAAAAGTCCGAGAACAGTCTACCGAACTTCGATATCTAATACGTGGGTCGTGAAGGTCTGAAGGCAGTCGCAAATCAAAGTTCAGGAGTAGGCTTAAAGCTGACTTCAACCTAGCTTGGGAAAAAGGCTGTAAGGAAACGGAAGAATGACGATGTGTCACATCTGCTAGACGTGCAGCGGCTCAATAATTAGTGGTTAATATTTGTTTAAAATATTTGCCATGAGTTATTTAGTCTAAGTTAAGAGTTCAAGTAATGTTAGTAAAGGATAAAGAAATAAGCCTCTCAGTCATCGTATATGACGTGTAACATCGTGCATCTCACCTATCATCTGACGCTAGAGTTTTCCACTCTAGCACCATGATTGGATTAAATAGCGCGGACTTCCCCGGCTTCCTGTTACACACTTCCGTCCCTTTTCACGAAGTCACTCACACATATTTCGCATGGGTAGCAAGAAGAAGGTTGTTAAGTCCATTCTAAAATAGCGAGGCATCGATCAAACTACACACCCTGACCAATCAGGTTCTAAAGTTTCGTACGAAACGATAATTTCTTTGAGCCCGATTGGTCAGAAGGCGGAGCCTGATCGATGAGTCACTATTTTCTTAACGCGAATAGACTATAGTGATCTTATTCCGTGTAACTGTTATTATTTTAAATAAATAAATAACTACCTATTAAGGCATGGATTACTAAGTATAAAAGTTATGTAACCTTATTAAATATTCTTTTAGTAATTAATGATTTTACCTGCCATTGTTTTACGTCTATCCTCTGCGTCTGCCAGTGATAGACTAAGTAGCCCAGCGCCATACCGATGACGTACCCGATGATATTTGTATGGAAACGTGTATATATATTGTTGAAATGAGGATCGGTGGCAAAAAGGGACAATGTTTCTCTGAAAGTAAATTTGAAAATAGTTTGGCAGAATACTTATATACAAAGGTAAGGCTTTGCCTTCTTAACTTGATAAGGGGGAGTTCGGAGATGGTTGGTGCACATTAATAAACAATTTTATTAAAAATAAATAAAACTGACCTAAAAAATAACATCAAATATGAAAATGCGAAAAATAAATTGAATAATTTATTTATTAAAAAATGTTCGACTTTTGCTAATGAAATAATAATAATATACCTCACATATCTCACGCACGGCCGTCTGATCACAAACTAGGCAGAGCCTGTACTATGGTAACCAGACTGCTGATAAACATACTTATATATTTTTAAATACATACATTTTATAGTTAAATTACACCCAGACACAGAACAACTGATTGTGTCAGATAATTATTGGGTGTGAATCGAACCAACGACATCCGGTTTAGCTATCAGCGTCACTATTCGCTGAACCAACAGGCCAATTATTAAATGAAATAGCAATGGAACCCAAAAGAATGGGTATTTATGATTCGAATATATAGAATTAGATGCCTTAATTATCGTGAATGTAATTGAAAAACAATATAAAAGGTTATATCAAAAAATAAAAAAAAGGAATAGAAATGGATTTGGTTGGAAAGCATGTTAAGTATAAGGCTTAAACATTTGACTGCACGGATGGCGTAGTGGTTTCAGCGGTCGCCACGCCGCTTCTTACTGCGCCGAGTGTTGTGGGTTCAAACCCCATATGGGACGACACTTTGTGACCCACAAATTGTTGTTCTGAGTCTGTTTGTTCTTTGTGTCTGTTTCATGTATGTTTGTAAAGTCCCCCGCGACACAGGATATATTCCTAATGAGGGAGTTGTTTAATAAAAAAAAACACTGGATTTAATTAAATCATTACTAATAGGTACTATAAACTGAAATGTTTGTTTTTTTTTGGTTGCGAAGACCCTGCGAAGGAGAGGAGAATGAGTCGGAAAGCAGACCCCGGGCGTCATAGGACGTAACCTAGATGATGAAATCGGATGATGATGATTATGATGAGACAAAGTGGCGGGGCCAGCTAGTAAAAGAAAACAGTAAAAGTGTATGGAGAGAAATATAAACTTACTCAGGGGTAATTAATTGTATTCCATCCAGATCCTGGAAGTAGACATGAGAAGCTGGCATGATCATTCCAGCGAGGAACAGCAAGGAGAGCGCGATTTTCCTAGAGCGAGATGATCTACAGGACAAGAAGAAGATCACGCCCGCTATGTAGAGCTGCATATCTACGGCAAGATACCTGAATGTGTAGGAATATAGTTGCATAGAAAATAATGGAATTGATATTTATTTATTTGTTCTTGGAAGACCTACAGCTTTACAAATTGATTTGATATTGTATAGGTTACATTCAGCCATTAACAGGTCTCCACGAGTAGAAAACAGTTTACAATAAGTAAGTGCAAGGATGCAGTATTGTGACGTAGGTAAATTATAGACAACTGTTCGGTTCCATAATCGGTTTAATAATGTTGGGCTAATGTAATGTACACACACCACAGTATTTAAAAACACACACTACAGTATTTAAAAGCTATTATAAGTTCAAACTGGGAGTATGCCAAAGAGGAATGGAAAGAAGTATGTTGGGACTTAAGTTAAAAGACAAGTGGAAAGCGACAACAATTAGGAACATAACCAAAGTAGCAGATGTTACAGTAAAAACACGAACTTTGAAATGGAAATGGACTGGTCACATGATGAGACCAACAACAGGAAAGTGGACCAAAAAAGTAACAGAATGGTACCCGAGGGACAGCAAAAGACGTAGAGGAAGGCAGAAAAAAAGATGGGAAGATGATCTGCCCAAAGGTTGGAGAAGGGCAGCAATGGATAGGCAAATGTGGAGGGAACTTGAGGAGGCCTATGTCGCAAGACAACCTGACCTGGTAACTGATATCAAAAGTTAAGTTTTATACATACAGAAAATAGAAATAAGTAAAGTTATTATAATATAGTTAAGTAAAGTTAGTATAGTTTTGTTTTTATTTTATTGTAATACAAATTGTGCAAGGTCAGAGTAAATAAAGGCTATTTTATTTTATTTATTTATTTATAAGTTCAAGAAAGAATCAAGTACAACACTTAATAAAATTAGTATTCTGAAAAGAACTCAGGACTAAGTGGCTGCCTCACTAATTGCTGACTAGTCACAAATATGTGTGTGTATGTGTGTCTTAAGTTCTAATTGTTTACATTTCCCGGAGACCAATAATAATATCTCAACACATCTTACACACAACCATCTGATCCCAAACTAGGCTGAGCCTATACTATGGCAACCAGACTAAACTTACTTAGATAAACGTGAATAGATAAATCCGTGAACGTCTTTTTATCCGGTTCTAGGACCGGGTATAAGACGTACATATATCGAATATCAGCGCTGCCTCTTTGGTGAATGCTGAGCTAAGATCCGTTTTATCTCCATTTAGGTTCAGTAATTCAGGTATTTATTTTTAGGTCTAATTTACGGTTTTTGTATGTTACAGGAATATAAAAATAATATATTTTCTTTGCTTTTTAGGTCTATGGTCCCTATTAGGTGTATAAAAATCAAGGTCCTGAGTCAACACGATACAAAGATATGGGCAAATTTCGATTTTCGCGACAACTTGTAAGTACCAAAATTTACTTTAATTAAGATAAATTTCGGTACTTATAAATTTTTGCGAAAATCTACTTAAAATCTGGGTAGGTACGGAACCATCGGCGCACGAGTTCGACTCTTACCTGACCGGTTTTTTTCTTTTTTCCGCTGTTAAAATATGTCCCTGGCTTCGCTCTCCTGGCCGTGTTCGCTACTAAAGTAACTTCTGTTATCTACCGTTTATAGATTACCTATTGTCTGGATTAATCCAGGAGATATGTAGATAGCGTACCGATGAAGTGGAAAACATAGATCCTTACCAGCTTAGCAAAACGCACTCCGAGTTTTCGAAATAATTGTTGATGTACAAAAGATTCTGCCACCAGTATTGCCGGCAATCATATAGTTCCTTCTCTGCGTATTTCTGAAGATTTTATTAGAATTTTAATCATACATTTTTACTATAAATATTCAAACAGACACACAAGATATCTTACACTCCATAGGGGGCCAGCTGTGATGTGAGCGAACCACGTGGCTGTTAGGGCTACGATCACGGCATAGGCCGGCGTTAATCTGCAATAGATCCAACGTTTATAAATGATTCCACAGAACTAACTTTTCAAAAAGGATCATGAACTTCAAAGCTTTAATTAAACGTATACATATATTTCAATCCTTAAGTTGCCACTTCTAGGGATGAAATTTCTCTTTTAAAATAAATGGGACCACACGGGAAGTATACCCTCCCAAAACAGATATTTTCAAAATCGATGTCGACTGCACGGATGGCGTAGTGGTTTAAGCGGTCGCCACGCCGCTTTCTACTACGCCGAGTGTTGTGGGTTCAAACCCCACATGGGACGACTCTTTGTGTGATCCACAAATTGTTGTTCTGAGTCTGGGTGTTCTTTGTGTCCGTTTCATGTATGTTTGTAAAGTCGTTGTCTTTTTTAACGAAAAAAAAAAACGATGCATAAATCGAATGGAGTCAAGACAAATTTCATTGGGAAGAAATCCCGTAGACTAAAAAAATCTTTTACATAATATTTGCAGCATCGCTAGCATCTTTTTCTAACACTCTTAAGAGCCCAACGACGTGTTCTTGTTGAAGGCAAGCCATGTTATTTTCGGTACGAGTTCACCTAAATCCTCTGCAAGTCCTTAATAGTTTTTGTAGTCTTGGATTATATTTACACAAGGAACGTTTAAAAGCAATATATATAAAATTCTCGTGTCACAATGTTCGTACCCGTACTCCTCCGAAACGGCTTAACCGATTCTCATAAAATTTTGTGTGCACATCGGGTAGGTTTGAGAATCGGCCAACATCTATTTTTCATACCCCTAAATGGTAAGGGTGACCCATCCCTAATTTTTTTTTGTTTTGCAATACAACGTTTGCCGGGTCAGCTATTTGTAATATAGAATAATACAAAATATGTACCTGACCCATCTCAAAACGATAGATTTTGACAGCATGGACCAGGAGATCGGCTTCTTCTCTAAGTATAGTAACCAGTTGTATACCAACAGGAACGATGTTAAGATCAAAAACGTTTGGATGACAATCGTTCCATTTAGAAATATAAAATAACGTCTAGATACGTATTTCTGTAATAAATAAAAAAAAACATTATTTTAAATACTTTTCAAAATCTTGGTAAGGTACTTTTTAAGTAATATTAAAAGTAATCGAAATCGGTTAATCTATTCAGGAGCTGTCTTACCACACTAGCAAATACACAGATACGTAGACATGTATACTACTTAAACTTACTTAAACTTTAATTTAAGCTCGAAACATTAGAAATATATAAGTGTAATAAATGACTCTTCTTTTGTAAAGTCTTCTTCTGTAACTTAATAAATAACATGCACTTACATACAATAATATGGGTAGCACTTAGCTTTCATTGTTAGAAATACGTACATTACTAGAGTAATGTAACGCTATAGTATTTTTTAAATAATTATGTTAATTAAAAAAATTAAGAACACAAATGTTTTACCTCTTCAAAGCTTTGTGGATTGTCTATCAATATGATATGAGCGATCAGAGAGTGCATACAAATTATAATGATCATAGAAATGACTCTGAAACAGAAGAAATCAGTCAATCAATTTTCTATGGTATACTCGACTCGACTCGTCCATACCATACCAATACCCCCATTGATATGGAATAGACGAGTCATCCGATAGTAAGTAACTGCCACCGCCCATGAACAGAACAAAACAGTCTCTCCGTGTAGCGACTTAATAAGAATACGGATCGTCACTACCCCTGTTCATCCCGTGGGTGTCGTAAGAGCCGACTAAAGCAAAACAATGCAGGACAACAGCACTGCAAAAAGAAGGAAAATTTGACACAAACCCTATATCAACCCGTCTGGCCAGCGTGGTATAATAGGCCAAAAAATCCTTTCTAAGGAGATGCCAATATCCAGCAGTGGACTATTAAAGGTTGTTGATGATGACCGCCCATGAACATTTACAGCTCATAAGATACCAATGCGTTGACGCCCTTTGAGTACCTCCTACCTCCAGAATAGCGGAGGAAGGGAGATTTGGGCTCCGCTAAAAGCAACGAAGTGATTGCTTAACACCAGTTTGCCGTGAGGTATGAGCTTGGCCCATATATTCCGAAGCAGCTTCTCTCACGATCAAAGAAGAGTAAAGTAGATACAAAGTTGAGTTCAGTTTCGTCACGATGAAAACTCACCTTATCCCGTGCAGACCGTTTAAAGATTCTGAACGGGGATCAGAAACGTCTGCATCTAAAGCCATCAGCTTTTTCCAGTTGCGAATTAGTGAGAAACATTTGAGTAATTTAAACACTGTTAACCAATATGAATAATTAGTACAAGTAATCCAATCAGTAAAACCGTTTATTTTCAAATGTTATTTCTAAAATTACCTATGTTTTCTGCCTTCATTCCACTATGGTAATCAGTTAGGCTTCCGACAATGTTAGCAATTAATAATATGGTGAAAATTATTCCTACAATAATGTCCAATTGATCTATATCCTTCATAACCGTGCCAGGTTGTTTACAATGTATATCATTTAAAATTCTAACCTTCAAATCATATTTCGTAGATAATGTTTCATTGAGGCATGCCTCAAGGATCAATTTTAGGTCACTATCAAATAGGTCGTAGAATTTCTGACAAGTTTGCGTGATACATGTACCATACCGCAATTTGGTGTGATTGTAATGTGATACACTGTGTTCTGAAAATTCCTGCAAATAGATCGTTGTGTAGCTTATAGCTTAAAGTAATTCAAGTATTTTTTAATAAATGCAGATTCGTATTCGAATTAAATTCGGGATTATCTCGGAAGTGGTGTGAAATACTTGGTGACTTGGGTGATTTGCAAAATTAAGGGTCGGTCTCAGTTGCTGAATATCTATGTATCTAGACCATTAAATCATATTTGAAAAGATTTAGGTTTTCAAGTAAAACTTAATACGTAGCGCATTAGTATCTACCCAGTTCTGGCAAACGTTGGTTTGAGAATATTTTCACTGTTCTTCATTGCTTACCTGTATCATGGTTAACAAAGGGCTAGGTTTGTCAGAGACCAGGACATACTCTGACATGCAATACAGCGCGTCTGTGTCCTGCTGACACAACTCATAAGAGTCCATGTACATCACAGGAGGCATCTGTGCGTATTCCGATTCTTGAACAGATAAACAAGCATACATTCAGAGGATGTTTGTGTACATATTTATTACCTTCCTAGATGATAAGAATATGATTTTTTTAATTTTCAGTTCACCAAATGCAATGGAATAAAATATTTTTTTTACATTTCAGATATTTATAATTTACTTCTAATAACTGTCGTAACGAAATGAAATGTAGCATCTTTTGAACGTTTCTGTGTGAATAATTAGATTGTCGGATATCACATTAATTTTTTTAATAATTATACAAATGTTAAGGGTATTTACAGTTCATAATGCTTTATGGTATTTTATAACTTCATATACATTTATTAAATACAACATTTACGTTCTATATAATTGTGGTAATGCTACCAGTAGGCAAGGAAAAAGGGACTTTTTGACATCACACATCACTTCAACAGCCTTTAATAGTCCACTGCTGGAAATATTCCTATCCTTAGAAAGGAGGTTTGGACGTAAATATTCCATAGTTAGTATTACTTTATATGGTTATGGTATTATGTTACATAACATGTCTCTAATGTCAGATTGGCAGTTCTAGTTTGTTCAGTATAAAATGCATTAACTTCCATTTCGTTTTTGGATACGCTACAAATTTTTTAACAACTATATGACAGACTAGTTATTCCTAGAAAAAGAAACGAGACGAACTACCGATAAAAGTATCTCAGAAACCAGACATAAGTGCGCTTTATTCGGCTATCACTAGCACAGAAGATGGTTTAGGGACCCTTACCAACAAAATCTATCTATATAAATAAAAATGAATCGCCAAAATTTATGGACCCTCATAACTTCCGAACGACTGCAATTTTTTAAATGCTTTTTTTTGTGTTCGTTATTTTCAGAACAAGGTTTGTATTAAAGAAAATTAAAAAAAAACAATAGGTTTTTAAAACTCAATATGAAAAGTGAGTGAGTGGATGAGACAGATGAGTGAAAGATTTTCAATATGTTGACAAAACATTGACAGATTGACGTTCAGTTGTTGTTTTCCTTCTCTTTGTTGTGCGTTTATCCTGCGTAGTTTGCTCCCTCAGTCAACTCTTACGACACCCACGGGATGAATAGGGGAATAGGAGTGGTGACCCCCCGTATTCTTAATCTGTTACCACACGGACATTACACTTAATGACTAAAGTGGGAAAATAAAGACCACTATAGAACATAACTATACGTCAAAACTACCATGGATCATCAAAATACATACAAACCTAAAAATTGAATGAAATAAGCTAGGAATAAATATCAAAGTTTGTTTGTTTAGTTGAACTCACTAATCTCAGGAACTACTGGTTCGAATTGTAAAAATCTTTTAGTGTTGGATAGGCTAATTATGGTGGAACTAAAAAGGCTAAAATAATATGTCTATATATATATGGCTTTCCACAATTAGATATAAGCCATACCAATTTAACAGAATATTAAGAGATGCATGGTTCTCGAGCTAATATGTTTGAACTGTCTAACTTTGCTTATTTTGTTACCATTTCTGTTTTTGTCTCTTTAGTTTCTCCTTTAATTTACCTTTTCCATTTACTTTTATTATAATTGCAGGGTTCTTTAAATTGTGAGTGAATTCGGAAATCATTATAAGCTTTTTAGATGTATAAATACGAAAACATGTAAATGGTGCATAGTGTTAACACATGTTGTATGCCTTGTTTATGTACACTGTATGTTTATGTTTAATAACAGCCGAGTATTAATAAAAAATGTTGTAAAAACGGGGAAAATTTATTCCTTTTGAGACACGCAGATGGAGTTCAGGCCAATATCAAGGTCAGCTAGTCGTACATAATTTTAAATTCATTCTTATCCATACTAATATTATAAATGCGAAAGTGTCTTTCTGACTGTCTGTTTGTTACCTCTTCACGCTTCTTTCGCTGAATCGATTTAGATGAAATTAGGTATAGAGATAGTCCGAGTCCCGGGAAAGGACATAGGGTAGTTTATATCCTAGAACTTATCCTTTAAAGAGGGTGAAAAGAGGGTGGAAGTTTGTATTTGTAATCAACAACCGCTAAACCGATTTAGATGAAATTTGGTATAGAGATACTTTGATTCTTGAGTAAAGACATACTTTCAAATAGTCAACCATTAAATAGGGTGTTTAAGTTAAGATATCTAAGGCATATTTTATCTCCCAGCCTCAAATACGATGAGGGTCTGGAAAGGGAGGGCATTGACGGTGAGAGCGAACATCAGATCACACTATTCAGATCCTACTGCACGTCTTCCTATATGTGCAGCCTGTGGGCTACATATACTCGAAAAGCATACAACTCCCTCCGTATCCAATACAACAATGCGAGGCTATCCCGCTTCTGTAGTGCATCTGGGATGTTAAAAGCATACAACTCCCTCCGTATCCAATACAACAATGCGAGGTTATCCCGCTTCTGTAGTGCATCTGGGATGTTAAAAGTATACAACTCCCTCCGTATCCAATACAACAATGCGAGGCTATCCCACTTCTGTATTGCATCCGGGATGTTCGAAGAGGGGGAGTGGACTGCTGTCACACTAATATGCGGAAACGGTATGCATGTTTGGTGCGCAGGGTGCGGGCTAGCTCTAACAGCATACTAGCCATGATTGAAGAGAGGTTGGCCTGCAGGTACATGGGTCACTGCAGCGCCGTCTCTCATGGAGTGCATAAATGAATTATTGTAAATCGTCTCTACTAAGGATAAGTTTTATGTATTACAAGCAATGAGTCATGGTTACTCTAATAAAAATGATGATTATAAGATGCTACTTTTTACAGCAGCGGGCAAAACCTAGTTCTTAATAAAATACTAAACTACGTATGTGTATGTAGTTGTGTATCACATCAACAGCCTTTACTAGTCCACTGCTGGACATAGGCCTTTCCTTAGAAAGGAGGTTTTGGCCAGTTTGCTTCCTTAGTCGCCTCTTACGACACCTACGGGATGAATAGGGGTGGTGACACTCCATAGAATACTACGCAAAACAACAGCACTGCAAAGAGAAGGAAAACTTGAAACCAACCCTATACCAACCCGTCTGGCCAGCGTGGTATAGTAGGCCAAAACCTCCTTTCTAAGGAGAGGCCTATGTCCAGCAGTGGACTGTTAAAGGCTGTTGATGATGATGATGATGATGATTTGGAAAGCTACATTATCAGCGAGTAACATAGGCTACTTTTTACCGCGAAAACTGACATACACGCGGGAGGAGCCGCGGGCACAAACTGGTAAGAAATAAATGATTCAAAATAATAATACGCAATACAGATAAAAAAGATTAAGACGGATAAAAAAATAATTATTTTACCTGTAAGCCTATATTTAACAGCATTACAGCAATGTAGAAACATAAAAATAGTAAATATCACAATCATTTTGAGTAACCAAACACACAACCACACTAATGAATGTTAATACAAGTTGAGGGATTATTTATATATTAAGATACTTATTATTATTTATGCAGGCATTGTGGCGAATTCACATGAAACAGAAACATGGTAATTAATTTTCAAAGTTAAACACACGAAGTTAGACAACTAGAGAACTTTGACGATGTAAACAATACAATGTCTAAATTTGTTAATTGACTTAATGTTAATAACTTGAACGAGAAAAAATAATTAATGTGCTAAGTTTGTTACACTCAATTGTTAGGCTAATTATTTATAAAATGTCCGTGTGATATTTTTTTTTATCTTTTCTGAGACATCTTTTTGCTAATTTTCGTTGAAAAGGGACGGATGTGCGTAACAGGAAGTGTTACGCTAAATAATTTGTTCAATGTTATAGAATTGACCGTCAGACTACTGTTAGGCTGGCATATCTATTTTCAAAACATCAGTCGAAAAGGTAAGGTAGACAAATCCTAATTCAGTAGAAATAATCGAAATTAAATTCTGTCTCGTGACGGATTAAGAATACGGAGTGTCACCACCCCTATTCATCCCGTGGGTGGCGTAAGAGCCGACTAAGGGAGCAAACTACGCAAGACAACAGACAACAGCACTGCAAAGAGAAGGAAAACTAGAAACAAACCCTATACCAACCCGTCTGGCCAGCGTGGTACAGTAGGCCAAAACCTCCTTTCTAAGGAGAGGCCTATGTCCAGCAGTGGACTAATAAAGGCTGTTGATGATGATGATGATGATGTTAGGCAAAAGAAATCATATTTAATTATTAAGAATGATGAACTGCCCTTCGTTATTACTACGGTCTTTTGGGTATAACTTTAGATGGTAAGCTACAGCGGGGTAATCATGTTCTGCTGTTTGACACATGTAGAAACGGCTAGATTGGTTTATGAGGTTACCGGAGTCCAAACTTCTCCTCCCAACAGATTCCTGACGTTTTATACTCTGGCAGCATTCTTCAGCACAGTGTCTGCGCTTCTAGCCTTTAGGTATGACGCGGGAACAAATATAAACTCAAGATGGATTCTTTTTCTACCTCCCTAAAGACTCATTCAATTTTCTTCTTCAACTCCCAACTCGCCATCACTCTCAAAACCCTGTCATTCGCGTCATGCGGTGGTTTTGTGGCTGAGAGACACCCAGCCTCAAACGGTAGTCCTTGAGACCAGGCGATCTTGAGGTGTAAATAGCCACACGCCGGTAGTAGTAGCTCGGGCTCGCGTGTGTATATTTTTCAAGATTTTAGTGGGTAACCTCACATGGGGGGGTCGTCTACTCGTCTGTAGATGGCCCGAGGTATGTCGGGGCACCAGGGACTTCCTTTCTAGGGTATACCTGGTTCCCCGGCTATTAGTACCCGAGATGGCGTGCGGTTTTAGTCGGTTCGAGTCCGACATGCTACCGACAGGTGGTATCCGAGGGGATTTCCGCACGGAAAAAAAAAAAAGTGGGAAACCTTAATTGTGACTAAGTCGCAATTATTGGAGGCCTTTCTAACAGGCCCGGAGAAGCAGAACTATATTAAACACGAGAATTTTAGCAAATAACTCGGCGTCAACAAATTTCAAATTTAGGTATCAGAGGGGTCGGTAGTCAGGGCCGTCGGCGGCCACGTTCCGCCCCACCATCAGCAGAAACCACGGGGGGAGGGAGGGGGGGGGGGACCTGGCCGCCGACGCGTTGCTACAAGGTCAGTCGTGTATCTATCTCTAACGCATTAAATAAATTCACTGCTTTGCTCTAACTCAGATACTTCGGGAATTAAAGGTAGGGAAGAATGGAAGGCAATGAGAAATAAAAACAACTGTTTTTAAATGTTTTCTGTATTTCACACTTTGGATTGTGGTTGATCATCTCGTTTGTTGTTGTTGGGTGCGAGTGCTGCTCGTATGAGGCTAGCTGCGGGCGCCTCCAGAACCAACCACAAGATGGCCGCGCACAAATACGACAGGAATATTGACGCTGCTAGTACGGTTATCTAAATGGTGGTAAATTAATAATAAGAATAATAACCAAACACATCTCACACACGGCATTCTGACCACAAACAAGGCAGAGCCTGTTTTCTGGTAACCAGAATGCTGATAAACATACTTAAATATTCCTAAATACATACATAACTTTTACAAAAATAAATAAAATTGAAGTGTCTGTTTGTAATGTCGAAATAATAGGTTTTTCTTGCTCACACGGTTATTTGCACGCTATCTATGCCTAAAAACCACTTTAAAAATGTTTTGTCTGTCTATTTGTTTCAGATAATCTTCAAAACGGATAACCCATTTTGGAAATATTTTACTACCAGGTAGATGTCTATATAAGGAGTAACTTAGGCTATTTTTCCTTTCAGAAAAACCCTTCAAAATGTTGCCCTGTCCGGGACTCGAACTCACTAAGGCAGCGCTTTTCATATTCCACGCGAACGAAGTCGACCAGCTAGTAATAGATAAATTTCACCCAGATGCAGAACAAATGATCGTCACTCGTCGATTACAATATTTTTCCTGGGTGGGAATTGAACCCACGACCTCTGGCTTAGCAAGGTCACTAACTACTAGATCAACAGACCAGTCACCAGTCGTTAGCTAATTGAGTAGGAATGGACTAAACCTTGGAGGAATTAGAGGAACAAGTGCGTTGCCTCCCCTTTCCAATTCAGGGGGGATTTGGTCTCCAGTAATCCCCTTACTCGTTGAAAAGCAAGCGTTGTACGGTCGTGGTTACACTCCGGTCGAGCCGGCCAATGATATTTTATACTAGGGTTTGAATAAAGTCACAATCACATGTTATAAATCATATGATTGATGTGACTGATTTACATAACCACTGCGACTTAATTATTGGCGAAGGCTCGCGAAAGGTCTGAATAAAAAAAAATTGATTGATTTTAATACCATTTATCTTTGTCTGTGACGAAATCACAATCACATGTGAAATCGCTGTGACTAAACCAATCATTTCATCAAATAAATATGATTACAAGTAGCAATAATTTCCATGTTTATTATATACATACCAGGGGAACGTGAGGGTCCTAATTAGGACCGCGCGTACGTACTAATTAATTCGAAAAAAAAAACATAATATGCTTTCTGTCGCTGTGTTGATTACAAATAGCTGTCTCTTTCACTCTTATGCTTTCCGTATTTAACGTATGTTTTGTTCTGAAATGCATTAATAGATGTACCTATGTATAGGGTTACGGAACAATTTTTTTTTTTTTAAGACAACTCCCGCACTATGAATAAATCCTGTGTCGCGGGGACTTTACAAACATACATGAAACGGACACAAAGTACATCCAGACTCAGAACAACAATTTGTGGGTCGCACAAAGTGTTGTCCCATGTGGGGTTTGAACCCACAACACTCGGCGTAATAGGAAGCGGCGTGGCGACCGCTTAAACCACTACGCCATCCGTGCAATCAAATACATATTTTGTGCGTGCAGTATAAATAAATCTATCATCCTTAAAATATCATTGGAGCCGGCCTATTTTTGTCCAATCTTATCTCTTCTATAATACAGTTCCACATACCACATAGTAATCCGACATGTGTGTAGGACTGGTCTGTGCTCCAGTCAGCCCTCGCTGGAACAGCGTGTGGAGGAGGAACGCGCTGTATGAGACCCTGCCCGTCCAGGTGAAGCCTCGCCATTCTATAATACCGCGGTACACATCTGGAAACATACACATCTTTAGATAGACTTAAACTAGCAATGCTTATAATTTTAGGATACATAATTACATGTAATAGAAAGCAAAAGTTTTTTTTTTAATTTAATGAGCTACATAATTGGATAACGACGGATGCGGAATACGGAGGGTTACCACCGTTTCTCATCCCGTGGGTGTCGTGAGAGCAGACTAAGGGCGCAAAACAACGCAGGACACCAGCACCTCAAAAAGAAGGAAAACTTGACACAAACTCTGTACCAACCCATCTGGCCAGCGTGGCATAGTAGGCCTAAACCTCTTTTCTAAGGAGAGGCCTATGTCCAGCAGTGGACTATTAAACTGAAACTGCTATTATTTAAAAATCCAAATATAAATTACAGGTTACCAGAATTGAGAAATTACTACTAATTAGAATGACTAAAATGAAGAATTACTAAAAACAAGAGAAGAAATACTATTACTAAAAACAGAGAATTACTATAAGAGAAATACTGTTACTAAAAAAGAGACTGACTAAAGACAAATACTCACTTTCAAGTTTGAAGACAGAGGGCACGATGATGCCGATGACGATCATTTGGAAGATCGGCTTGTAGAGGGTCGCGTACAGCACGCGCAGGGAGGTGGGGGGGCGGCCCTCGTCGCGGTACATCAGCCCCCCCGACAGGATCACCGCCACGCCCAGCGGGAAACACACCCACGATACCCATCGGTATTTCTGAAGGACAATTCTCGTAATAAAAGTTCGGTCTCAATTCAGTTCCTATCAACTCTTGATCTCACAACTGTTATAAAAGGTATTTCGTAGTAAAGTATTAAACATCCAAAGTTGACTGTAATGTGATTATATCGTATTGTTACCGAAAATTGAATCGGTAATCCGCTAGTCTCAGTAATACTTTACTATTTCACAAAAAAAATACCTTGTATGACAGAGACAGAGAGTTGATAGGAATTGTATTGAGACCAAATGTTTCTTCTTTAATAATAATAATAATCAGATTCGGCAATCGTTGTACCGATAGTCATATCGGCCCATGGATTAGTTGCTAAGAGATTCGACCAACATCTTCAGAGGCTCGCGTTAGGCAGTTGGATTAAGGGTCTGATGCAGAAAGCAGTTCTTCGCGATACGGCACGTATTGTGAGGAAGTTTCTGTCTCTGGAGTCCTAACCACCGATATCTTGGTCTCTGTACCCGATACCGATGGGATACTACTTTTTATATTTTTAAATGTATTTTATTTTTTGTTTTTGTATATAAATATATTTAAAAATGTAATTTAAATTTAAAATGTATAAAGAATGAAATAAAGAAATAATAATAATATATTTATTTGTCAGAATATTGTTGAGGTACAGGTGTTAGACATAATATGACATCCATAATATTCTGTTGTTTCCAGCGTACAAATATTTCCAGGAAGGATTAGTAAATACAATGTCAAGAATTATTATATACAATGTCAAAAAAGATTAAATAAAATGTCAAGAATTATTAAATATACTTGAGGATTATAAAATACAATGTAAAAAATTATTCAAAGCGATGTTATAGATATTAAATTGAATTTAATTATTGAGAATATCAAGGCAAGTCGTCGTCTAATTTATAATTTGGGTCAAATTTTTCATTTAAAAACTCATTTGTTGAGTAGTAACACTTATACAATAGGAAGTCAAATAACTTCTTTTTAAATGTCATGAAGTTAAGGTTTTTATAAATATTAGGTAATTTATTATAAACACGAATTGCCATACAGTAAACATTATTGGCAAATAATTTAATCCTTTGTTGGGGTACACATAATTTGTGGATATTTCATCTTTTTCTTGTAACAACATCATTATGTACTGGAAATAAAGCTTTATTTTTATGTACAAAGATACAGAGTTCGAATATGTATAAAGATGGGAGTGGTAATATTTTTAAATGTTTGAAGAGTGGGACACAGCTTTCTAATGGATGGGCTTTAGTTATTGATCTAATGCATTTTTTCTGGGCTCGGAATGCTTTAATGATATCAATAGAATTACCCCATATAATAATGCCGTACCGGAGAATTGATGCTATGTAGCCGTGATAGGCATAGAGTGCAGCATTGATACCAGCTACGCGAGTCAGTTTGTACAAAACATATACAAATCTTTGCAGTTTAGTGCATAGTGTATCGATACACGACATATATCGATACGACTGCACGGATGGCGTAGTGGTTTAAGCGGTCGCCACGCCCCTTCCTACTACGCCGAGTGTTGTGGGTTCAAACCCCACATGGAACGACACTTTTTGTGATCCACAAATTGTTGTTCTGAGTCTGGGTGTTCTTTGTGTCCGTTTCATGTATGTTTGTAAAGTCCCCCGCGACACAGGATTTATTCCTAATGCGGGCGTTGTCTTTTATAAAAACAAAAACAAAAACAAAGATATGTTCTTTCCAGTTGCAATGTCTATCCAACGTTATACCCAAAAATGTAGCACTTTCAACCTCTTCTATAGCGTCATTTGCATACCTTATTTCTAATTGGTGACGTCTGCTGTTGTATGCTTGGAACTGTATAAGTTTAGTTTTACGAGATTGTCATTGATCACTGTATTTTATTTGTGTTTTTGACTAAAATTGGCAGTATTCGGTCGGTTGGTATAGTTTTGTAATATCCAGGAAATTGAAAATATGGAAGAAGCTTTTTTAAGTGATCACAATTTTATTTAATCACGTCAAAACGACATGAAGATTACACGAATTTGGATGAAATATAGAAAAAATCGTGAAAATGGACAAAATAATGTAACAGGTCGTCGGGGAAGCGAGTGCTAAAGGTGGCTGTGACGCGCTTGTGACTCCCGAGTTGCAGGCGTTCATGGGCGACGGTGGTAACTTTCCATCAGGTAACCCGTCTGCTCGTTTGCCCCTTCTTCCGTAAAAAAAAGATACACATCATATCGCTCGCACGTTGTTTTGTCTCGTTCTCACCTTATACTTATCTAGACCCTTTCCATTCTGCCAACGGTACGTGAGGAAGCCAGCAGCCAACCCCAGTACGTAGGTAGAAATATTAGTATGTCCTCGTGCATACAGCAGGCGGAACGTATCGTTTGTGGCATATAAATTGCGGTAACTCCTGCAAGGTGAAAAAAGGATCGGTCATGGTCAGTGTTATCTTCAGTGCATTTAGTATTATGTCATGGCCATATTATACAATTGATCATTTCAGAATGTCATCGACCGTTTCATAAAATATCCGTGTTCTATAAAATAATCAAAAACATATGGTCTGGCTAGATTATTTAGTAACTATCGTTTGAGTGTACGGATGGCGTAGTGGTTTAAGCGGTCGCCACGCCGCTTCCTACTACGCTGAGTGTTGTGGGTCCCCACATGGGACGACACTGTGTGTGATCCACAAATTGTTGTTCTGAGACTGGGTGCTCTTTGTGTCCGTTACCCCCGTGACACAAAATATATTCCAGACTGTTTATGGTTAATTTTAGTAAAAGTGATAAATATAAAATCTAATTTAGTGTAATGATAGATTTTTCTTATTTTTAATTATTTCACTGGTGCATTTTTGTGAAAATAGGTTCAATTCTAATATTTGTTGTACATAAAAAGTAATTATTTGTCAGTATAAATCTATTATGTCTCCTGTACTTTACTTTTTGTTTCATACTAGGATAACATTTTATTGCTAAAATTTATAACGGCAAATGATTATTAACTCAGATTCTGAAATTTTTGTTCCAGAATGGTTAAATATTGAATTATAAAATTGAAGTATATAATGCACCTAAATTTATAATGAGATATATTTTTTATCTCTTAATTTTCCACTTATAAAGTTGGAATATTTTCTACAAATGTAAAGAGGACCAATTTGGTACTAATAGGTACGATTTGGTTCATTTGGGTACAAAATCGCTTCTAAAAGCCTGTAAATGCCCCAGGTGGTTTTTGCGCTTCCGATAAGAGATGGGTTTCTCACCTAGCCAACCTTACCTCAACGCATAAAGGACCGTTCTTGAGTCTAAATACGGAAACCGTAGCCCACCACCAATACTAATAAAACCAAACTTATAACTAGACCACAAAAAAAGAATCAAATTTAGAACATCGGAAGTCTTGGTATAGTTGTGACATTCATCTCTCGACAGGCCTGTTGGTCTAGTTTTTAGTGACCCTGACTGCTAAACCAGAGATCGTGGGTTCGATTTCCACCCAGGACAAATATTGTGTGATGAGCACGGTCATTTTTTCTGTGTCTGAGTGTAATTTATCTATAATATACATGTATTTTAAAATATATTTGAATGTTTATCAGCAGTCTGGTTACCATAGTACAGGGTCTGCCTAGTTTGGGATCAGACGGCCGTGTGTGAGAAGTGTGAGATTTCTATATCAAACCAGAAATAATAATCTACTTACTCAGGCGATTGTATAACTACAGCTTCTAAATCTTGGAAGTACGTCTGACCAGCCACAATGGCTAGAGCAACCACCATCAGGCCAGTTAGTGTCACCACTCTAGCCTTGCAAGTTCGAGCAAGAACACAGACGAGGAGACCGAGGCAGAACAGCTGTGTGTCTGCTGCCAAGTACCTGGCACATGGTTTAATAAAAATAATTGTAAGTATTTTTCCAAATTTTAATACTTATACTTTTTGACTGCACGGATGGCGTAGTGGTTTAAGCGGTCGCCACGCCGCTTCCCACTACGCTGAGTGTTGTGGGTTGAAACCCCACATGGGTGACACTTTGTGTGATCCACAAATTGTTGTTCTGAGTCTGGGTGTTTTTTTGTGTCCGTTTCATGTATGTTTGTAAAGTCCCCACAGGATATATTCCTAATGCGGGAGTTGTTTTGTTTGTAAAATTGTAAATTTTATGATGTGGGGGGGTAAATGAGCACAGAAATCATCTGATGGTGAGTGACTATCGCTGCCCATAAAACCTTATATTATTATAACTAGTTGAGTTGACTTTGGAGTTGCCAGGGTCTATAATAAAGTAAAGAAAGGTAAATTTTGAATGATGTAAAATATACTCACCAAGTCTGCGGCATGCATAAAGCATCATCATATACGTAATTATTGATGTAAAGGAACTGAGCCCACCAGTACTGCCTGCAAGCGTCTGCTTCTGACACCACTACCAAACCCCACATTGGACCCTGGTGCATGTGACGCATCCATGTCACTATAGTACCTAGCACTAAAGCGTACGGTGGTGTTAGTCTGAAAGCAGAAGATAATTTTTATAACTTTTCTGAGACATCTTTTTTCTCATTTTCGTTGAAAAGGGACGGATGTGCGTAACAGGAAGTGATACGCTTAATAATTTGTTAAATGTTATAGAATTGACCGTCAGACTACTGTTAGGCTGGCATATATATTTCCAAAACATCAGTCGAAAAGGCTTGGTAGACTAATCCTAATTCAGTAGAAATACTCGGAATTAAATTCAATCTAGTGACATAAAAGGGTATTAAGGGAGCAAACTAAGCAGGACAACAGCACTGCAAAGAGAAGGAAAACTTGACACCAACTCTATACCTACCTGTCTGGTATAGTACGCCAGAATCACTTTTCTAATTAGAGGCCTATGTCCAGCAGTGGACTATAGAAGGCTGTTGTTGTAATGTGCTGACTCCAAATCCAAGTTTACGTCAGTTACCAAAACTCACCTTAACCATCTAAGTATAATTCCTTTAGGCAAGTGCATCCACCTGATGGGATGCTTCTCTGTATGTAGCATGAAGTTGTACGCGAGGAGAAAACTTGACATTATGAAGAAGGTATGCGTGACAAGACTACCGTTGAAGAGTAATTGTTTTAGTGGGTCGTCGTAAGCCTGGAGGAGAGATATTGGTATATTATGGTACTTTTTTATCTCATGGAGACGACTAGGCGGGTCACCTGGTGACGATTGAGTATCACCGTTCAAGGTCATGGTCAACTAAAAAGCCACGTGTCGAATTATAGTCGTTTATTTACATTCTGTTCTATTGACTGCCTCGGTGTCGCAGTGGTAGCGTATGCGACTGCTGTGCTGAGGTCTCGGGTTCAATTCCCGGGTCGGACTAAATATTTGTATGATCTGCAAATCTGCTAATATTTGTTTTGGAGTTTGGGTGTTTTCTATGTATTATATGTATGTACAAAAAAAAAGTATATAAGTATTCTTTTAGTCAATCTAGTTTTCATAGTACAAGCTCTGCTTGATTTGAAACTAGATGACGTTGTGTGTCAGATGTCCGAAAATATTATTCTTATTATATCAACAAAGTACAAAGGAGGGTTTAGCCTACTAAACAACGCTGACCAGACGGGTTGGTATAGCGTGTTTCAAATTTTCCTCCTGTTGTTCTGCGTACTTTGCTCCCTTAGTTGGCTCTTAAGATACCCACGGGATGAGTAGGGGTGATGACACTCCGTATTCTCATTCCGTCACCACACGGACTCAGACCACATATCGGTGAATAACCACATATCGGACTGTTAAAACAATTTGGTTCTAAGCAATTGACGACTCACATAAAAATAAAAAACTATATTCAATATTCATAGCACGTCAAAACGATATTACGAATGAGGCTAACTAATAATTATTGTTTTAAGGCGTTCAACCTTATAGATTGTGATTGGAAATACTTTTTTATTATTTACTTATAAAACAGCTTAAACTAAGATCGACATCCGTGTGGTGACTGATTAAGAGTACAGAGTGTCGCCACCCCTATTTATCCCGTGGGTGTCGTAAGAGCTGACTGCAGAAAGAAGGAAAACTTGACACAAACTTTGTACCAACCTTCTGGTCAGCGTGGTATACTAGGCCAAAACCTCCTTTCTAAGGAGAGGCTTATGTCCAGCAGTGGACAATTTAAATCAACTAAGATCAGAAAACACTCGCACTAAAGATTTTTCAGATTTTTAAAGGCATAGGGCGTAAATAAGCAGGTGCAACTATAGAGAGCGTGTCGAGCGAACGTGCCACAAGTTTTTTTTTTACCCACACGACCATCTGATCCCAAATTAGGCAGAGCCTGTACTATGGTAACCAGACTGCTGATAAACATACTTATATGTTTCTAAATACATACATATTATAGTTAAAGTACACGCAGATACAGAACAAATGACCTTGCTCATCGCACAATCAATCGACATTCCCACCCAGGACAAATAATTGTAATACCCACGACCTCTGGTGTAGCAGTCAGGGTCACTAACCACTAGACCAACAGGCCAGTCATGTCCAAATGCGTTGCAGGCCTTTGTGTACCCAATAATTATGGGGTGAAGGGACTCTCGCATTAGGAACATATCGTGTGTCGCGGGGAACTTTACAAACATACATGAAACGGACACAAAGAACACCCACACTCAGAATAACAATTTGTGGATCACACAAAGTGCCGCCCCATGGGGGGATCGGACCCACAACACTCAGTGCAGTAGGAAGTGGCGTGGCGACCGCTTAAACCACTACGCCATCCGTCCAAGTTCCTTATCGAGCGTTATGAGCGCGACCGAAAAATGTGTAACAATACTTTTTTCCGACACTTCTTTCTATAGTTACAGCCGTGTAAGAACTATATGCATCATCAGAAATAACTTAATTACCGCATATTATTGTTTAATTTATCATTATTTGTTTTTTATATAATTTACATATTTTTTTCAATTTAACTCTTAACTCTTAACTGTATAGCAAACGTCTAACAAAAAGCGAAAGGAACTTCGTGTTGACCGGGGTCCCATAGACCCCTCACGCCGTTTTTATTTGTAAAAATAATACTTACTGTCTCGATATACAAAGGGTTATCTACATAACTCATTGACATCATTAAAGTTGTATGAGAAAATAACACGCAAAACATCGTCATTGTCCTGTAAGAATATAAAGGAAAAATTATAAAAACCTAATGACGCCTGTTTTTAAGTAAAAATTTCGCAAAGAATCACAGATCTCTTAGAGTTCTTTAATCGTTTTGAATTTTCTATATGTTGTACATACATACATATATGTTTTTATTAAATCAATGTTTTTTGTTTGCATTTTATTTTTCGTGGAACCGGTCATCATGAAGTTTTGCATAAACGTGGACAATGATTACAACAAAGGACATAGGGCTTGTGTCATTTATAAAAAAGTTCGAAATTGATAAAAAAACAACAGTTACCTCAAGCCATTAAATAATTTCAGTCTTTCAAGTCTGGGTTCCTTCGAGTTTGAACTGGATGCTGTTAAACGCGTCCAATTTTTGCGCAAAGAGAACGCTAATAAGTATGGATTACCTATAAATGGAATAAACTTGACTATTAACAAATTAGTAACAATAAAATGTTAGAAAATTAAAGTGTAGTTACCCGATTTCTCTTTCTGGTTACAACATATGACATCGTACAGGCTTCCGACAGCGTTGAGTAAAATTAAAACTAAATAAACCACAGCCATAATTAAATCACTAGTATCTATTTCTAATGTCTCATCTTTCTTGTAACAATATTGAATATCAGATAGTTTTCCTTCAAGTCCATATCCTGTATGTACAGAGTTATTAAGGCATGCCTCAAGGACCTTATCTAGGTCCATTTCATTTTTTGTGTTATTTTCCAAGAAATCCTTGCATGTACTTGTAACACATACACCTCGGTGTATTTGCGTGTGATTAAAATGTTTCATTGTGTGATCTGAATATTCCTGAAATTAATAAAGGAATTGAATTATATTTCAATTTGAAATCTATTGAGATGCCATCGAGTGGCCATTGGCATCGGTATAACTATCGGTAATCTACACTACCTCAGTGTCTTTACAGTGGCGATGGAATGGCAGTGGCTCATCAGTGGAAAAATAAATAAATAATTTCCTCATAATTTGAAAATTTATTACGTTTTTTTGGCCCAGATCATCGACAACACCGAATACGATATATAACGTGGAAGTGTTTTAAATGTTCTCGTCTTACTAGATTTTTCAACGCTTTTGGTACTGTGAATACGTGTTAATTTTTATCGTAATTATGATTAATTGGCTTGGAAATGTATATTTAGAGCCTAATCATTTTTCTAAGTTCTTTTTTTTCTAAATAGCCAACTGCCGCACTAGAAATATATCCTGTGTATCAGGGGACTTTACCAAAAATCCAAAAATCCTACAAACAATACGAAGAATATTCCCACAACGTCGATAGATAATCTCACGCCACGCCTTCTAGCGAGTAGTGGTTATAGTCGAGATAATTCTAGGGACTCAAAAAAAACAATCAATTTACTGCTGATAATATAAACCTGAATAAAAACCTGACATGGGACACTCTTCGTTCTGCTCTGCACTGAAGATAAGCTTTCGCTACTTACCACGGCCTGATCAAAGCCCCCAGAACTCCACTCTGAGCTTAATTCTGTCTCCATCTACTTGAAAGTAATTTTATTTTTATTTTTGAAAGTTCAAAGTGACCTAACTGTATAATTTCTCTCCATCATTTAATTACTAACGAAAAAAACGAAAACGAGTTCTTGAGTGGAGACCGCGTCTCGGCAAACGTAGTGTAGGACGCCCACAGGCCAGGTGGAGTGACGATTTGCGCAAGATGGCTGGCAGGAGCTGGATGCGAGAAGCCCAAAATCGATCTAAGTGGCGTGCAATGGGAGAGGCCTATGTCCAGCAGTGGACTGCGATAGGCTGATGATGATGATGATTTAATTACTGGATCGATCACGTGTTAGTGCACTAGGCCGATCCCCCTAACCACGTTACACTAACTCTTCACGAAAGCACCAACGTCCCATATTCCACACAGTAAATAACGCGACATAATACTCGTAAAACTTCTTAAAGGATAGAGATCACGCCATCTTTAACCTCTAACACAAACACATTCAGTTTTTTATCAGCAATGCAATAAAATGCATAAGCCATAATTTGGCGTCATTGAGATGCTAGTGACCTAGAGGCCACCAACACATTATAATTAGACTACTTGTAAAATAGAAATTAAAGCAAATTATACGTTTGTTTGGATAATTAGATTTGTTTAATAAACAATTGTTATAGAACACGCGTATTTAAGTGCATAGGAGTAAACTAGTACGTTCTTAAATTCTAAGGCACTCAAATGGTATATTTCAAGTCATTTTTGAACTAACCTTCACACAATGCACAATTTAGAAGCTCTCACATCAATCACATCATCAACAGCCTATAACAGCCCAGACATAGGCTTCTCTTAGAAAGGAGGTTTTGGCCTACTATACCACGCTGGTCAGACGGGTTGGTACAGGGTTTGTTTCAAGTTTGCAGTGCTGTTGTCCTGCGTAATTTGCTCACTTAGTCGGCTCTTACGACACCCACGGGATGAATAGGGGTGGTGACACTCCGTATTCTTAATCCGTCACCACACAGACAAAGCTCTCACTTCAATGGTTTCCCAAAATTACTGGAAGACTGACAGAATAATTCCATCAGCTTGACTGACTGCTAGATTATCAAAGATCAATTTCTAAGCTTCTAGATCTCTTAGGCAATTTAATATACTTTCACAAAATGGTACATATTAGAGGATGTTGCTAACTGATACTTTTGATGATGATTTAATAATGTGGTCGAATATCAGAACATATGAATGCAACATCATGAACTATGAATTCGATTACCGTTCAGTTCAAATACTTTTTATACATAAATATGGCTACTGAGGTTGTGTTTACGTATAATTTTTTGACGTGACAACGTCTTATAATTCGATGGAGCCGGCTGCACGCACGAAAAAACATGACTCATGCGGCGTTACCTCGCTCTGAGGCGTTCCATTTAAGGCGTGAAGTGCAAGCGAGAGTTCGGAACGAGTGACAAAGAGGCACAATCGGCCTCCGCGTTCGGCAGCGTTCGACATCTGTCTCTCTCCTACTTGAGTGAGCGATGCGTCCGCGTGGACAGCTGCTACTCGTATACAATAATACATTTTTGAAAAATGCTACCATTCCATCAGTGTTTTCTTATGACGTTGTCACGTTCAACTATCGTCAGTAAACCGACTTTACAGACAACCGATTTTTTATGTATAATAAGTATATAGGACATAATATTTACAAAGTTTAGTAATTAATATAATTCTGTAAATCATATTAATTACTGACTTTTGCCCGCGGCTCTAACCGTAGAATATGTTACTCGCTGGCTTTTACTTGGTGAAAGAATTTTTCAAATCGGTTTAGTGGTTTAAGCGTGAACGTGTGAAGGAACCGGTGTTATGTTCCTCAAACACAAAGTGAGGATCTTCCGACCAGGCAAAGTGATCATGACTGGCGGGCCGCGGCCTAACGGTTGATGTTGGTAACTCGTATACTAATCGCCGTGAGAACTTTTTACCTAGGAGTACCAGACACTGTAGTATGTTTATTCGTTTCAAACATGGGGAAGTCGCCACAAACGCGTAACAAACAATCGTAATCACTTTCACATTTATAAAATAATTATGGATTACACGTATTTGTATTTGATCTCTTTTGATCTTTACAAGATAAATATAGTTTTTCCCGTTCATAGAGGTGGTAGTTATAGTGTTAGTTAGTTTAATATACCCCGTTAATTACTACCGAGAAACGTTTATGATTACTATTTATGAGTAGTACATATTATACGCACGACAACATTATTATAATAGTCCACTAACATGCTCATTATTATGGCACACATACATACACTCACGCCTATATTCTTAATGGGGTAAACAGAGTCGTATTTAAACTTCCACAATTTGCCAACTATATTTATCGCCCCACTTAATAGGGGACAAGTTTTTGGCGGTCTATATATTTCTAAATAACATACTTGTATATTTTTAAAACAAATTAACCCATTATAAAAAACTTATTTACTTGCTCTCGGTGGGAATCGAACAAACTACCACTGACTTAACCAGGACCGCTAACCATGAGGCCAACAGCAACAAACATATTACAGCGACAGATTTAGAATACAGTGTCCCTAATCCTATTCATCCCGTGGGTGACGTAAGAGCCAACTAATGGAGCAAACTACGCAGGACAACTCTGAGTGTTGTGGGTTTGATCTCCACATGCGACGACACTTCGTGTGATCCACAAATGGTTGTTCCGAGTCTGGGTGTTCTTTGTGACCGTTTCATGTATGATTGTAAAGCCCCAAGGACACAGGATATATTCCTAATGCGGGAATTGTATAAAATACAAATACAAATATTAATTACCTGTTTCATCCTCATGAGATCTTTATTACTGCCGGCCTGTAAGTCTACATTGATCACACAGTATGTGGCCCCAGGGTATATCATGCAGGTTTCGTAGTTATCCATTGCGTACAGAGGTGGCATTTTGTTGTATTCACTCTCTGAAAATATAAAAAAAAACATTGGATAGTCTGTGGTATAGACTTCAGAAAACCCTATCATGAACTGGTGTTATTGCCTTTCATGTGATGTTTATTTCTTTAATCCTAACAATCATGGGAGAGTCATACTTCGGCTCTCACTTGTGATCAGAGGCCCTAGTGTAGGTTTATTTTATTTCTAGATAATCGTCACGGTTCCTGCGTTCGGCGTTGTGATTGGTAAAGAGTTTAGTTCGGGGCAAACACAAGGCCGAGCGGACGAAATAAGCTTACACTATGCTCTCTGTTGGTTCTCCCGGGCCGTAATCCCACTGGAGTTTTCGGTGAGACAGTGTGTTGGTATTGAACCGATTAAAACCATATGGTGATCCCAGAAATTACCTAGCATACTACTGAAGTGAACCCACTAACTAAACGTAAGTAGTTTCATTGGAGGATTTAACTGGAATTCCAGTAATGTGGGATCCAGGTCCCTGGTAACTAATATTAATATTAACAATCATCTTTATTGAACACCAAATATAATACAAAGAAAAGTTAATACCAGTTTAATTTGGCTAGTACAATTGGCAGTCTTACCGCAATGTGGCAATCTTTTACGGACAACCAATGGATGGAGACTAACATTGGCAAATATTATTTGGGTGGTATGGTGCGAGTTCAGTGCATTATTTAATAAAATACAAAAAAGTAGTTATAAAAGTTCAAGGTTGTAAAATAAACTTATTAGATTTACGACAGCAGAAACCCACCAACGCGTAGCATCCGATAAAGCCTGGTTTATTTATAAGGTAATAACACTCAAAGATGCGTTATACGAGTAATGCAGGTAAATACTTGATTTTATAGTGAGCCTTATGACCTGCGACTCTAGCAGATACAGTTTAAACGCATCTTTGAGTCTAGTCTAGTTATTCCGCATTTAAATAAATTTAATGTGTAAAAAGTTTAGTAGATATCTACTTATATTCTTCGTCGAAGACATAAGAGTTTCTTAAGATCATCATAAACGGAGTTGGAGATTGTGCGAGGTACAGACGATGTGATCACCTTGCCTGGGCGGAGGTTTGTGTTTCAGGGACCTTAAACTCTTTCCTCCACAATATCATTCTTAAAACCGGTATGAGGCCTCCCAAATGTTTTTGAAGAGCAAATTTCACATATTCGTGGCACAGGATCAATATTAGAATGTACTTTAGTGCTTGTAGTGTTTGTTCTACTGCTGTTTTAGTGCTTGCAGTGTAATACAACATTTAGATAAATACAAACACTCACGCCTATAGGAAGAGGTGTGGCCTGGTGTAAAGTGGTTAAATGACCACGTTTTAACATTATTTTATAATTTATGTCCCACTTATGTAACAGGGGTAAACTTTCTTATTGATTATTACTATACCACGCTGGCCAGACGGTAGAGGGTTTGTTTCAACCCTTTGAGGTCGCCTCCCCCCTGGGCTGGTCGTTATGTGTAACGCAGATGACACGCTGGTTACAGCCCGGGGAGCGGACTTTCAAGAGGCTGCGTGCCTAGCCACCAGGAGAGTCTCTCTGGTGGTGGGGCCCTGGATAAGACGGAGGCCCTATTTTTCCAGGGCCCCGTCGTGGACCGCCCCCCGGTGCCTCCATCGTGGTCGATTCAGTCCTAGTACCGGTTCAGGTCCAGATGAAGTATCTGGGCCTGATTCTTGACGGAAGGTGACTCTTCGACGAGCACTTCCGACAGGGCGCACCGGTGTGTTCAGTCAATGGCACTGTACTGAGTACCGATGTGCATGGTGGCTCTCAGCCCGAGGGGATTTCCACACGTAAAAAAAAATTAACAAAAGGGTTTCTTTCAAGTTTTCCTTCTAGTCGGCTCTTACGACACCAACGGGATGAAAGAGGCGGTGACACTCTTTATTCTTAATCCGTCACCACACGCATAAACCTATTGCCGTCAGGCACTGTAAAGGTTGCATGGACAGATTAGGAATATATTAAAAGATAAGATAAGACAGCAACAGAAAATAGATATTGCTGATACGGATGCATTGATGACTGCAAGCTATTGGTAGTGCAGGTCAGGGTCTTGAATTAGCTATAGCCGGACAGTCCAAGCCTTGATGCCTTCAATAGCGCAATACAATAGTGTTCATCTAAAAACCTCACTATACAACGAAACAGTAACCAATATGCTTATAGACCCATAAGCATAATGGTTACTGTTTCTTTAACTCAAGGGCATCTGTACAATTCTTATTTTTAAAGTGCATATATAATATCAATTTTTATTTAAAAAATCAAAAGAAAGACTCTACGAACAATCTTTGAAACGAGTTGTCGCCTGCGGTATTTCCAAACCTTCAAGAAAAGAGCGCACTCGCATTTAAGGCTGGCAACGCGGTTGTTTTCTTTGAGTTGCAGTCGTTCATGGGCGTCGGTTGTCACTTTCCACCAGGCAACCCGTCTTGCCATAAAATACCTTAATTACACTCAAATTTAAAATATTTAATAACCCCCATTTATAATACAAGAATATCTCATGATCCTTAGGTATTTGATAAACTTGTTTGCCTTAAAATACATATTTATGATGTGTGATCCTTTAATGATGTTTTATTTAAATTATAATGTTTATGTATGTTTTCAAATCGTGTAAATACAAAAAAGAAACATTACCATTATGTCACAATGATATGGTCGACCTACGTGCGATGTTTTTTTTTTAAGTTAGAGAGGGCAGACGAGCAGACGGGTCACCTAATGGAAAGTGACCATAACCGCCCATCAACGTCTGCAACGCAGGAGTCACAAACGCGTTGCCGGCCTTTTAGTAGTCTTTCTAGTTTTCTGTCGAATAGTTTCCATTCGAATTTTATCGACTAGAGAAACACCAAGCATCGCACGCTGAGCGACTTTCAACTCATGGACCAATCCAATGGTGAGTGTTCACCTCTCGGATCCGTATGTCATTACGGGTAGGACGTAAAACATCCAATAAAAAAATGTCACTTATTGTTGTCTCTTTCTTACAATCGCTTTTTAATTGAATGTTTTCTTTTTTTCATGTAATGTATTCTATTCTTATTTTGAACTTGAACTACAGTTCAATGGCGGAACTCTTAATAGCCATTTTGTTATGCTGCTTGCGTGTCTATGCAAAAAACTTCCGGAACAATTAAATGTACTTAAAAGATGAAATATAGGCCATTTACATTTTAGGCTAAGTTTTATGCTCTTTGTGTTTTATGAATACATACTGCTGTTAATAAAGGGGAATTCTGTGAAGCAAGATTTTATCTCGTTCACGTTGTTTATTTTTAGTATAAAATACCATTTAAATGTAAAATGTACGGATATATTTATAATCAGTATAAAACAATATTATCACCCTCTTCAATGCACATATTTTCTTAAATACTTCATTCCTTGATTTTCTATTTAGTAGGTGGTATTTTTTTTTCAAATTTGAACGAGACCAATAATCATCAGAAGTATACGGAGTAACGGGTAAGAAATCGAGAAAACAAGCGATTTGAGAGCCTCCTCCTTTTTGAGTTTAGAAAAATATATATTATTGCTTCCAGATATTGCAGGTGTTATTTTTTTTGAATGAATTGAATGATGTGGATGGAGCGCAAAAATAAGGCAGGAACAAACTTTGATTCCTTAAAATATTATTAGCATATACAGGGTGTAAGGGACATCGTAATGAATACTGAAATAGTGTATTCAGACCATGATTCTCGCAGAAAATTTCAATGATTATAGAATCAGAATGATGGTCTGAATACACTATTTCGGTATTCGTTACTATGTCCCTTACACCGTGGATATTTAAAATGCGTGGAAAGTTGACAAACACATATATACAATTATATACGAGCCAATTACCTTCTTTCTAAGGAGAGGCATATGTCCAGCAGTGGACTATTAAAGGCTGTTGATGTGATGATGATGAATTACCTATATCGTTGTATATCTTTCTAAATAGCCATTATTTTGCAATGACCGCCACTGGTGCAACTCCCATCATGATGCGTGCTATAAAAATTTCAGAAGAATATCTTCGCAGTTCGACCTGATGTTTATCAGTATTTTAGTTTGTCATGGTCCGTGTGGTGACGGATTAAGAATACAGAGTTTCACCACCCCTATTCATCCCGTGGGTGTCGTAAGAGCCGACTAAGGGAGAAAACTACGCAGAACAACAGCACTGCAGAGAGAAGGAAAACTTGACACAAGGCTAAACCAACCCGTCTGTCCAGCGTGGTATAGTAGGCCAGAACCTCCTTTCTAAGGAGAGGCCTATGTTCAGCAGCGGACTATTAAAGGCTGTTGATGTGTGATGTGACTAAATTCGTTTTTTTTACGCAGAACGACTGCTATCAGACCCGCACACAGGTCCACAATCCAAGCACTAGGCGATATCGTAGTTCTGTAGGAAGACTGTTGTCGGAATTTTTAGGGCTCCAACGATCGCCACAGATGGCCATGGCCACTGACGGCTTAAGGTGCTCTACGAGGCACAGAGGGGTCTCAATGATTTAAGTATGGTCACCCATCCATAGACTGACCTGGATAGGATTGCTTAACCTACTCGGTTACCACTTAGCCACGAGTTCCTAGGTTTCAACAATATGCAAATTTAAAATATTCTATATTCATGTCATATGCAACAGTTCGTGGTTGGTCACATGAATGGCTTTTCGCTTTTTAAACTTAAGCGACAGTATTGAAAATTTAAAATTAAATTATTTTTATTGTCTAATAAGTAACTATTTAAGTTAAGTATTTAAATAATAAAATATTACCGTGTTAACTCAAAATTAAACGGATAATAACTAAAGAATTGAGAGTGACGAAATAGGGAGTTAAATAATACTTAGAAAACTTACCGTTGAGTTTATATATGACAGCTTGCGATCTAGCACATAATACTAACACCATTAATATTAATTGATACATTTTGTACTTTAATACACAGCTTGTTTTACTACTCAAATTCACAAGTATTTACGTAGAGGAAAAACACAGAGAAAAAAATTGATAAATTTTCGCGGCACAGTTTTGACTTAAATTCAATTTTGAGACTAAGATAACAGGATTCGGCCTATTTTTTTTTATCTCATTGTGCCGTGCATTTATACTGTTTGCACTTAGAAATGTGACTAATTGAAAAGCTAAGGTATAAAGTGTTATGTCTATGGTAGCCGCGTGTTAAGTGTGCGAGATGCGTCTGCAATAGAACGTTAGTCACATCAACAGCTCAATATCCTCGTTTAATCCACATTTTCGACCTTAAGGTGTGTGACGCAGAACACTTAATAGGTCTGCATGTTTGTTTACATGTGTTCTGAATTTGTAATGAGATTTGAAAATGGAAGGTGGGCATTACAGTTGAGGTAAAACTTATTCGGTATTGTTGTATTTTTTACCGATTACCGAAACGTACAAGGAAACAAATTCGAGGTCTTGTAAGGTCCCTGTTTTCTTTCATTATAAGGGGTTTTTTTCCGAATTTAATTCGGAAAATAGGTTTAAATAATTGTAAATTAAAGTGAAGTTAAGGTAAACCATTTTACCCGTTTGAGGCTATAAATCCCTGCTAATATTTTTAATGTGAAAGCAACTCTGTCTATCTGTCTGCTATGCTTTTACGGCTAAACCACTGAACCGATTTTAATCAAATTTAGCATGGATATACTTTGATCGTTGATAACTGGCAAACGCTAACATACTATATTAATGTGCTATTGTACTCTTTGCTGTATCTTTTATGGCAGGCGGATAATACCTGATGTATTGTAGTCTGTAACACAAACGAAAAAACAGACCACAACTAACATTTATTGGCACTGGTAACCGCTTACCGCAGAGCAGTCCTTATAATATTGGTTGCACTAAAAGCCAATTTTTAGTCTCGAACAGTTTACGATATACTTGAATTGAAAACGTATATTATAGTTGAATTGAGGGGTATTTGATCAGCAAAAATATAGTATACTCCTTCACAACGCCAATCCCACTACACACACAAACATACAAACACACACAGAGAGAGATATACAGACAGATACACACACAAACACATACGCACGCACACACGCACACATACACTACCTATTTTTGTTAATGTTAAATTTATTGCTACTGTCACTCATTTCTTTTTTTTTTCTTAAATTTTGTACTCTCTTCCACAACTATATACACTGGACAGCAAATAAACCGAGCCACCCGCTACCTAGGCACTCTAATTCGATTTTCTCAAAAACTAAAAAACCTACAATTAACAAAGTTATACCTACAGAAAGTGCGTTTCATGGTGATTAAAATGAAAGGAAACTCATTGGGTTTAATCAATATTTCAGTGTTTATTAAGGATTTTACAAAGAAGAGTCGTTTTCCAGTCGTGACAATCGTTAGTAATGATAAAGTGAAAAAAAAAATTAAAGCCAAAAACAAAGATAAAATCAAAAAAAAGTTTTTGATCAATATTCCGTATTCCCTCCCCTTGCTCGGATAACTGCCAGCATCCTTGTGTTCATCGACCTTACGAGCCTGACGATAAAATCTTGAGGAATTGTATTCCACTCCTCTTCAATTGCTCTTCAATCCTCTGGAAGCCTTGTTGGAGCAGGTACCCGGGCTCGAACCCGACGTTTCAGCTCATCCCATAAGTGTTCTATCGGATTCAAGTCCGGGCTTCGAGCTGGCCAGTCCATCGTACGAATGCTGACGTCGCGTAGATACTGGGTCACCACATGAGCAACATGAGGCCGTGCATTATCATGCATCAATTGCATATCCTGTCCGATATATCCTGCGTAAGGTACCACATGGTCTGCGAGGATGTCAGTAATGTAGCGATGAGAAGTCAGTCCACGTGTACGACCCGTCGGTTCGATGAAAACTAACGCTGTATGTGCTGTTAACGAGATGCCGCCCCAGACCATTACAGATCCTCCTCCATAAGCAACAGTTTCCCCGATGCAACACTGAGAATAACCGTTCTCCAGGGCGACGATATACTCTCTGACGTCGATCACTTCCATGTAGACTCACACTGGTCTTATCAGTGAAGAGTACATTACTCCACTGCTCTAATGTCCAATCCCTATGCTCTCGAGCAAATTCAAGTCGTGCTCGACGGTGTGCTACCGTTAATGCTGGGCCTGTTGCAGCTCTTTTTGGGGTCAGGTTAAGTTCAGCAAGTCTCCTTCTGACGGTATCTGAACTTATGACCACTTGGCGTTCGTCACGCAGACTTTGTTGGACTTGAACTGCGTTGAGGTAGCGATTTCGCAGAACAGTAATTTGGATATAACGATCATCTGCTGCTGATGTAGCCCTAGGTCTGCCCGTACCTGGACGTCGATCGAATGCTCCAGTCTCTAGGTATCGTCTGTAAACTCGTTGCACCGAAGATCTGCTGATTTATTTGATTTGTTGACGGTACTTTCGAAGCCTTCGAGCGACTTCACGTTGCGCAATGCCTGCTTGAAGTAATGCTACAGCTTGAGCTGCTTCCTGCATCCATTATTAATCGAAAAAAGTAGCAAAAACACACGCGTCTGAGCAAACGATGGACAAAAACTAAAGAAATGATAAGAAATATCCGACTACCCCCATTGTAGAGAAAAAGAACGCTAATTTCAAACTCTGGTGAAAACAGAGCAAATCGTTAGCATTGTGTTTGTTGCTTGATTACAATGTGAGTTGACGGTACTTTCGAATTAATTTTTAGTCATTTTAATCACCATGAAACGCACTTTTTGTAGGTATAACTTTGATAGTTGTAAGTTTTATACTTTTTGAGAAAATCGAATCAGAGTTCCTAGGTAGCGGGTGGCTCGGTTTATTTGCTGACTAGTGTAGTAACCACCTCACTAAGGTATTTTGAAATGTCAAGACGGTCCAAGTAGGTCCACTACCGAAATTGTCAAATGTTATAGCGTAATCGTATTTTCATTGTATGAGTTTTGGTTTTGGTGAGAAATAAACGATAATATTATTATTTGATGAGTTAATTTAAATCATCACATTAAGTTTTAGACGGATTAGGAATACGGAGTGTCACCACCCCTATTCACCTCGTGGGTGTCGTAGGAGCCGACTAAGGCAGGATACTCTGCAGGACAACAGCACTGCACAGAGAAGGAAAACTTGAAACAATCCCTATACAAACCCGTATGGCCAGTTTGGTATAGTAGGTCAAAACCTCCTTTCTAAGGTTTGCCCATGTCTAGCAGTAGATTATTAAAGTGATTCCAAATATGATATGCCTGAGTACAATTACGTTGTAGTGGCCTCTTAAAATACAGTACGGTACCACCCCGGTGCGTGTCTCATGTTTTTTTTTCTATGGTGTAGGAAGCAAACGATTACATGGGTCTTCGGTAGCCTCAATTACTCAATGAAAATCAACGAATGAATTGATTATTGCATATTCTTTACTTACAAATTTATAGTCCTAAGTCCCATTTTCTTTTCCGAGACTAGCGGCGTACGCGCAACGCCTGTGCAATCAGTCATAGCAAGTGTAGAATAAGGATTAAGTTGTTTTCCTGTGATATTAGGCGCAAACAACTACTCGGAACAACAACGAACCAGCAAGCCGGACGGCCCTGATGGTAAGTCCGCCCGCTGATGGTAAGTAAGTGAAATACCTGTGTTTTCTTATATTATTAAGCCATTGTTATAAAACTACAACAAATAAACTGCTAATCTTTTTGATTATATAACTGTTATAAACTCTAAATATTTAAAAAAATGTTTCCTTTTTTTATTACACACGACAGAAATAAATTGGCAATTTTAAACCGTACCAAAGATGTTTTTTTTTGAGAAAAGACTTATTTTTTTTTATTGTGCTTGCGGGTACGTATTCTGGATATTATTGAATTTCCATCCGGGCGTCTATGTTCATATTTTACAGCACTTCCTCCTCTTTATAAAGCTCCACAAACCTCATAGTGCCATCTTCACTTCACTTTTTTTTTTGTTGACTCCATTTTGTTTACATAAAATCATCCGAGCGCACTCGTAAAAGTGGAACCCTCACCCGAGTGCACTCGGATGGCGTGTTATATAAAGTGCTATCCAACAGTAAATGTTTCAAGTTAGCCCCAGACATAGAGATGTAAGCATAGAGTAAACAAGAGCCTTGTAATATAGGCAACGAGAGAGATGGATAATCGATAGTTCCCTCTATCTCTTTTTAGTCGAGCTCTGTGGTTGGCTGGGAAAATTTCTAATCGCCGGCCTATTCTACGATCAAAACCATGCCCACATCATGATAGACTATCACAGCTTAGCTAAACAGAGACAGAGGGAACTATCGGGCATCTGTTTCTCTCGTTGCCTGTATCACTTCCACTTACAAGCAGCTGTACCCCGCGTTCTGTCTATGCTTATATTTCTATGGCCACAGACGCCAGGCATGACAACAACTCACTTGGCTTGGTTTAAAGATCTTCTTATAGTGTTGGATAGACATAACACCCGTTTCTCCACAAATAAAACTCAATTTGATTTAAAAAATATTTTTATTTAATGTTACTAATAATTATAATAATTATGTACTCGATTACATTGTTCTCAATGTAATCTCAATCTTCTCGAAACTAAATTAATATACATCCAAGTTGATTTACTAATACATTTTTTCTAAAATTTAATTCTTACATTTATTTGCTGTAATCAAGAAACATAATATCTATGAAAAACACTTGAATATAATAGTTCCTAGAACATAAACGTACTTACTTTGAACATTAACTTATTATATTTAAACATTGGTAAGGAGAAAAACACCAGGGTGTTTTTAGTCGGTGAGAGTCCGACAGAAGCCTTCGCCATCCCCATGGGCGAAGAACATCCATGAGGATGGTCCACCAAGTTAACAAAACAAAAAACATTAACTTATCTTTCAGTGGTATCATTAACTTCATTTTATTCAACCTTATTATATAAAAGTATTATAAAAACCATAGACAACAACCAGCTATGTAGCTGTGACAGTAGGTGGGCCGTTTAACTCTTCAGTGGTTACTAATCCTTTCGAGTAGGATTATCATATAATTTGGTAATACCCACTGGTTGTTCTAGAAGCCTTTTTTACTTTTAATTCGGTTCCTTATTAAAGCTTATAATCTATAAAGCGTTACTTAAATAAAGAAAGACACTCACGAAAAACGATATACTTAGTTAGTAATAGGTATAAATAATATAAATTACCTTATTGTGAGCTAGAGTCTATACTAGGTTCGAAACCTGTATGTCAGATCTTCAGGCCCACCCTTCGGCCGAGAAATATCTATGTTATGTTTAACTTAAAAACAGTGTTACTGCGACTTCAAAGAAAGAAGAAACCAGGGAATGAATCTTCATTGATAGCTAGATCTATAGTAGTTGTGTGTAGTGTGTGTACATGTATACATATAATAATTCAATTACTAGAATAACACACATATGTAAAACTGACAAGTTACTTCGTTTGTCGTGTGTACATAGCTTCACTTGTATGTTTGTATGTTTCTTTGTAACCGACTCCTTTGGGCGTGATTTTGACTGACTTTAAACGGTCAGAATTCGTTCAAACTTTGTAGATATATCGAGGACCGATTACAATACACTAATTTAAAAAAAAAGTACAAAAAATATATTTTTAATTAAAAAAAAAGTTTTCTATTTTTTAGTTTGGTTTTCTATAAAAATGTGTTTTTTAGTTTTTTAAATTATTATTTTTAAACAATGTTTTCAATTATAGTAATTACTAACTTTGTATACGTAAGTACACGTATAATTATGTTTACCGCATCATATTTCTACATCAACCGAAAGGTCGACGGGCAGAGAATGACTTGGGCATTAAGTCTGTGTACAATACTCAATAACTTTATTGCTTCCATAATGTGAATACATAGGTGACAATAATCAAGCGGCAACAAATATGGACCCTGTCGGGAGCAGCACAGTTTGTTTGGGAGGGAGGAAGATAACACAACCACACATACAGTAGAATATTTTGTTTCCAATAAATATAGTAGGATACAATCATGGTAACTATACATGTCATGAATTATTATATTTTTAATTATAATCAATATTGTTAGTTTTATTTGTTCATAATTTTAAAATTGATTTAATAGTGTATAAAATAATAAAATATTGTCCGTTATTTATTGTTTTAATTATTTATTAGTTGTTATTTTAATTATTTGATTGATTAATTATTGTTATTTAAGTAGTCATAAATATATTATATTATGAGAAAATGGAAGAAAAGAGGACACTATTATTTCATCCTATTTTTTTTATTTTGTCTAATCTGGTTATAACAATTATAGAATTTATTATTTTAGAGTATTTTATTTACTTTCCAAATACTATTTTACAATTTGTACATTAAGTGCAACCTGGTCGAAACGTCCAGAGTTAGACACTTAATACAATATAATATTTCAGACATCTGACACACAATCAGTTTCAAACTAAGCAAAGCTTGTACTATGAAAGCTTTAATGACTGATAGAATACTTATATACTTTTTTTTGTAAATACATACATACATAGAAAACACCCAAACTCCGAAACAAATATTCGCAGATCATACAAACATTTGGTCCGACCCGGGAATGGAACCCAAGACCTCAGCACAGCAGTCGCATAAACTGCCACTGCGCCATCGAGGCTGTCAATCAAGTCAATATCTATCGTGAACATGATATCCCGTAAACATCTATACTAATATTATAAAGCTGAAGAGTTTGTTTGTTTATTTGTTTGTTTGTTTAAGCGCGCTAATCTCAGGAACTACTGGTCCGATTTGAAAAATTCTTTCAGTGTTAGATAGCCCATTTATCGAGGAAGGCTTTAGGCTATATATCATCACGCTAAGACCAATAGGAGCGGAGCACCAATGAAGAATGTTTCAAAAACGGATAAAATTTATTACCATTGAGAGACGCAGACGAAGTTGCGCGGGTCAGCTAGTTATTTTATAATAATAGAAATTATTAAATTAGGTGTACTGCTATTGAGCTCGCAACAATCAGTGAGTTTTAGTGTGAGTTTATTTAACATCAACTCGATTGTCACGGTGTCCGCCTTCGGCGCTGTTATTGGCCTGTACTTAAATCTTCACCAAACCGAACGCTTCGAAATGAGTAAGTTGATGTTAAAAAAAATCACACAAGGCCCTTAGTTCGAGTAGCAAATATGCAACTCTGACGTAGGTAGGTCTCCGTAGGTGTCGTAAGAGCCAACTAAGGCTAACTACGCAGGACAACAGCACTGCAAGGAGAAGGAAAACTTGAAACAAACCCTATACCAACCAGTCTGGCTAGCGTGGTATAATAGGTCAAAACCTCTTTTTTAAGGAGAGGCCTATGTCCAGTAGTGGACTATAAAAGGTTTTGATGATGATGATGAACTCTGATCTACTCGATGCTTACAATCCATATAAGCAGTAAGGTATAACTAATATCCCTCCCCTTCAATTGCCTTTTAATCTTACGAAAATTTTCTGGCTCACGGAAATATTCTCAACCAATTTCTTAAACACCAAGTGCCCATTTGACGGCTTGCTTATTGCGTAACTGGGATTAAACTACAGTTGGCAGTGGACGTTTAATACTGATTTGGTGATTCCTGCTTGTTCTAGGATATAGACTGCACGGATGGCGTAGTGGTTTAAACGGTAGCCACGCCGCTTCCTACTACGCCGAGTGCTGTCTGTTCAAACCCCACATGGAACGACACTTTGTGTGATCCACAAATTGTTGTTCTGAGTCTGGGTGTTCTTTGTGTCCTTTTCATGTATGTTTGTAAAGTTCCCCGCGTCACAGGATATATTCCGAATGCGGGAGTTATCTTTTTTTTCAAAAAAAAAAAAACAAGACCTGGCTGTATGTATATATGTAGTTTATAAATTATGCTCACAATGTAATGAAAGCCAATGTTAGAAATCTGATACATTTGTTCACAGGCCTGTTGGTCTGTGGTTAGTGATTCTGACTGCTATACCTAAGGTCGTGGATTCCCACCCAGGACAAATAATTGTGTGATGAGCATGATTAGTTATTTTGTGTCTAGGTGTAATTTATCTATAATATGTATGTATTTAGAAATACATATTTAAGTATGTATATCAGCAGCCTGGTTACCATAAGGCTCTGCCTAATTTAGGATCAAACAGCCATGTGTGAGATTATTATATTATTTTTATTGTCATAGCTCAATATAATATGTACTTATACATGTTTAACGGTTACAAACAGTTATTTAACCAAATTAAGCCAGATTTGTTATCATTGGAGAAATTCGCTGCTATCCACGTCTAGTTCCTCAAACTCCAAAGCAGCTAATTTTCAACATCCTTCACACCTAATTTTCCATGGTTATATGACCCCCCAACGCACACAATCACAGACGATGCCACTAAACCGTTCAGCAAAGAGCTTGTTGGGTGATATGACTATGTTTTCTACATCACCAGCCTTTCCAAGTTGAGGAGCATGTTCAGCATCCACCAGCACCATGGGAAGGACAACAGCAGCTAAGCGAAGCATAACTGGCAGCATCTGGAAAATAAATAAGTATTTTTCAATATTAGAATTAAATAACGAAGCACTGAATTCTTATGTAACCTACACAAATAGATCCATTGGGGATTCTTGATCGAAGAGAAAGCGATAGTCCTGTGGAGGAACAGGTGTCATGTCCCTCCAACACAAAGGGAGGATCCTCCGACCAGGCGAGGTGATCATGCCTGGCGGGCCGCGGCCCATCGGTTGATGTTGGGAAGTTGTATATATGCTAATCGGCGAGGGAATTCTTTATATCGCGATACAGGATTAGCAATTCTTATTTTAGTAGTTACTCCGTCGTTCGGTGTGTCTTCATTAGATGGCGCTGTAGTATGTGTCTGTTTCTTTGTATGTGGGAGTCGCCACAGTCCCATTGGTGTCAGGTGCCACACTGATTGATGTGTCGTCGAGAGTGTGGGACCTCGTGTATGTTAGCAGTTGCAACTGCAGTTTGCTGCTTGTGTGTGTATATTTTAGACATGGATATAATTGCTACTTTAAAATCATAATCATATGATGAAGTTATTGTTTTAAGTGGCTTCGATTTCATCTGTGATTATGATTAACATAAATGCCATCAAAATCAATTAAAAATTCTTTTCTTTCGACCTTTGTATGTTTTACTTTTAGATTTGGGGTTATAATAATAATAAGTCGTAATGGTCTCTAATCTAATGTATTTACCTTTTATAGGACGAAATTAATCAAAAAAACATTCTTAAATAAAAGAAGCCTGAGTTATTCGGCACATATGGGCAGTATCGACCGGAGTGATACTACATCCTTACGCTCTACCAGGCATTCCTTTTAAGTTCTGTCGTTTCCATATTTCCCGGCAATTTTGAATTTGGAACTGTTCCATATTCGAATGTGTTTAAATTTTGAATGTCAAAACAGGTGAAAGTATTAGGATTAATGCTATTGTTTAGTCACAGCATCGATTGGAATCCGTCAGGTTACGGACGAAAATGAATCTTTCTGAGGAAAATGTTCGTGCAATAATTTTCTACAACTTTAGAAGAGGCCTGACACGGCTTCAGTGTTTTGAAGAGCTAACATCTGTGTTCAGTGATGAAGCCCCATGTCTGCGGACTGTCGAACGCTGGTATTTAGAATTTCAGCGTATACATGCTAGTGACAAATTTCGCGAAGGACGCCCAAAATCCGCCTTCACTGAACTGAAGATAACATCATTGCTGTGAGACAACTAATTCCCGGAGATTGTCATGTGACGTATCGAGAGGTAGAGGCTCTATTAGGCATCTCAGGGACAACCATTCAGATGTAAGAAAACTCTGCAAAGGTTCAACCGAGGAGAGTCAAATCACGTCTACGACATCATCAGTGGTGACAAATCTTAGATCTATGCCTACGATACATTCCAAACAACAATCTACAATCTGAGTCTTTCAAGATGAGCCATAGCTGACTAAAGTTGTTCGTTCTCGAAGCACTTCAAAGAAGATGGTAGCCACGTTCGTATGAAAAACCGGCAATGTTGCGACGGTTAACGCAGAGTGGTATACCACAGTTTGTTTACCACAAGTCATCGCCGAACTTCAAAAATCTAACTCAAAGTGACGCATCATCCTGCACCACGACAAAGCAAGCTCACACAGCGCTCGTCAAACGATTGAGTATTTGAAGCAGGAAATAGAAATTCTTGACCATCCTCCATAAGTCCTGACCGAAGGCCTAACGATTTCTATATATTACCTAAAATTAAGAAAAGTCTTCGTGGTCAAAGGTTCCAGTCCAGTGAAGAAGCAGTCGACGCTTTCAAGTCAGCGATTTTGAACAACCCCACTTTAGAGTGGAATAAATGTTATAATAATTGGTTTGAGCGAATAGAAAGTGTGTTTAGCTACGTGATGAATACTTTGAAAAACAATAAACAGGTTACTATAAGGTTCTAGTTGTGTTTTTTTCTTCAAACGACAAAACTTAAAAGTCATGCCTCGTATCGTTGCTGTACTTTGCTTGTTGCGTCACCGAGTGAGTAAGGTTAATGAAGCTAAAATTTTCCAAACACCCCCTTCCCCTGATTTGTGGAGTAAAATTTTATTTCTAGAAAGTATTTTAGATTATTTAAAAATGTATTTGTATTATTTTCTCTGTCCGTGGGCGGCACCCAGCTTTTAAAACAGGAGGTGATAATACCTGCTTGAAATTTCACGAACTAGATCTAGTCCAGGGAGATTCATATCCCCGCACTTATAAGATACTTGATTTGCAAATTACGTTTATTGCTCTTCATAAACATTAAATCGGTACCTTTTTAGCAACATTTAGACGTCAGACATTGCTATCGCCAAATCATTTACTATCTTAACTGAAATCATTATGAATGTTGTGAAGATCCGAGATAGAGAGAGAACCACAATATATCGATAGTCTTACCTGCCGAAGTTCATCATCAAATAGCTCCCTAGGATACACGTCGTTGACATCCAAGCCCAGTCTACCTAGCGCCAGCGTCAACTCTGTGAAGTAATGATCAATGAACCTCTGATGGTTCTCTCGACGGAACTCCTCGTCTGTTCCCGTGAACTCCAGGTACAGCAGGTCGATGGGAGCACATCCGGAGTGGCAAGTTTGGTAATCCAAGACGAGAGTTTTGAGGATCCCGTTCTAGAACCAAAGAAAAAGTTGTTTTATTTGTATAATGATTTAATTATTAGATTATCAACAGCCTTAAACAATCCACTGCGGGACATAGGCCTCTCCTTAGAAAGGAGTTTTTGGCCTACTATGCGGCGCTGGCCAGACAGGTTGGTATAGGGTTTGTGACAACTTTTCCTTCTCTTTGCAGGGATGTTGTTCTGCGTAGTTTGCTCTTTTAGTCGGCTCTTACGACACCCACGAGAGGACTGGGGGTGGTGACAATGCGTATTCATAATCCGTCACCACACGGACAACTATTATGCACAATGCACACGAACAAATATTAGATACTTGTGTTGTTTATATTCTACGTGTGGGTAGTATTTAACATAGTATGGTTGGTTTATATAAGGTCAAAAGTAATTGGAAGGCAACAAATTGCTGTAATTTATGAATAATTATATAATACAATATAGTCAACCTTCAGAACCAACTAGCGGCTAGAAGTAGAACTACTCGTACATAGAAAAAACTGATCTATGATCTCGTAATTCGCGTATCAAACAGGCTGAAGGTCCCTCTGAATTCAATGGTTCTCACGGCACGGTTCTCTACATTGGTATTAAAACAATGTGTGACGAGAAAAATAGAAGAACTCCGAAATACAAAAGCAACGAAGCTAAAAAAATCTAATCTAAGGTACAGGTTTTTTGCCGTTTTCTCAATTTTACCACACACAATGTGTACCATTGCGTGTTGGCTTACTGGGTAACACACACAGTCTGACATGATTATACAAGTCACAAAGACTTGTTACTCAGTCAGTATCATGATTGCACACATAAATGTAATGTGTGTATATTTGAGGTTATAACTTTAGAATCCAGACGCTTACTACTTGATGTCATGATTGTATTGACATTACTAGCCAATTATGTGTCTTAGTACCTCGCACCGGCCCTCAGTGTGTTTATTTACATATCGAAATACGTTACATACGTACATATTAAAAGAAAAATATTTAACCATTAATTTTGGGAATTAATTCGACTGATATTCGCATGTAGGTATACTCTTCTCTTTAAGACATAGTGGTTTAAGCGATCGCCACGCCGCTTCCTACTGCGCTGAGTGTTGTGGGTTCGATCCCCACATGGGACGACGCTTTGTGTGATCCACAAATTGTTGTTCTGATTCTGGGTGTTCTTTGTGTCCGTTTCAAGTATGTTTGTAAAGTCCCCCGCGACACGGGATATATTCCTAGAGCAGGAGTTGTCATTTAAAACAAAACAAAAAAATAAGGTCACATCAACAGCCTTTAACAGTCCACTCCTGGACATAAGCCTCTCCTTAGAAAGGAGGTTTTAGCCTACTATACCACGCTGGCCAGACGGGTTGGTATAGGGTTTGTGTCAGGTTTTCCTTCTCTCTGCAGTGCTGTTGTGCTGCGTAGTTTTCTCTCTTAGTCGGCTCTTGCGACACCCACGGGATGAATAGGGGTGGTGACACTCTGTATTCTTAATCCGTTACAAGGTCGGTAATACAGTTTAAACGTAAAATATACGAGTATCAATTTAAATTCTTTATTTAAATTTTCTAAATTTTTCTTTTTCTGATCTTTTCTTTTTGTAGTGCTGAGGTATTCCTTCATGATGTTACTGAATGGTGCTTCCACCAGGAGCCAGAACACAAGTGCTGTTATAAAGGTTTTTTAATAAAATAAATAATAATGGTACTATGAGAAGTTGACCACCAACAAAATGTCCGTTACTATTGATAATGTCACCGTTTTAAACTGACGGGCCTGTTGGTCCAGTGGTTAGTGACCCTAATTAATAAGCCGTAAGTCGTGGGTTCAATTCCCACCCAGGACAAATAATTTTATGATGAGCACGATGATTTGTTCTATGTCTGTAATTTATCTATATGTATTTATAAAAGTTGAAAAATGTAATTATTTTATCAGCGATCTGGTTAAGATAGCATAGGTTTTGCCTAATTTGGGATCTGACTGCTGTGTGCGAGATGTGCGAAGTTATGATTATTATTATGTCAAGCCATTTAAAACTAAAAAAAAACATTTATTGTAATGTACCCTATTTTTTCCCGTGGTTATGTCGGACATGAACCGACCAAAAACAGCTCGCCGTCTCGGGTACTTGTAGCCGGGGAACCAGGTGTACCCTAGGAAGGAAATCCCTGCAACCCCGACGGGCCCCGGGCCATCTACGGCCCAAAGAAGACCCCCTCGTGATACAAATTTACCCTAAAGACAAAACTAATACGGGCTGCAGTATTCAAAATTCAGTATTCTAATCTATATTCTATATATTATAAAAAAAAAGCGTTTAAAAAATCATTGTAACGTCACTGACCTCAAACTTATTTTTTTTAATCTGTTTCGTAACCGCATCGAAACTGTCAAACCATGTTACGACTATTTTCACGACAATGGCAATTGTTTTTTTTTTGTCATTCGGCCTATTTGTATTGTGTCATTGCACATTGATGGAAAAAAGACTCACAGAAATTTGATAACCTCGTTGCGATCTTGACACGAAGTTTATAATCAAGGTTATTGTTGTGGTGAACAGTTGGGCATTGTTTTGCTGCCTCCATAGAGAAGTTTGCGACAAATTTAATTTTAAAAAAGCGTCAGCTAGCTTTGCTGCACGGACTGTATGGATATCGTAGTGGTTTAAGGGGTCCCTTTACCGCTTCCTACCGCACTGAGTGTTGTGGGTTCGATCCCCACATGGGAGAATACTTTGTGTGTTTTACAAATTCTTGTTCGGAATCTGGGTGTTCTTTCTGTCCGTTTCATGTATGTTTGTGAACATCTCCCCGCGACATAGGATATATACAATTGGGTTATCAAGAGCTGGTTTTCAGCTTTAACCTTAAACGGTTAAACCTATATATAAGAAATCAACATGGTCAATGAAATCACCATGGTCAATGAAATCACCATGGACAATGAAATCGAACTGTTATTTATTTGTTAACAGTTAACGTAATATTGTTTAAGTGAAAAACTCTTGACGCGAAACTGTTTAAGTTGTGACAGAATCCATGACAAGTATAAACAAAGGTTTTGCGTAATTTCAACAAAATGTAAAATATCGGACATCCTGAAATGGTTGACTTTTATTTATCCCCCCTTAAAGAGATTGGATGAGAGACGCCTGAACGTAGCCGAAATGCTGAGATGGATGTGTGGTGTGACTAAGATGGACAAAGTGAGGAATAACATTAAAGAAAGCCTGAAAGTAGCAACAGTGGGTCTTGGGTTGAGAAGAGAGAGAGAGAAGTTGAGAAGCCACAGGTTATCCTGTGGAATGTGATGCGTAGAGATGAGCAAAATGTAGTGAAGGAAGTTTTATGTATGGAAGTTCACGGATATAAGAGTAGAGGAAAAGAAAAGATGAAAGGACTGTGTCAAAGAGCATTTGGATAGAAAGGGAGGGAGCAGTGAATGACGAGTGATAGAAAACAGACGAAGAAGAACACTGATTGCGCCGACTCCAAATGCACTTGAGAATAAAATCCGTTTTCAATATAATAAATTCAATATTCTTATTATGAAACTAATTTAAAAAAAAGCGTTGACAATCATGGTGACGTCACTGACCTCAAACTCGTATTTATTTTTAATCTGTTACGTAATCGCATCGAAACTAACTAACCAAATATCTGTGTTCTTTACTAATACAGATTTATTTTAAAGACTAGTAATGAAGGTAAATATTTCAAAGAAACTAGAAGATCAGTCCGTGTGGTGACGGATTAAGAATACAAATTGTCACCACCCCAATTCATCCCAGTCATAAGAGGCGGCTAAGGGAACTAACTACGCAGGACAACAGCACTGCAAAGAGAAGGAAAACTTGAAACAAACCCTATAACAACCCGCCTGGCCAGCGTGGTATAATAGGCCAAAACCTCTTTTCTAAAGAGAGGCCTATGTCCAGCAGTGGACTAATAAAGGCTGTTGATGATGATGATGATGTTTTCATGTAAGCTTTTATCTATTAATTTATACACTCATCATAAAACACTAACTCTCCGACATGAATGGTCGGCAATCTTCTTTTTAAATTGCTCGACCAATGTGAGTACTGTATGACGAAGCCGATTATTTAATTCTACACCTCACCTCTTACCGGCCTTAACTGTCAATTACGTAGCCGACTAAAGGTCAGCATTCTTTAGATTATCATACATTGACAACAAAGATTGGAACAAGTTTCAGTCAAAAAATCACGGTCAGTTAATTTGTAGCCATCATCTGTTTAATTCGACGGATACATCAGATAAACTAAAAAAGTGTATAAATCTGAATAAAATATAAATTACAAAACTCACCTGTCGCTGAAACATGAGATTACTCATTCTGTAGTCCCCGTGACACAAAACTGGCCTACTCAACGGCAGCTTAAACTGATATAATTCTTCTTGAGTTAAGTCTTCTACTAACAAAAAGTTTGTAATTGCTTCCTTGTGTTCTTCTTTAGTAACCTGAATGGCACCTTCTACAATTTTAAACCGCGACTCTCTTAGACTATCGTCACGTTCTGGTACTTGATATTTCACCCTTTCCAGTGCTTTGGCGAAATTCACAGGATCCTCCTTTTCAAATGCAAAGGATAACGCATGGAACCGTGCGAGAGATTCGACTGCAGTCGCTGCATGCTCCCAATCGATGGATTTAAACCTGCTATATGTGTTATATCCTTTGGACACCAAATCTTCTAAAACAACTGTCTCTTGTTCTTCAACACTCTCACCGCCGTAGAATTTAGGGAATGTGAATCTGTATTCCGGTGCAACGTTGTGTTTGTCTTGTATTTCTTTGTAAGTCTTCCCGAGCTCAGAATACACAAATTGTTCGGTATCAAACAATAATTTCACGTTCATTAAATCTCTTAGTTGACCTTTAATATCAGCTACTTTGGCAAAAAGTTTCAGGTCATCTTTATTCTTTGCCGTGATTGTGATGATGAATAACGCTGAAGTGAAGTTCGCGCCTCCGCTCGTCAAAGGAACGAATGATCTTATTCCACTTTTGTACGGTTCGTCAATGATTCTGTCGAGTAACTTATTTAAGACAGTCTCCGCGTCTGCCATGGTGAGCGTAAAATTCGCGACTGACGAAGTGAGCTATGTTGCGTTCGCTTAGTATGTCATTCAATACTAAATGCAGCAGTAAAATACAGCAGATATATTGACTTTCATTCTATATCTTTGTAGGTTACGGTTACGGTTTGAGATAGGCATAATAAATAGAATTATATTACTCAGAATGATAATAGTATGCGCGGTAGTATGATTTTCTAATTATTAAACAGATAATTCAGATTTACACTTATCGAGAGTCTTTAGATTTGAGATAGATTAAAAATAAAACTCGGTATTCCTGCAACAGGAAAAATTACCTGTCTGTCGATTAGAAAAGACAAATAGAATATCAATAATAAATCAAATAAATTTAAGAATTAATGGAATATAGGTGGTTGCTGAATATGTTTTATAAATAATGCATTGTCCGTGTAGTGACAGATTAAGAATACGGAATGTCACTACCGCAACTCATCCCGTGGGTTTCGTAACAGCCGACTAAGGGCACAAAACAACACAGGACACAGGATAGCAGGAGGCAACACAGGACAGCACTGCAAAAAGAAGGAAAACTTGACACAAACCCTATGCTATACCAGCGTGGTATAGTAGGCCAAAACCTCCTTTCTAAGGAGAGGCCTATGTCCAACAGTAGATTAAAGGCTGTTGATGTGATGTGCATGGATATTATTTCTATTTATTTATTATCTCTCGTAGGTTTTGATCAATGCTCTAGTTTGATTATGATTTTTGTTATTAATGAAATATTGTGTGATGAGCACGATCGTCTGGTCTGATCTCAATAAGTATATTTGATATCATCAATATATAAGTATATTTGAAATCATTATCATAATATACTAGATTAATAAGGAGAGTGGTGTGATGACTGGTGTTCTGCCACTCTTTGCATTTTTTTTAGCTTTTAGTACTTTAAGTACATCCTTATTTTGTTTCATTTAAATAAAACAATTTATTTTACCCATTTTTGTGTTTAGCTAACAGTGAAGGCTATAAAAATATCTATTTTATCTTTAAGCGACTTCAAAAAGGAGGAAGTTCTCAATTCGGATGTTTATATTTTTCAAAATTCTTTTTTGTTTGAAAAGGGTTTATTCTGAAATGGTCCCATTGAATTTCCATATAGAACTTATGATGAGTTTCGGCGACAGCCTACGGAACTCTTCAAAAAATGAATTACGGCGAAATGATGGTTCTACTTTTTAATTATTATGGATATGAAGTTTATGCCTTAAGATGATTATGACTTACAGAATTATGAGTTTTGAATGTATGATAAATGAGTGTCTGCATAACGATTTTCTGCAATGTAGTTTAGGCTATCCGTTGTTATGCAAAATAAAATTATCAAATAAAAAAATCTGCTATAAAGGGGGGACCCTATTTCCCTCACTATCAAGTGATAAAGCATTCTGCCGCGACGGTGTACTCTAATCATTGTTGTAAAATCAATTCATAAATTTATACGTTCATTGGATTGATGGAAACCGCAGTCGTGTAGTTCGCAACACCGTTTGGTTTGTCTATGCTACAGGAGGAAGTGACCTTGGTAGACGACCGGAGAGTGTTGTTGTTCCTATTGAAATACAAGAAAATTCTTGCTTAACATTGGATTTAGTGTGGCCGTGGTATAGCTGATTCGGTTTATAACTCTCTTATCATCATCATCAGCCTTTAATACTGCTGCTGGACTGCTCGACATAGCCCTCTCCTTAGAAAGGAGGTTTTGGCCTTCTATAAAACACTGGCCAGATAACTCTCACATGGCAATTCTTTTAATACAAGTAAATTCGGTTACTATGCAGGGTTCGTGAATTATTCTATGTAATTAACGTAGTTTCGTAGTACATGTTAAAATTGCAATAAAGACAATGGCCACGATTTCGTAATGAAATGTAGAAGATAATTTAGTAAGTCGTGATGTAGATAAATTGATAACTTTGATTTATAAATAGTTCTCATTTACAGTCTTTCGATAAGTTTCTTGCATACGAAAAACTAATATTTATTTCTAAATACTAAACTACTAGAGTTCCTTTCCTCCGAATGAGAAAAATGGAACCCTTATAAGATCAATCGTGCGTCTTTTTATCTGTCTGTTACAAACAATTTGCCTTACTTATCGTTTCAACCGTCTCGTAAGATATTGCACCCGTTTTACACCATGGGAGGGGCAAACGAGCAGACGGGTCACCTGGGTGTCCATTCTGCTATTTTAACATTGTATCAATAGACTGTCGATGGAATGTCGAATACTTTTGCACTTTTCGTATTCTACTAACTATGTAAGACCAATAACCCTTGTCACTGAACTGCTACTGATACAAATGTCGTCGATGTCTTTGTAATAGTTTGGGAAACCGTACATTTTAAATGTGAAAGGTTGTTTAAAAAATATTTTTTTTTAGATATGGAAACGTTCTTGATATCACCGTTGATGAGCTACGCACTACATCAACAGTCTATTGAAACTGGGAATTTATGATAGTATAGTAGTAGATACCGATATTTTGACCGATCTCAATGGCATCTCAATGGAATGACAGCGGGAATCGAACCCCAGACCTCAATCGCATACGCTACCACTGCGCCACCGAGTAGGTCAAGTGGTAAGGGCTCTGGTTACCTCACTCACTCAGTGAAAATCTGCGAAAGAATCACTTAACACCGGTTCTCTGTGAGGCCGTGGTAAAACTCCGGTCAGCGTGGTACAGTAGCAGTGGACTATTAAAGGCTGTTAATGTTAACAAACATGTAGACACTATTGCCCGTGCAAGGACAAGCGCCTTTGCTTGTGCTAAACACAAACACCAATCTAAAACAACATAAGTGTTCACAAATGTCTCTAGTTTAGACCAATGCCGAATAGCAGCGAATGAAATATAATTATATTCACGGGAATTAAAATGCCCACGATAGTAAGTAAATACCTTTGCCTGACCAATCTGTGACCTCGGATCGTGCGACCTCGTCCAAACGTCAGGTTTAAACAATACTTATCGTGAGCGCGTTAATTTCCGTTAATATAGTTATACTAGCTGACCTGGCAAACGTTGTTTTGCCATATACATTATTTCTAGTAAATTTTGAAAAAAATTTTAGGGGTGGGTCACTCTTGTCATTTAGGGGTATGAAAAATAGATGTTGGCCGATTCTCAAACCTACCCGATGTGCACTCAAATTATTTTAACAATCGGTCCAGCCGTTTCGGAGGAGTATGGTAACCAACATTGTGACACGAGAATTTTATATTTAAAACTAACTGACCTGGCAAACGTTATTTTGCCATATACATTATTACTAAAAAAATTGTCAAACGAAAAAATAATAATTAGGGGTATGAAAAATAGATGTTGGCCGATTCTCAAACCTACCCGATATGCACACAAAATTTCACGAAAATCGGTATAGCCGTTTCGGAGGAGTTCACCCACGCACACCGTGACACGAGAATTTTATATATAAGATAGTATGGAACTTGATAGTTTAAAAGTTCGTGTAACTGAAATTATATCCGTGGTTGCTTCTCTTCCCCAGGCTAGACAAACGATATGCAAAATCAAGTAAAAATAGCCAAAAATATGCTATCAATACATATAAATTGGCCTCCATTTGACATCGTCAAATCAAATGTATTGATTTTGGAACCCTATCTTCAGCAAATGCAATTGTCATCGTAAAAATGCAAGAGAAACAGCCATCAGTGTACTTTGTAGAAGTAAAGACAAATGCGCGAATAAAAAAGGACCGAATGCGGGTAGTTACCAAAACTGGCGGTTTGCGAAAGGATCACTGATCCCTATTCAGTCGACCCGTGGTTGTGGCCGCCCTCACTCTAATGGAACAAAATATCGATTTAAAAAAAGGTATAGTACTTATTTTTGTATTATTTCTAACTGTTTAAATCCGTGTTTTTTTATTTAAGTATCACTTTTTAAATTTCTTCTTTATAGGAAGCTTGTAGTGAAAATTAATATTGTTTGTATGATAGTGTGGGTAGCATTTAGTACTATTATGAGTGAATGGTTTTTCTAAAACTCTTCCTCGCTGTAAAGGATCATCGTTCCTTTCCTTTTCTGGTTAGGATTACAACTTGGCTTGGTGGAAATCTGTATCATACATGTTTTCTGGATTCGGACGATACCGACGAACCCATAAGATAGGCGAATGTTCTTGTCTGGTAGAATTTACACGGCTGTCCACACCTGGCAGGATATTGCCTGGCAGGGTACGTGAGCCTAGCAATTATTTTCAGCCGAAGCAAAAAGAGGGGTGTTATAAGTTTTGTCTGTAAGTCTATCTGTGACTTCGTAGCTCCTAAACGAATGGACCGATTATAATACGGTTTTTTAAAGGTGTAGTGATTGAGAACTTATACAACTCCGATTGATTTTGAAATTTGGTAGTTATACTTTTTTTTTTATAAAAAAACTCCCGCATTAGAAATATAGCCTGTGTCGCGGGAGACTTTACAAAGATACATAAAATGGACACAAAGAACACAATTTGTGGATCACACAAAGTGTCGTCCCATGTGGGGTTTGAACCCACAACACTCTTCGTAGTAGGAAGCGCCGTGGCGACCGCTTAAACCACTACGCCATCCGTGCAGTTTAAACTAATACTTTGGTAATATTTTTAAGACGAAACTTTGAATTGATGCTGCAGCCAAGCCAAATCTTGGATTGATGCTAGCGTCGCGCGTCTTAGTTGTTCCAAATTTTTATAATATTTATGTTATTTTCAGAGGTTTTCTTCCTCACAATTCCACAGTATTCCAGTCCGTTGTAGCTTAATTTGAAATCAACAGAGAACTATGTATAACTGTTCCATCTGTTCATATTGAAAAGACAGCAAATCTTTTTCTGTTGTATTAGAAGTTTATCCCTAAAAGATCTTTTGAATATTTGGTCAACGGTTTTTTTCTACCTTCGACTGAGTTTTTACCAATAATATACAATTCTTTATTTAACATTTATATAGCAAAAATACAATAATTAATTAATAATAATATAATATAATATAAATAATTACATATTTCTACGATTTTCTTTACTTTTTTTTTTTAAGTAGCTTACTAACGAAAAAGAATAAGGGGTTTATCAATTAGGTTATTTTTTTTATGTTTATTATCTCAGAACAGTCGTGATTTTTTTTATGTTAGAGGGGGCAGACTAGCAGACGGGTCACCTGATGGAAAGTGACTATCACCGCCCATGAACGTCTGCAAGTCAGGATATTCAAATATTTGTATATTCCGATTTGTCAAAATCTGTTTCAATTCACCATGATGTCGGCAGCGCATTGAAGTGATACGACTGATATACTGATACGTGACTGCCTCGGTGGGGTATGCGACTGTTGTGATGAGGTCTCGGGTACGATACCCGGATCGGACCAAACGCAACCATTTGCATTTACATATTATACATAGAAAACGCCCAAACTCCACAACAAATATTTGTAAATTACACTATGTATTTACAAAAAAGCAAGTCTGGTTACCATTGTACAGGCTCTGCCTGGTTTAGGGTCAGAGGGCTGAGTGTGAGATGTGTGCGTTGTACCAACCGCCTCTGGTAAAACCTTGCAGTTTCTAATACTATAAGTCCGGAAAATTGCTCCCCTTTTTATTAATACTTACATTTGTCAGCTCCTGTCGGTAAATCTTAGTTATTACACATATTCTTACATAATAATATTAATAATAGCTTGATCATTTGATGATGATTGATGAAAATGATCGTATTCATCACCTTCGGGAATCGAACCCCGGACCTCTGGCTTAGCATTTAGGATCACTAACCACTTGACCAGGTCGTTGCATTTTGTGTTTACAAGTCTGCCACCGTATAGCAACTTACTAGTACAGACGCAATTTTAATTCGACCCATTATTAATCGAAAATAGCGAGTGCTCCAGTGCAATATTTTTGAGACATTAATACATTATTTATACATTAATATTTGACTGCACGGATGGCTTAGTGGCTTAAGCAGTCGCCACGCCGCTTCCTACTACGCCGAATGTTGTCGGTTCAAGCCCCAAATCGGACGCCACTTTGTGTGATCCACAAATTGTTTTTCTTAGTCTGGGTGTTCTTTGTGTCCGTTTCATGTATGTTTGTAAAGTCCTTCGCGACCCTGTGTCGCGAAGGACTTTATAGATAGACCTAAGATATATTCCTATTGCGGGAGTTATCTTTTTAAAACTAAAAAAAAAACAGTGATCTACTTATGACCTTGGGCGAAAACAAGTTTAAAATTGTTGTCACATATGGTATGAGTTGTTTTTATGGCAGTTTATAATTGTTGTAAATACAATTACTTCTTAATTTAAATATAATTGTAATATGATCAGACCATTACCTATGTACAGACAAGTTTTTTTTTATGGTTTAAGGGAGCAAACGAGCAGACAGATCACCTGATGGTAAGCAACTACCGTCGCCCATGGACACCAAGTAGTTCAGTGTTACAGACAGCAGAACAATGAATACTTAAGAAAGTATGTTAATAGTGCATTGCATCTTAGAGACGTGACATATTAATCTACTAATATAGTGATGTTACAACATCCCCCTTCTTAAGTCAAAATTGACTTAAAATAAATTTAATAAAAATTGTACATACTTATACAAAATCGATTTCTTTTACGTGTGGAAATCCCCTCGGACCGTCACCCCACCGGGGTTTGCGGCGGGGTGGTGTGTCGGACTCGGACCGACTAAAACCACACGGTGTGCCACTCTGCGCCTGTAATAGGAGGGATCCGGGAACAGCTGTTATTAAGACATCCGGACCCCTCCTAGCGCCGGCCCGCTCCTGTTGCGGGCTCCGTTTCAAATTTTTTTTCTTTTCCGTCTCTTTAGGCGAACTAGACACAAACCCTATACCAACCCGTCTAGCCAGCGTGGTATAGAAGGCCAAAACCTCCTTTCTAAGGAGAGGCTTATGTCTCTGTCGACATATAACTTGTAATTTGACAATCTTAGTTTGACAATGGCTTTTCCCAATTAAAATCAAGTTTTCTCTTAAAGTAGACATGATCATCAGAATATAACAACGGCAAAGACTTTGTGTTCCCATTACATTTTCATGTAGAATAATTTAAGTTTCCCTATAATGCATTGCACATAGCGAAACAACTGATTCTCAAAAAACAGGAAATCCTAGTTTGAGGATTAGGGGGCTCATATTATTGAATGCCATACTACTCATTACAACTTATTATTGTTAAATGTAGTCATTGTGTAATTTTCTGCTTATACTTTGTTCAATAAAAAATATTATTATTATTGTAATACTTAGATTTCTTTTAATTATTCTTTATAGTATAGTATTTTTATTTATAATCCTTAAATGTTACAACTTTAGGTTTCAACTTTTTATCTGACATAGGAATATTGTCTCTTAAATTTCTTGACATTAGTGATTTAGCTGGTGACGGTAAATTATGTTACAACAGTATGTTTTAATTATTTTACTAGGTTACCATATCTACAGGTCTAAAATTAGCATACGAAGTTAGAATCTCCTTTGACTTCAGATATTAAAATATTCAATAATAATTTCTATCTAATTCTTTTCTATCCAGGTGATAATAATACATTATTAATATACGTTACAGATAGCTCAGACAAGGTCATGAACTCTTCAGACATTTGTGACGAAAAGCAAGACATCACAGACAATTGTGACGAAAAGCAAGACATCACAGATAATTGTGACGAAAAACAAGACATCACTGACAATTGTAACGAAAAGCAAGACATCACAGATAATTGTGACGAAAAGCAAGACATCACTGATAAGTCTGACGAAAAGCAAGACATCACTGATAATTGTGACGAAAAGCAAGACATCACTGACGATTGTGACGAAAAGAAAGACATCACTAAAGATCGTAACGAAAACAAAGACATTATTAACGAGTGTGACCAAGAAATGGCAAGAGAAAAAATAAACAAATTACTTAAAGAAACAGTCAAAACACTAAATACTTTTAAATATGACCTGAAAATCCAAGAAGTTTCGAGTGGGGGCGCCAATTATACCTCAAATTTATATAAAGTCCAAGTTGTACCTGAAAGTGGTAAAGAGGAACTTAAGCTTTTCGTCAAAATAGCATGTCCAAGCGTGAATTTCCGAAATACTTTGAAAGAATGGAAAATTTACACAACAGAAGAATTCTTTTACACAAAGTTATTAACAACTTTTAAAACGATTGAAGACTTAAATAAAGTTAGAGGTCACCACAAACTAGTATTCTGCAAATATTATGGGTGTAATTCTGTAGTTTACGAAGAAATGTTAGTTCTTGAAGACTTAACTGCAAACAATTGGATGGTTTATGATAGATTTAAGCCTATAACTTGGCCCTATGCCAAAGCTGCCGTCACCGAACTCGCGAAATTCCATTCTTTATCTTTTGCATTTAGCGAGAAGGAGCCTGTAGAATTTAAAGAAGTTCTAGAGCGTCTAAAAACACAAATGAATGATGAATCAATGTCCTCATTTGTGAAGAGTTCGACGAGTGTCGCATTGCAAAGCGTCAAACAGGAAAATCAAGAACGTTTGAAGAAATATTTCGAGGATTTTGAAACGAAGGTGAAGCAGGCTAGTGAGCCCATTGGCCGTAGTGTCATCGGTCATGGGGACTTTAGACCGAGTAATTTGATGCACAAGATTAAAGAGGTAAGTTTTCTTTTAGTAATGAATTCAAGGACGCATGGACTGCACGGATGGCGTAGTGGTTTAAGCGGTCGCCACTCCGCTTAATACAATGCTAAGTGCTGTGGGTCCGATCCCCATATGGGACTACACTTTGTGTGATCCACAAATGGTTGTTGTGAGTCTGGGCGTTCTTTGTGTCCGTTGTTGTGTATGTGTCATGTATGTTTGTAAAACATTTAAAATATTTACATACAAGCATCAAAAAAATTCTCAGCGTCATTACCTACTTATAACCTTCCCAGAAAACTGGCGACATTGCCACGTTGAATAGCAATGCTAATTCTCTATGCTAGAAAAAGGCTTGATACTCCTGGTTTTTCATCTATGTTTTTTTTTTATATGAATTCTAATACTATCCTAGACTATTATACCTTGTTATCTGATAATACGTACGTGTTTTTAACACATCTGCATCTTAACTGTTTTAGATTTTCTGTAATATTCGTCAATGAAAAAAAACTTTATAAATTTATTTCTGTTTGCCATTATCAACCATATACTTTGGCCCCGTTTGTTAACTACAATTTTGGTCATGGAGATTATAAAACAATGGATGAACGACCCAAAAACGGTAAAAAAAGCAAAATAATTAGGATGTAAATTCAAAAAAAATTGTATTAGGCAAAATATTGGCATTTTTATTGGTCCAATATCTTGGAAATTTTTAGGTTTGGGGGTATGGTATTTCATAGTGAAATCTATCAGCAATGATGGCAACTAAGACCCCCTTTTTTTTCCGTACGGAAACCTCCTCGGATACCACCTATCGGTGGCATGTCGGACTGTCACCGACTAAAACCGCACGCCGTCTCGGTTACTAATAGCCGGGGAACCAGGTATACCCTAGAAAGGAAGTCCCTGGTGCCCCGACATACCTCGGGTCATCTACAGACGAGTAGACGACCCCCCCCCGTATGGGAACCCCATGTTCCCTGTGCTCCCTGGAAGCGAGCGCGCTTCGCAACGCGCTCGCCGCCACCCCGGCCTGCTTCTGCTAGGGTGACAGATGGCCTCACCTGTCACCCCCAGGCCTGCGCTTATGGAGGACGGAGGTCGTTCTGCGACCTCCGGCGCCTGAGTCGCCTGTGGTGCCTGGCCCGTTCCCGGGCCTAGCGGGCCGGGAGAGTTCTAAACCTCTCCCGGTCCCGCTCCGAACTAAGACCCCCTTAAGTATCTAGGTCGACTTAACCAGTAACCCTGTACTGTAACCAGTAACCAGTAACCCTTAACCAGTAACCAGTAACCAGTAACCCAGTAACCCTAATATTTGAAAACAAATAAATAGGACTATATATCTAAAAGGGTCGGCAGAGACGTAGTTAACGCCCACAGTTTGCTAACTAATTAAATTTTAGGTCCACTTGTTTAATACGACGAGCAAGCCTACAGCCAATCCATACTAATATTACAGTGCCTGTTAGTGTGTTACCTCTTCACGCTTAAACCGCTGAGCCGTTTGAGATGAAATTTGGTATAGAGATATTTCGATCCCCGGGAAATAACATAGGATAGTTTTTATCCCAGAAATCATTCTTTAAGGGGGTAAAAAGGGGGTTGAAAGTTTGTATTAGGAATCAATAACCGCTGAACAGATTAAAATAACATTTGGTATGGAGATTATTTGATTCTTAAGCGATCACATACACTACCACGATAATACATATAATTTTTATCCTGTAAGTGGAATAGTAGAAGAGGGCAAGGATATCGCTGTCCCTTTAGGGATTATATGCAAAGATTGTAAATATAATGAAAATAAATGTAGATAAGAAAATAATACAATGGTAGGAAAGGGATTATGTTTCGAGAGAATTAAGAAATGTAAGCCAGTAAGGTCAGGCAGCTAGAATTGCCGGATAATTTTGATCACTCAATTTGGAAGGGTCAAGATATTTGTACAATTGAACAATACATACATACGAGAGAGTAGGAATGATAAAATAAAACAATAGGAATACTTGCTACGGCAAGGTTATATTAAAAAAAAACGAACCATAGATTTGTTATTAGTGATGGAAATTATTGCTGCTTTTAAATCGTAATGGTATGATGAAAAGATTAATTCACGTCACTGCGATTTTACCTGTGATAAATCAATATTGGGATTTGAGTATAGACAAAGATAAATCCCTTTTTTTTAGCACAGACTATGGCCTTTTTTTAGATTTAGACCTTTTGCATGTCATGTCATGCGGAGGGATGAGGAAAATGTGGACAAGAAAGTGTTAGGTATGAGAGTTGAAGGGTACAAGGAAAGAGGAAGGCCAAAGAAAAGGTGGATGGACTGTGTGAGTAAGGATATCGCTAGGGAGTAAACAGTGAGATGATGAATGACAGAGTAGAAGAGAAGAATCCTTTCGCAAGTCTGGCGCTAGCGTAATTATATAATAATAATATAATATAATATATTCTACAACATACACACAACGCCATCTAGTCCCAAACTAAGCAGAGCTTGTACTATGGGTACTAGACAACTGATATAAATACATATATACTTTTTTTTTTGTAAATACATTCATATTATACATAGAAACACCCAGACCAAATCAAACATCAAATGTTCATGCACACAAATATTTGACTTGAGCGGGAATCGAACCCACGACCTTTGGAATAGCAGTCCGTTACACAAACCACTACGCCATTCAGTCGTCATTATAGGTCGCAGTGGTTTTGTAAATTAGTCACGGAGTGATTATATGATTTATAAATCATATGATTTATAACAGGTGATCGTGATTTTATTTCATCCTCATTTGTAACTATATTTAACCGTCTGAACCAGGAAGAGTATTATGTATTTCGTGTGTATGTCTTTGACACGCTCTGTAATCTAAACGATTTGATGGATTTTACCTTGAGTGCTGTTGTTAGATTCGCCTTTATTATGAGATTGACACTGGGTATTTCACAATGATAAAAATTAAAATGGCCGCGTTTTGGCGCCATTTTTAGTGTCCAATTTTTTTTCAAACTGTCTTAAAAATTATTGTATTGTTTATTTAAATTTAACTTAAGATATGCTGAGACAGGAACAAAATAACGATGCGTTATAACATTTAAAATCTGAAATAATTGCGGCCTTATTTTTTAATATTAAGTTTATAAATAAGTACTTATACAATTATTATACAATAAGAGTTTGTTTTTTTTTTCTATTATAATAATAATATTTCGGACATCGTGACGCACAACGCCACCTAGTTTCAAGTTAAGCAGAGCTTGTACTTTGAAAACTAGATTGACTGATAGAATACGTATATACGTTTTTTGTTTTTTTAAATACATACATATTATACACAGATAACATCCAAACTACGAAACAAATATTTACAGATCATACAAACATTTGGTCCGACCCGGTATCGAATCCGAGACCTCAGCACAGCAGTCGCTTACACTACCACTGCACCACCAAGGCAGATATATTTATATACTTATAATAATTTATTTTAACTTTTTAATAATTAAATATATTTTATCTTTAACTATCTAGACACTTTCTGACCCCAATCACAAAAAACTCAATGAAAATAACATAAAAAAAGAAAAATTAAAAGAAAAAACCTTTTTAAAAATAAGCTTTTATTTAAATACACTAAGAAGAATAAAATAAACTTTTCTTTCAATTTTTTATTATGAGCCTTAAAAGCTTCACTTCAACACATCAACAGCCTTTAACAGTCCACTGCTGGAGATAGGCATCTCCTTAAAAGGAGGTAAAAGCCTTAAAAGCTTGCTTCATAGAAAATAGAGGCCTTCCTAAAAGGCTGGCAAGGCGTTTGTGACTCCTGAGTTGCGGACGTTATTGGCGGCGATGGTCACTTTCCATCAGGTGACCGGTCTGCTCGTCTGCCCCCTCTAACATAAAAAAGGACTCGAGTTTACTTAGTTTGAAAATTTCTAAAATTAAAATCAATCAGATTAAGTTATTTAATTTACTTCTTTATCTACATAGGTAAATCTCGCGACAAACTTTTATATGGTGTAATGGTGTATTACGTCATAAGTTGTTAGTAAAAGAATTTTCAGTTCAGTTTAGTGCTTTAGGCGTGAAAGCGTATTAAACAAACAAAGACTAACTTGCATATTAATAACACGGGGGGGGGGGGGGTCGTCTACTCGTCCGTAGATGGCCCGAGGTATCTCGGGGCACCAGGGACTTCCTTTCTAGGGTATACCTGGTTCCCCGGCTATTAGTACCCGAGACGGCGTGCGGTTTTAGTCGGTTCGAGACCGACATGTGGTATCGGAGGGGATTTCCGCACCGAAAAAAACGTGTTATATTGGCACTAAATTAAATAAACCACTACAAGGACAAACACAAACATAAAAACATGGGGTTGACTATTTAGTCAGCAGGCACAAGGCGGCCGCTACAGAAATTATTTTTATTTTGACCAAAAAAACGTATTTAAATAATTTTACTTAGTTAATTTTATTATCTTTCTGTTTTATTTTACTTTTTCACCGTATGGTGACGGATTAAGAATACAGAGCGTCACCACTCCTATTCATCCCGAGGGTGTCGTAAGAGCCGACTAAAGGAGTAAACTACGCAGAACGACCACACTGCAAAGAGAAGGAAAACTTGAAACAAACCCTATACCAACCCGTCTGGCCAGCGTGGTATGGTAGGCCAAAACCTCCTTTCTGAGGAGAGGCCTATGTCCAGCAGTGGACTAGTAAAGGCTGTTGATGATGATTTTATTTTCAATTTCAGGATGGCACAGTGGATATCAGAATCGTGGACCTCCAAACCCTTCAAGGAGCTTGCCCCGTTGCAGATTTACTATATTTCATCTTCACTGGATCTGATGAAGAATTCCGCTCGTTGTACTATGATAGGCTGGTAGACCATTATTATACGGAGCTGGAAGCGGCTTTGATAAGACTTCACTTGGATCCTGAGAAGGTGTACTCCAGGGCAGATTTTGACTTTGAAATCAAAGAGGTGATGTATTTTTTTTTGGAATAGATCCAAACGTGCTCACGGGCCGTTGATAGTGACTACTGTCACCCGATGGATATTTACAAATTAAGATACACAATTGAGGTGCTGCCCTCCCTTTGGGTACCCTCCCCGAACATAGATAGGAGGGGGGAGGTGGGTGAGCTGGCCTGTACATGCTGAAGTATGACTCTTACTCCTGTATAACTTTTAGTCCTGAACTTTTAGTCCAGGTATTAGTAATACCTATCTAATAATCCAGGTATTAGTAATAGTCTAGCTATCCAATCCTATGCTATTTTTTATTCGAACCAGTAGTTCCTGAGTTACACGTTCAACCAAACAAACAAACCCTTTAGCATTATTTATATTAGCATAAATGACGTGAACGAAGTTTTTACCATAAGCTGATGTCATAATTTCATTTCAGAAACTGCCATACGGGTTGACAGTAGCAGTCTTTGCGCTTCCAGTCGTGACGGTGTCTGTGGAAAACGCTCCCAAGATCGACGAGGATATGGAGCTGGCCGCTTTCACCACGGAAAAGGCCAGTGACATGTACGTCGAACGACTAAACGGAGTTGTCGACGACTTCGTGAAATGGGGCTTATTCGAATAGATTGTATTTGTAGTTTTAGAATTGACACAAATCTTCTAGAACAATTCTTTTTATTAATCTTAATTTTATGTAGTTTGAAATTGATTGCGAATGACTTAATTATGATGACTTAATTTAATTATGACGTATTAATATTGACATAATTGAATAATATTTTATAAGCTGATGTCGTTTAATAGCATTTAGTTTTTGACATAATTATTTTTTTCATTTATATGACAAATGAATGTATGACTAGTATTTTATGATAATTTTATATGAATTTTTATCAATGATTATGAATTAAATTAACATTTTAAGTGAATATTTAGAATCTTGTCTAAAAATGCAGTTATGTAAAACAGGCCGCTGTCGTACGATTGCCTTTGGTAGGTACTTTGAAAGCGTGATTAAGGATATCCTCAAGAAAACCTGAACTATGTCGAAGTATTCATTTAGATTTTCTTTGATAGATGGCGCTGACCATATTGGAAAACTGCATTAAATCGCGTCATTTAGAATAATTTTGACTTTTTCATTTATTCGTGATCATTTTGACTATATTTTATTGTGATATTTACCAGTTTCATCGTGACTATCTTTATTTGAATTATTACCAAAATGTCTTATAAAAGAAAATGTAACATTTAGAATTTTGATAATTGAATGTTAATGAATTGAATTTTAATGTGATTAATTTGATTGAAATAAATGACTTGTTTTTACATATTTTTGTTTGAGTTTTTATTTTGTTTTTATGCTTGATGTACGATTTACCTTCCTCAATATAGCTGTACCTCAAACTTTGTACGTTAGATTTGTGCTGATCGGGCACTAAACTTGTAAGTCTTAGAGGAGTTGTGTGGCCTGCAGGTGGATCTAGCAGCAGTATCAGGTCCATAATGTTACAGCCCTTATTAAGACGTATCTAACACGCCTAAATTCGATATGGTTGCTGTAAGTCATTGAGGAGTTTGGTGGTCCGTAGATGGATCTTGAAACTTATAGATAATTATTTTCCACTTTTTAGTTCTACAAAATAATCAAAGCGTTTCTTTTTAGTTTTTTATGGATCTAGCAGTAGTATCAGGTCCATAATGTTAAAACCTTCATCGAGACGAATATAACGATCACAAGCAAACAATACATTGGATGCTATAAGCTACTGAGAAATGCGTTTCTGAGCCAGAGAAACGCGTCGCCAACTCAAGCCCGTATTTGCTAGTATGATGCGGCGACCGATGACGTAATGATGACCTGACTGCCTACTGCCGGAAGATCATTCTTAATCATCCAGCTATCTATCTAAAAATCATCTAGCACCCCAGACTTTATTACGAAAAAATAACTTTTCTTTTTGAACTTATAGAAAATTATTTTCTACTTTTTAGTTCTCCAAATTAATCAAAGCGTGTTTATTTTTGTTTTTTTACACTCTAATTTAGTTTTGCTTTTTTAGTCATTAATGATGCTGATTTCCTCATACTTTTTATTTTTCTAACTAATTTAATTTTGCTTTTTTAGTCATTAATGCCGATGGTTTCCTCATACTTAAAAAGTGACAAGTAAGATAATAACATATGCTCCAGTACAAGGCTTAGTACACACTGACAAAAATCAATGGAAGATTTAATAAACAAAACGCTCGAATGCCTTCATTCCTACTTTATGTTAACGTCCTCAATAAGTTAAGGGACTCAATTCTGCTATTTTATGTTAACGTCAAGCCACTGTCATTCCATTGACACGCTATTGAGATGCCACTGACATCGGTCAAAATATATTCTACTAACATAAATTCACAGTGTCAATAAACTGTCGATATAGTAAATGCGTAATAGTATAAATAGTAAAATGATCCCTATCTGCGTTTCCTGTCCACTAATCACGATAGAAATCTTCGCTCAACAAATAATTTGCTTCTCCTTTGTCCCTCCCACAATTCCGAGTTTGTGAACTCTTCATTCTTTGTGCAAGCAGTACAACTTTGGAATGCGCTCCCACTTGAGATCAGGATGTCCACCGTTTCACATTTAAAAATAATGTACGTAACTACCTTCTTCAGCTGGCGGAATTACCTACTCAATAGTACACCTCCAGATTTATAGTGTACGAATATAAAGTATATGTATTTTAGGTGTATTTATATCTATATATGTATATGCGTGTATGTATGTGTGTAATTGTATATGTTAGTTATAACTGCTATAGCAACTGCAACCTCAGTGCACCTACCTCACCAGATTTCTACACCCCCCAAAGGTTGGCTGGTAGAGAATGCCTTGGGCATTAAGCCCGCCGTTGTACATAAGTGCATAAAGTTGTAAATAAATATAGGTCACCAATGGTGATTTAACAACATTGCCATACTTGGAAAATTCAATATATCACTTTTTAAAATTTTAAAATGTACCAATTACCAAACTATTACAAAGACATCGACGACATTTGTGTCAGTGGCAGTTAGTAGAATACGAAATGTGCAAAACTATTCCGATGACATTCTATCGACAGTCTATTGATACAATTTTAAAATAGCAGAATTGGGGCTCAGGAATGATGATGGCGAACGAATGAACTAGCAAGTCATTAAAAATTACTCGTTATTTATTCATTATGATATTTGATAAATAATAATAACAGAAGTTATACTGGTATGTTAGTATTTTCGTAATTATTCTAATAGAATTAACAGCGATTGGTGTTAAAGTTAGCGTTATAAGTAGGTGTGACAATAAAGTTTCGAAGTTTTTATTGAATTTTGGAAATTAATACAACGCCATCTAATAGGACTATTAGGAAATTAACTATGTAACGTCTCTGTAAATGAAATTTGAAAGATGAAGATTGCAACAGATGGTATTGATTATGGGTTCAGTCTATTTTGATTTCGTAAAGTCGAATACATGGATGCAGCCCACCGCTCACCTACACCTGTTTACCAAAAAGCAAATTATAATTGTTTTTTTATAAATAACTTTTAATTATCTCAAACTAGACAGAGCCTGTACTATGGTAATCACACCGCTAATAAACATACTTATATATTTCTAAATACATAATATTAAACATAAATTACACCCAGATACAGATTTAAATGATCGTGCTCATCAAACAATATGTGTCCTAGGTCCACGACCTTGGTCCACGACCCACGGCTTAGCAGTCAGGGTCACTAGACTAATAAGCCCGCTAAAGCCGCTTTTGACTGCACAGATGGCGTAGTGGTTGAAGCCGCCGCCCCACGCCGCTTACTACGCTGAGTGTTGTGGGTCCGATCTCCACATGGGACGACACTTTGTGTAATGCACAAATTGTTGTTCTGAGTCTGGGTGTTCTTTGTGTTCGTTTCATGAATGTTTGTAAGGTCCCCCGCGACAAGGGATATATTCCTAATGCGGGAGCGTCTTTACAAAAAAAAGAAAATTACGTGGGCTGGCTGACTGATTCGTCTAGCCTAAACCGTTGGCGCTATAAAATTTTAAATTTTTTAAAAGTATTGCCTTAATCTTAATATATTTTTGACCATATTGACTTCAAATTTTTGTTTTAAAGTATTTATAATTATACTTTTCAATTAATTTGAGTAATATAATTTAAAAAGAGCCTATGTCCCGTACCAAGGTTTTCTTGACCTTGACTTGTACGCTATTTTCTAGTACGTCAATTTTGGTTAACAAAAATGGCTTATATCTTTTTCCAAGCTATTATGCGACTGCGCTAGGAGGGTTATGTTTTTCGTATGTTTGTATGTATACATGTATTTATTTTTTGGCACGCTCTGTAGCCCAAGCGTCTTTATGGATTAGCGTTTGGTGTCGGTAGATTCGTCTGAATTGGTCTTGATTAGCGACTCCAGAGGTCGCGGGTTCGATTCCATTTGTGTGCGTGAACATTTAATGTTTGATTTGGTCTGAGTGTTTCTATGTATAATAAGTATGTATTTACAAAAAGAAAGTATATATGTATTTATATCAGTTGTCTAGTACCCATAGTACAAGCTCTGCTTAGTTTGAGACTAGATGGCCTTGTGTGAATGTGGTAGAATATTATTATAATTGTAAGTTACACTGGGTATATGAAAATTATATAAGTTAAAACGAATTTTAGGTGCCAAATTATGTTTTAGGAATATAATTTACTCCAAATCTATAGAGTGGGGTTCCGAAATAAAGGTTTTAAAAATAATAAATGTCTAACAAAAATACAAAATATATTTAAAAGTAATATAGTACGAGAAATGCCAAAAAATCAAAAAATGTAGTTAAGTTAGTTTATTTAAGTATATTATTTTTTGTTTTTTTTTTTTTATTTAACTTAATGCACAAGTTGACCTTCAGGTGATGTAGAAAAATGATGCTGTAGGTGCAAGAGAAAACAGAGAATTTGACTTTTTTATATTAAATTTATTATATATATTTATAAAAACACTTTTGTGGTTTATGTATTTGGCTTCTTACAAGAACCTATCTCCTTCTCTAAGGTCTTATCTATTTTTATCCCAAAATTCATCATAATTGATGCAGTAGTATAGGTGGGCAAATGTAACGGAGAGACAGAGATAGAAAGACTGAGTTACTATCGCATTTACAACATTAGTTAGTTTTGCAACAAAATCTTCAAACTACCTCCTTTGTTACAAAAAAATATTTAAAACTAAGGATTTCATTAAAATTTTATTCTATTTCTAGAAAGGTTTTGCTGAATTTCATTACAAAAATATCAAGTGTCCTATCTCGTAGCATGAACTACGACTGTGTCAAGTACTCGGGTGTACTGGCCGTAAGTTAAAAAAAAACCGGTCAGGTACGAGTCGAACTCGTGCGCCGAGGGTTCCGTACCTACCCAGATTTTACGTAGATTTTCGCTAAAATTTGTAAGTAAAAATTTATCTTAATTTTCAACTTTTTTTTTTTTGAAATTATTATTTTATTTGTCCTGTAAGATGTTTCTTTTTGCCAAATTTCGTGAATCTAGGTCAACGGGAACTACCATATAGGTTCTCAACCCAAAACCTATAGGGTACTTCCAGTTGACCTAGAATTGTCTATTTTGGTTAAAAGCAAGGTGGTTAAAAACAAGTAAAGAGAAATTCTGAAAAATAAAAAAAGTTGATAATTAAGGTAAATTTTGGTATTTACAAGTTTTCGCGAAAATCGAAATTTGCCCGTATCTTTTTATCGTGTAGACTCAGGACCTTGATTTTTATACACCTAATAGAAACCATAGACCTCAGTACCTGGTATAAATTTCAACTTGCTAGGTCTACCCATTCCTGAGAAAATCGGTGGTGACACACGGACAGACGGACAAGAAAGTGATAAGGGTTCCTTTTTTACCTTTTGAGGTAAGGAACCTTAAAAAAACCCGCGTGAGGGGTCTATGGACCCTCGGTCGGAACGCAGTTCCTTTCCTTTTTAGTAGACGTTTGCTATCGTGTCGGAAAAAAGTCTTGTTACACATTTTTCGGTCTCGCTCCCATCCGCTCAGAGCGTGTAACGTGGGCACTTTGTTCCAATTACAGCCATATTTTTAGTGACAACCTTTATTTACAACGAGCTGTACCCTATCACGCTTCGCTGGATACATTGTGGTTGCATTAAAGAGAAAAGAGGAAACAAAACTGACGGGAAAAATATATAAAAATAATCTTTGAATCGGTTTGTTTATCGTGTCAAAATTTGAGTTCAATTGGTGCTGATTTTTTTGAGTTTTTGAAGCGTACACAAATCGACTTAACTTATTATTTAATAAATAATATATATACTGTTATGTATATAACAGATAGATAAGATTCAAGCCCAAAATCTAAGTGGTGTGCAATGGGAGAGGCCTATGTCCAGCAGTGGACTGCGATAGGCTGATGATGATAAGATTATGTATATTTAAGCAAATCAACGCCAACACGTTTTATTTTTCGACCAGGTTGCACTAAGGGCACAGCGATATTTCACCGCGCGTTTTTCTTTTTTGCAAGCTTCTGTGTAAATAAATAGCCACCAAGTGTTCATTTTGTATCAAATCACAGATTAATTTTTCGCGCAAATGTTTTTGTGATCTATTTAGATAGAGCACAATATTTTGCGAATTTTGCCAAAGAAACGCGCGGTAAAATAGTTACAAGTTGACTTTATTAACGCATACTGTGTTACTGGATAGCGTTTCACGATGTATACATAATAATGTATCATGGATAATGAAGGCTCTAGTTCGCACCTACAGCTTTTTATGTGTTTTCATACATGAAGAACTTGATGTATCCTGTGTCACGGGGGACTTTACAAACATACATGAAAAGGACACAAAGAACACCCAGACTCAGAACAACAATTTGTGGATCACACAAAGTGTCGTCCCATCTGGGGATCGAACCCACAACACTCAGCGTAGGACGAACCGGCGTGGCGACCGCTTTAACCACTACGCCATCCGTGCAGTCAAAAGCGGCTTTAGCGTTCTTATTAATCTAGTGACCCTGACTGCTAAGCCCTGACGTGAAGAACTTGATGAAGTCAGGACCTAGGATAGACTGACTATTCTATACACATAAAACTATTTTTTTATTTATTTTAATTCTTTTTGCACAAGTATGAGTTGTACAATGGCGGACTTAATGCCACAGGCATTTTCTCCAAGTCTACCTTAGCGTGGTGCTGAAATGTGTGACTAGATAATGATATGTCAAGTAAAATAAAATTATTGAGAAGTTAGACAGAGACAGTGCGATAAATATACATACATACATACGTACGTACCAGATACATACACATACATAAATACTTACCTACATATTAATAATATATAAAACTTTAAGGTTGTAATGAATCTGCTAGGGTGTCTAGAATGCGAGTTCGAACTTTCATCTTGAACGAGAGGCGGCTGGGTGCTGTCTTCTCTTCTTTCTAGAGGGAAAGCGTTTCTGCTCTTTACTTCACTTGTCCTGACTGATTCATCAATGCAGAGCTCAAGCCGATAGGGTTAGAAACTTAAAATTTTGGCAGCTGATGCTTCTTATGTTGTAAGGACCCAAGAACGGGTTTATCGAAATTTCATCCCTAAGGCCAATAAAATAAGGTTGAATAAAATTTCGTCGTTTTCAAAGTTACAATCACGAAATAATGCCGGTTTCAATACTTAGTATCAACATGAAGAAAGTGTCTTTTGTGTATACAAGGTATTGAAGAATTAAATATTCAACTATTTAAAATAATTGTATAGTATAGAATACATACGTTATGGAAGGGTACTATATGAAACACAGATATTTCCGACTGACCCTATAACTTATTTATTTCTAAAGAACGTAAAAGAATCTACCCACATAAAAAAATAAAATCAAGGAAAGTCATTAAAGCTACAATTTACTTTTGTAAATATATCAGAATTAATGTCTTTTGTAAATATCTAGGAACCCTATCATTACAAACTACAATCATCATTGTAAAAACGTAACTCATCAAGGCCAAAAAGTAAGTGCTAATAGAAATAGCGACAAAAAGCGGGTAGTTAGCAAAAATCAAATGTGCAAAGGACGGGTCACGTCGATACAGAGTATATATTAAGCGTGTCTGATACCTTTTCAGTCTTTTCCTGCTCGTGGTCACTTTCGCTGCCATTTCTATCAAGACGCCGATTGTATAAAAAGGTACAGATTTTCTTTATTAATGTTCTATAGTTCAAATTAAGACCATGTTTCTATTAATTTCACATTAACCAGAAGATTATTAGCTATAGCTGGTTAGCTGGTTTTTATGATATATCAATGGGTTTGGGGTATGGGTTCAAGGTACGGTTGTTTTTGGCAGCACACAATTTTTAACTAGCTGTTACCTGCAATTTAAGTTGAATAATAGACCTATGTTGTATTGTTTGGTTGAATCATTGATCAATGATTGTCGTATGCTGTGTTGGTAGGTAATAGGGTTCCGATTTGCTCATTTAAGCAATATTTCTTTCCCAACATTGTCTTGCCATCACCTCTCCCAGTTTTTTTTCTCAAATACTTAAAGTTTGGGACAATAATCTTGCTACTAATAAATGGGTGGGATTAAATTATTGTGTTATCAAAATTGTTGCATACGCCTCCACTTACCCCTTCGCAGATATAGGCATGAGTAAGTGGAAAAAACTGCAAACCTTCGCTAACTATCTTAGTGTCTTCAAAATAAATTTTGTCAAGGAAACCTAGGTACAGTGGGTGGGTCAATAAATTAGCACTTTCTGAGGGTAGAGAAAAATGTGATTTTTCATGACCTAAAGGTTCATATACGTTGTCAGTTTTATTGAATAATAATAATATCTTGACACGTTCCACATGGCCTTTCAAACCCAAACAAGACAGAGCCCTTGCTATGGTATTCAGACTGCTGATAAACATATTTATATATTCGTAAATATATAGATCCATAATTATACCTATTGTAAATCTAAAAGTGAGTTTGTTTGTTTATTACCCTTTCACGGCTAAAAACCTAAACCGATTTTAAAAATTCATTCACCAATGGAAAGCTACATTATCAGCGAGTAACATAGGCCACTTTTTATCACGATAACCGACATAAACGCGGGCGGAGCCGCGGGCCAAAGCTAATACTTTATATTTTATTATTCCATCTAGATTACGCATTATTATTATATTACAGGTACTTGAAATAAATTTTACTTGGTCTCACTTGTTATCAAAACTAAACCATGGCACATGATAAAATCACAAAGGCACTTAAAAATATACTCAATAACGTAAATTATACGAATTATAACCTGAAAATCGAAGAAATCTCTACTGGAGGCGCAAATTATACGTCAAATTTGTTCAAAGTCGAAGTTGTCCCTGAAGATGATAAACCAACCCTACATCTTTTCGTGAAAGTGGCATGTCCCAGTGTGAAGCTGCGGAGTACTTTGGACGAGTGGAAAATTTACACAACAGAACAATTATTTTACACAAGGTTGTTAAAAACGTACAAAGCTCTGGAAAATGAACACCGTGTTCCGAGCGAGGAGAGACTACATTCCTGCAAGTATTATGGGTCAAGTTTAGTCGTTCTTGAGGAGATGATAGTACTTGAAGACCTAACTGCTAGCAACTGGTTGGCTTACGATAGGCTGAAATCAATAGATTGGCCCTACGCAAAAGCTGCCATCTCCCAACTCGCTAAATTTCACGCATTATCCTTCGCCTACGGCGAAAGTAACCCCGATGAATTTAATCAAGTTTTAGATGAATTAAAAACTCAAATGAATCATGAATCTTTAGCTACTTTTGTGGAGAATGCCAAAAGTGTTGCATTGCAAAAGGTCAAGTCAGAACGGAAAAATCTTTTGAAAGAATATTTAAAGGACTTTGAAGCAAAGATAAAGAAGGTGAATGAACCTTCTAGTCATAATGCCATTACTCATGGGGTTTTTAGACCTAGTAATTTGATGCACAAGACTAAAGAGGTAAGGATTTTTTTGTATAAAATAAAGTATCTTACACTTTCAACTATTTATTTTTAACCAACTTCAAAAAGAGGTTATCAATTCGAATTTTTAAACATATTTTATATGTATGTTCAGGCTAACTCCGTCATATATAGACGGATTTTCAAGATTATTTTTTTCGGAAGGGGTTTATTCCGAAATGGTCCCATTTAAATTTAATAAAGATCTGACGATGAGTTTCGGAGACCGAGAAAAATTACTACAAATCAACCGCGATTGCTGCTAGGTTTTTATTGCTTTTTGTTGGTATTGTTTGAAGTCGGTTTAACTTCTTTTTTAACTGATTTTATGCCGAAGCATAATCAGACGATCTTCCTAAAATATTCGTCTTTATCATGATGATCATAAATTGTTTAATACATAGAACTTTCTGTATTATTTTCAATCTGAAACCCAGAAATGAAATTAGAAAGGTAAATTAAAAGTAAATTTAATTTAGATACATTCATTCGGTTATATTGTTCTTTTTTATTTATTTCATTTGTATAATATGCTGATCGCCTGATTACCCTTACACATATTTGGAAAAAAATGAGGTCAACTGCGCCACTTCCTACTGCGCTGAGTGTTGTGGGTTCGACCCACACATGGGACAACACTCTGTGTTATCCACAAAATATTGTTCTGAGTCTGGGTATTCTTTGTGTCCGTTTCATGTATCTTTGTAAAGTCCTCCGCGACACAGGATATGTTCCTAGTGCAGGAGTTATCTTTTTTAAATTATAATAACACTCTATACATATTTGTATCAAGTAAAGCTGGTCTAATCTAAACATCCACTACGGTGCGCTTTTCGGGACACTTTTTGTCCCGCACAACCAATCTGTGGAACGGGTTATCGTCTGCGGTATTTCCGGACCGATACGACCTTCAAACCTTTAAGAAAAGAGCGTACTCCTTCCTAAAAAGCCGACAACGCGTTTGTGACTCCTGAGTTGCAGACGTTCAAGGGCGGCGATGGTCACTTTCCATCAGGTGACCCGTCTGCTCGTCTGCCCCCTCTAACATAAAAAAAAAACAATTACTTGAATTATACATTAAATCTATTATCTCGATTTTTAGGATGGTTCAATGGAAGTTATTATCGTGGATATGCAAACTCTGCAGGGTGCTAGCCCCGTTGCAGATTTATTGTATTTCATCTTTACTGGATCTGATAAAGAATTCCGCGCTGAGTACTACGATAAACTAATAGATCATTATTATTCGGAGCTGGAAGCGGCCATGAAGAGACTGCACATGGATCCTGAGAAGATTTACTCTAGGGCGGTTTTCGACCAAGAGTTCAAAGAGGTGACTAAAAAATGTTTATAAACTCTAAACTTTGAGTAGTGACAGATGTATGATTCAACGCAGGCACGTTGCTCTAAGTATAGTTGCCGACATTTGTTACACTTTATTTAATATTGTTTAATACAACAATAACTAATATAATAGGCAAATACATGAAGAAAACTAAAACTAACAGATATTAAATATAATATTTCAATTAAATATATAATTAGTATATAATTAGACCCCCCCACACACGATCAGCACCGCCTCGCTTTGAGCGATTAGTATTATTTGTATGGGTATACGCTCAACAACAACAACACTACATCAACTCACAATACAGTTTGAAACTCAACAACTCTAATAGTCACCAATTGACAGTTCTGACCAATTTGTTCCTCAAGGTTTTGTGAAGCGATAGTTAATATTACAGGTTATTTCCATCAACGGAATAATGCAAAAACCGTTGTGTTTTATCCCTTAACTGCTAAGAGTTTCTTTCATCCAGATTTCAAGTATTGTTCCTGAAGGACATATGAATATATACGACCAAAACGCGGGAAAATCTAATAATTATGTAATTTTATTCCAGAAACTTCCACTCGGGCTGACGATTGCAGTGTTCGCGCTGCCAGTCGTGACGGTGTCTCCGGACAAGGCTCCCAAGGTCGACGAAGATATGGAACTGTCCGCGTTCTCTGCAGAGACGGCTAGTGACTTATATGTCGAAAGGTTAAACGGAGTTGTTGACGACTTTGTGAAATGGGGTTTACTGAAGTAGACTGGTATTATCAGTATTGAAAATAATACTATTGTCATGGAAAAGTTCAGAAGTTTAGAATATTTTATAATGATTCACAATGATATTATTTATTAGATGTTTTAATGTTATGTCTAATGTTAGTTCGTTCCGTTATATCGTCCGTATCCGTGTCCGCTCGTTCGTTTATTATAGGAATGTAAAGTTTTAAACTGACTACTTTTTTTTGAATTATTAAAAAGTAGGTACTTCATGAGAATAGTAATTTTTTATATTGTTAGTTGCATGGTTTTTATGTTGTTTGTTAATTTAATAAATTATAATGCGGTTTAATTATATTTTTATTAGCTTGAATTGTCCTTTATCTTAGTCCTATTGACCATAGACCAATGACGGCCGGATGGCGCAATGGTTTGTGTAACTGACAGCTACGCGAAAGGTCGCGGGTTCGATTTCAGCTCAATTGAAACATTTGTGTGCTAGGACATTTGATGTTTGATTAGGTCTGGATGTTTCTATGTATAATATGTATGATTTACAAATAAAAAAATGTAAGTATTTATATCAATTGTCTAGTAACCAGTACAGGCTCTGCTTAGTTTGGGACTAGATGGCGTTGTGTGATAGTGGTACCAGCACCACACAGCTTTTAATAGTATACTGCTGAACATAGGTCGCCTCAGAAAGGATGCATCAGCCCACTATACCACGCTGGCCAGACGGGTTGGTATAGAGTTTGTTTCAAGTTTTCCTTCTCTTTACAGTGCCGTTTCCCGCATATTTTGCTGCCCTAGTCGGCTCTTACGACACCCACGGGATGAATAGGGATGGTGACACTCCGTCTTAATCCGTCACCACACGGGTAGATAGTGGTACAATGTTATATAATTATTATATTATTGCAACTATATCACTCTGGTTGAGCCTGGTGCAGAAGTTCTCCCACGATTAAATAAAATACCACATAAAATCACTGTTGTTAATATTGGGAAAAGCGACATCTAGTGGTAAACTTTGGTACTCAACCGACAGTTAAAGGAACAAAAATTCCATACAAAAAAATTCAACCTAGTAAATCATTCAGTAAAGTAAAACGCACAACTCAACGAAGTACTCACCGAGCTAGATTCTGTGTTTTACGTAAACCTAGAACAAATTATGGTAAAAAATGGCTGACAGCTGAGAGTTATACTACTACCATCGCAAAATAAAAATGTCATCATCATCAATCATCAACAGTCTTTAATAGTCCACTACTGGACATAGGCCTCTACTTAGAAAGGAGGCGTGGCTACACCACAGGCCAGACGGGTTGGTTCAAGTTTTCCTTCTCTTTGCAGTGTTGTTGTCCTGCCAAATTTCCTCTCTTAGTCGGCTCTTACGACACCCACGGGATGAATAAAGGTGGTGACGCTCCGTAATAAAAATGTTAACTTATTTAATGTATTTAAAACTCGATTAGTTCAATATTTACGTACATCATTCACATAACTTGACCTCGGGCAAATGAATACATGAGATTAGTACCTATCTACCCACAATAATATTACTTACTGAGTGAAATAATGAACCTGTATAATACTTGAAGTTATTATTGTTCTCAAGTAAGGAACTTTGTTTTAATTCTTTTTCTTCTATGAAAAGACATTATTGAGAATAAAGAATCTTTAATCACAAGTTGACTGTCGAGTTCTTATCTGAGTAGGAGCTCAGTTAAGTATAAATATCGTTGAAATTAGCGATTTGATACACACACTTCTAGTATGCTTGCGTCTCGTAAGCTTTCGGCTTATAATTAGAAATTTGTTTCCTGTTTTCATTTATGTTACAACTATGCATGTTATGTTTGCTTAAATTGGTTGTACATTAGCCAATTCTAACACATGTAATTTATTATTAAGTACCAATGTTACGACTGGAAGCAAACCATAAATAAATAAATAGTATACGTTACGCTTATTCGTCCGTGTGGTGACGGATTAAGAATACAGAGTGTCACCACCCCTATTCATCCCGTGGGTGTCGTAACAGACGACTAAGGGAGAAAACTACGCAGAACAACAGCACTGCAGAGAGAAGGAAAACTTGACACAAACCCTATACCAACCCGTCTGGCCAGCGTATAGTAGGCCAAAACCTCCTTTCTAAGGAGAGGCTTATGTCCAGCAGTGGACTATTAAAGGCTGTTGATGATGATGATGAAGCTTATTATCGGCGGTCAGTTTTTACTTAGGGCTTATCGATCTATTGTTTTAGTGGTCTAGTGGTCTGAGACACAGAATAAATGATCGTCTCACAATTATTTGTCGTGGGTGGGAATCAAACCCACAATCTTTGGGTTAGACATCAAGATCTCTGACCAAAGGATCTTAAATAAATTACACCGAGACAAGAGACAAATGATCGCCACACATTTGTCGTGATGAGAATCAAACCCACGATCTCTGAGTTAGAAATTAGGATCGCTGACCGGTCCGACAGGCCATCCAGATCCAGAAATTATTCTTAGAAAGAAAGAAAGAAAGCATATTTTATTTCTAAAACACACGACAGCTCTTTTCAGAATTTTACAAAAATAAAAACACTTTTGAAACAAAATATACAACACAAGTTACACGAAATAATTATAATAATCTATAACTGGTTTGTATACTAGTCGTGCTAATTACAAATTGTCCTGGGTACTATTTGAAGTCATGAGACCTCAGGTTCAGCAGGTCCGGATCACTAATAACGACCAGACCAAGAACTGTATTGCGTGTCGTCGACTTTTGAAAAGATTACCTAAAGATGTCTATGCGATTTCTTGATGGTTTGATTGACGCTTTGAGTATTAGACTCAGTTCAGGCCACGCTTCCCCTAATAATGATAAAGTATAAACACACCCAATCTTTAGGCGTAGGTGCAGTTCCCACACGGGGGGGGGGTCGTCTACTCGTCTGTAGATGACCCGAGGTATGTCGGGGCACCAGGGACTTCCTTTCTAGGGTATACCTGGTTCCCCGGCTATTAGTACCCGGCGACGGCGTGCGGTTTTAGTCGGTTCGAGTCTGACATGCCACCGACAGGTGGTATCCGAGGGGATTTCCGCACGGAAACAAAAAAAAAAAAAAAAGAAGAACATATTAGCACACCCTTCTAAATATTTTTTATAGAACAGGGGGCAAACTAGTGGACAAGTCATCTGATGGAAAGTGAATACCGCCTGCAACTCAGGAGGCCTTTGAGAAAGGAGTACGCTCTTCTCTTGAAGGTTTGAATTACCGCAGACGATAACTTGTTCAACAAATTGGATTATGGAAGACAGCTGCACGATGGTCGTTGGTACTTTGGAAACGCAATTCAAGATTGGTTAGTGTATTTTTATGAAATAGTTTAGATTTTATTTACTAGATGGCGCTTAGTATAATAATGTCGATACATACAATGTATTTATTTAGCATGATAATTTATATAACTACCTACGCTTTTATTTTGATCGTTTTTTTTAAACTACTGCCTTAATGTTATATTATTAAAGGGTAAACATTAAAATTAGGGTATACTGGTAGTTTATTAAAAAACGGGTCCCCACCTTTGCAGTACCGGGCCCGAGATAATGGCGCGACGTGTTCCGCGCGCTCTCTGATCTGAAGTAGGCTCATCGTACTCCACTTAATTAACCTGTAGAAAATGAGATTTGAGAACTCTTTGGTGAACGAGCAAGTACTTCGGAGTTGTGATTGACTAGAAGCTAAACTTTAAGAATAATATAGATCTACTTACAACTCTGTCTTTCGTTACTTTTCACTGAGTGACTTGAGCCCAGACCGGGATTTTGTTCTGGGATGGGACTCAAGTGGTGGCAAAGCACTTATGACTCCTGAGTTGCAGGCGTTTATAAGTAGCGGTAGTTACCATCTGGTGACCCGTCTGCTCGTTTGCAAGTTATGCCACAAACTGGGGTACGGAAGCTCATGGCGATTTAAAAAAGTCTTCGATATGTTGCCAACGAAACAGTTATTACAAACAGTCCATTTTTACCTAGCCTAGCCTTTATAGTCCACTTCTGGACATAGGCCTCTCCTTAGAAAGGAGGTTTAAGCCTACTATACCACGCTGGCCAGACGGGTTGGTACAGGATTTGTGTAAAGTATTCCTTCATTTTGCAGTGCTGGTGTCCTGCGTTGTTTTGCGCCCTTAGACGGCTCTTACGACACTCACGGGATGAATTGGGGTAGTGACCGTCCGTCACTACACGGTACTTTCGAAGAATCAAATGGGTTCAGAGGCAGACTTTGAATCTAAACGCTGTTTTACTTTTTTACCACCCCACTACTAATTTTTAAAGTTAATCGGACTATTTATTAATATAATAATTCGGGTGTAATTTATCTATAATAATATCTATATATTTAGAAATATATCATCACATCATCAACAGCCTTTAATAGTCCACTGCTGGACATAGGCCTCTCCTTAGAAAGAAGGTTTTGGCCTACTATAAATATATTTTTTTTTTTTTTTTTTTTTTATATATATCTGCAATCGGCTTTCAGCCATAATCAGATGTTTTCTGGGATTAATTTGGGTCGGGTGCGATTCCATTAAACAGCACCGTATGAGTTGACAGATACTAAGTAGTTAGTTTCTCTGGTCTATGTTTAGTATTTGACATCTTTTCAGGCGAGTCACATCTTCATGTCGGTTTAATAGGTTCTTAGCCAGTTCATTTGTGTGCTTATTGAGCCTCTCCTTGTATCTCCTGCTTATTTTACAAGCTTCCTCCCTTACGGTTGGCATCTCCAGGTATTCATGTATTTCCGTGTTTCTCACGAACCAGTGTGCACTTGAAATTGTTCTTAGAGCAGTGTTTTGAAATCTCTGGAGAATCTCGATATTGGAATTGCTAGCACAACCCCAGAGTTCTATCCCGTAGGTCCAGATTGGCTTTATTATAGTCTTGTATACGAGTAGTTTGTTTCCGATTGACAGCCGGGATTGACGTCCCAGTAACCAAGACAGACCTTTGAATTGTAAG